AGTAGCTTCCTGGTCTATAGTCATTCCTTTATACTTGGCAAGAAAGATTAGGAAATATTCTTCTTTTTTAATTTCTTAGCAATCACCGGCTGCACCTTCTTCGCTTTCTTCTATTACTGGCGTTTTAGTACTTGGTACCCCTGAAAACCTGCTCAGTAAGTTACCAGTTGAAATGAGCGAATCACTGTTGTGCCTTGTGTACAACCGTGCTTTTGGTTTGGAAGTCTTAACTCTAGCCAAACTGCGCCTCTCGGGGAGGGAATGTGATAAATTTGGATCAAGCTTCACCAGATTTGGAGACACAGTGGATGTTCTTGTTGTTCTAGACACGGGCGACGTGAAGCCCAACAGGTCAGGGTTTGATCGCAACGATCCTCTCCTTGACCTTTGAACAAATTTATCCAACACCTGAAAATCGGAGCGGTTATACAACGACGAGAATCTCTCCAAACTATTTATGGCAGTCATAGTTGTGGACCATCGTCTCTGCGCATGCGCGGCTGTTTGCGTCATCAGTGACCCCCTCCTAGAACCGTGCCGCTTGCTGGACTCTCTGCTTACCGCTGACTTTGCCCTGCTACTCCTTTTCTCCTCCTGACTTCTTTCCTTTGCTGGTGAACGAAACGAATTTGAATTTTGGTCAGTCATCAAAGAGAATAGCTGATGCAGTTGACTCTGATAATTTTTCAATGCCTTCTTCCCACTAATCGTTCTAGGGGGACCTTCCTTTGCGCAGTCTCCCTTGGGCTCCATTTTCAATTGCTGAACATGTTTATCGGGCGATCCTGTATACGTTACTAAGGCAACACTATGCTGTATTGGATTTTTTTCATCCTGCAATGGCTTTTGTGGAAGAGAGGAATTTTCGTTTGCTGGCATAAGCCTCTTATTCACCCCCTTCTCTTCCTCTTTATGCTTAAAACGGGGTTTTTCATTGGCCAGACTTTCGCCCCTTTCCCTTTTTACCAAAGGAGCAGATTTCGTCCTTCTTGTAAGAGCCCTATTCCCAGGTTTACTCTGCTCAATAAAACTCACAGAGTGTCTCAATGGTAGAGCTGTGTTTACTAAGTCTTGTCGAGAATTAAAAGTTGATCGTTTGCCTCTTGTTCTTGGTTGAATTCCTTTTTCGTTGCAGTTTGAGTCTCCGGATTTTTTTCCTTCGCTTTCACCATTTTCTTTCCTTCTATTCAAATACAATTCCCATTCTTTTGCGTTGAGTTTCAAAGTGAAATCTCTGGCGCAAGGTGACGCTTTTCCATCACTCAACAACACTTCTTTACATTCATTGCGTTTTAGTTTCGTTGCTCTAATCAGAGGCGTTTCTCCATTCTTGTTCGCCTTATCAGCCGCGCGAACATCGAAGAAATTCATAGCTTCTGTAATAGCTTTGGTAATGCGTGAATTCCCAGCTTCAATTGAATGAATCAAAGCAGTATTCCCTTCGGAATCTGCAGCTGCAAAGTCACATTCTTGACTTTCAATCAGAGCCTGAACAAGCTTTTCCTTTCCCAGTTTACTCGCCTGCATCAACGGGCTCATTCCATTTACATCATGAAGACTTACGTCAGCCCCTCGTCGAAGAAGCCTTTTTGCAATGCGACAGGCTAAGTTTTCGTCATCCAAGAAACAAACTGCCAGAAGAGGAGTCGTTCCAGAATGTTTCTCCTGTTGATTCACATTTTCGCCACGTCGTAAAAGAAACTCCGCTTGTTTAAATCGCTTTTGTTCGATGGCTTTAACTAAAGCCGTCATAGTAATCTGTTTCCTTGATCTTCAGCTTTCACTGATGTATCGAAATTAAATTCAAGCAAATAGCGGTGAAAAGTGGTTTTAAAACTCCTGGTGAGCTTCACTGCCAGAAAGTTCGAAACTTGATTTGTTTCTTCTTAAATATGTTTCGTGTAGAAAACGTCTTATCATACCATAACGTAGTTTGTGGAAATATCGCCTCTTGTCTTAATTGGAAATATATCAGTCAATCATTTCAACTCTTTAGAAATGATTTCCCTACATATGTGCGGCGATTCCAAACGTTTTCAGGCAAATATGAAGTGTTTGAAAAGTATATTAGCAATAAGAAAAGTTATTACTATTGTTCCCCTGGTAACCAACTCTTTTAACAATAGGTCAGGCAGGTGAAAATCCAAAAGAAAAGGTGAAAGTTTATTTCGAGTCATTTACTGCAATTGGTAATAAACTCAAAAAAAATCTCTTCAACCAGTAAGATCAAATGTAAAGAGGTGACCCCTTTAGCCGTTAGTGGAGGGTCGACGGTATATAACAAGGTAAACGGTTGGATCTGAGACAAGGGCTGAGCCTCCCCTTTCCTCCCCCCCCCCCCCATCCCCACCCCCATCCCCACCCGATCATTATTTGCACAACATAATACATGTACTTGCAAAAAAAATATGTTCCCCCTGGATTTTGCCTCTATTTATAAGTTCATTAACGTTATTGCAAAGGCTCTTTGTGACTGGCCCCAGTTGTTCAAAAGGTGGATGACGCTATCCACCGGATAAATCTTTATCCACCGGATGAATAGTGATTTATCCGGTGGATAGCGCTATCCAACTTTTGAAAAACTGGGGCCTGGGTAATTCCAATGTTAACAGTCATCGACTTAGTCGACACTGCCGTCACATGCCTTTCTATCATAAACTCAAACACAAACTTCTAAAAGGTCATCTGCATCCAAATCTGATTTTAAATTAATTGTTGTTGTTACAATCGGAGGCTTGGTAGTAAAATTTGCTCGTCTAACGTAAACAAGATTTCATAAGGGCCATTCCCTAAGAGAAAATAATAGACCATTTTAGTTTGTATGTTTTGTTTTCCAATTTCAGACCACGTGATTTTACCCCAGAGAACTGTTTCATTCAAATGTCGTCTTACGCATGTGCATCCACGTGCATATGTCTGCATAATTTATGAAAGAAGAAAAGGTAAATTCCCCAGAAAACATCACGTGTCTGAATTGGGAAACAAAACATAACAAGCTAAAAAGGTGTTTTCCTCTTTTCGGGCAATTTTTTTTTTTGCTTCAAACCGAAAACCGCGCTGAGAACCAAATCCGAACGTCCACTTTGATGGTGCTTTAAAAACGAAAACCGCATGCAGATAAAGAAAAACTACAAACCGCCAAAGATACAGAAACCTAAAAACCACTGATTTTCGATGCGAAAACCGAAAACCAGATTCCAAAAGCGTCAGAATACGCAAAACCGAAATTCCCAATGCTCCCTTATTTAAGGTCATTGCACATGAATCATACCATTTTGACTCACAATCCTGGCATAAAGTTTTGTTAAGTACCCCCCTCCCCATCCCCACCCGATCATTATTGGTACAACATCATACATGTACTTGCAAAAACATTGTTCCTTAGGATTTTGCCTCTATTTATAAGTTCATTAACGTTATTGCAAAGGCTATCTGCCTGGGTGATTCCATTGTTAACAGTCATCGCCTTCGTTGACACTGCCGTCACATGCCTTTCAATCATAAACGGAAACACAAACTTCTAAAAGGTCATCTGCATCCAAATCTGATTTTAAATTACTTGAGTAATTGTTATTGTTACAATCGGAGGCTTGGTGAAATTTGCTCGTCCAACGGAAATAAGATTTCATAAGGGCAATTCCCTGAGAGAAAATAATAGACCTTTTTAGCTTGTATGTTTTGTTTTCCAATTTCAGACCACCTGATGTTACCCCAGAGAACTGTTTCATTCAAATGTGGTCTTACGCACGTGCATCCACGTGCATATGTATGCATGATTTATGAAAGAAGAAAAGGTAAATTCCCTAGAGAACATCACGTGTCTGAATTGGGAAACAAAACATAACAAGCTAAAAAGGTGTTTTCCTCTTTTCGGGCAATTTTTTTTTTTGCTTCAAACCGAAAACCGCGCTGAGAACCAAATCCGAACGTCCACTTTGATGGTGCTTTAAAAACGAAAACCGCATGCAGATAAAGAAAAACTACAAACCGCCAAAGATACAGAAACCTAAAAACCACTGATTTTCGATGCGAAAACCGAAAACCAGATTCCAAAAGCGTCAAAATACGCAAAACCGAAATTCCCAATGCTCCCTTATTTAAGGTCATTGCACATGAATCATACCATTGAGACTCACAATCCTGGCATAAAGTTTTGTTTAAGTACCCCCCTCCCCATCCCCACCCGATCATTATTGGTACAACATCATACATGTACTTGCAAAAACATTGTTCCTTAGGATTTTGCCTCTATTTATAAGTTCATTAACGTTATTGCAAAGGCTATCTGCCTGGGTGATTCCATTGTTAACAGTCATCGCCTTCGTTGACACTGCCGTCACATGCCTTTCAATCATAAACGGAAACACAAACTTCTAAAAGGTCATCTGCATCCAAATCTGATTTTAAATTACTTGAGTAATTGTTATTGTTACAATCGGAGGCTTGGTGAAATTTGCTCGTCCAACGGAAATAAGATTTCATAAGGGCAATTCCCTGAGAGAAAATAATAGACCTTTTTAGCTTGTGTGTTTTGTTTTCCAATTTCAGACCACGTGATGTTACCCCAGAGAACTGTTTCATTCAAATGTGGTCTTACGCACGGGCATCCACGTGCATATGTATGCATGATTTATGAAAGAAGAAAAGGTAAATTCCCTAGAGAACATCACGTGTCTGAATTGGGAAAACAAAACATAACAAGCTAAAAAGGTGTTTCCTCTTTTCGGGCAATTTTTTTTTTGCTTCAAACCGAAAGCCGCGCTGAATACCAAATCCGAACGACCACTTTGATGGTGCTTTAAAAACGAAAACCGCATGCACATAAAGAAAAACTACAAACCGCAAAAGATAGAAAAACCTAAAAACCACTGATTTTCGATGCGAAAACCGAAAACCAGATTCCAAAAGCGTCAGAATACGCAAAACCGAAATTCCCAATGCTCCCTTATTTAAGGACATTGCACATGAATCATACCATTGAGACTCACAATCCGATAAACATGGATAGTCTTAAAGAATTCCTTGCTCCTAAAACATTTAACCGGTTCAGCTTTGTTGTAAATATTTGCTGGATTTTGCTCGGAGTAACTCTATCAGCGATCTTTCTCGACGCGGAAACCAGCGAATCGAGATTTGATTTTCGCTGTGGCTCAAATGGTGACAAGGAACTTATCCGTGGAAAGTGTTACGAACAGTACGAAAAACAGTATCATAAATTCGGCATTCCCGTGTATGGTTTCGTGATCCTAAACTTCTTTCTTACTTCAAGTGTTTGTGTAGTTTACTCACAAGCGGTGAAGGCGAGAGTTTGTGAACTTGAAGCCAATTTACAGGATGTAGAAAATCAGACTCAACTGAGAATCGGGAACCAAACCCGGAAAAAGCTTTTCACGGCGTACTGCTTACAGCTTGTTGCTAGATTTCTTCTTGGAATTATCTTTGTCCTTCTGCAGACCAACCTACTCTATCCTCGTGGCTTTCCCTCGAACTTTAACTGTAATTTAGCCAAAGAGGGCAATTTTACTAACATTACAGTCACTGCTACCGAGTGTCATAATCAGCGAGCAACTAAGAAAACCTTCTGGTCTTATGCCGTGATCGTAGTAACTGGAACTTTTGCGCTTCTTGTATTTATCGAAGTTCTCTGTATCCTGTGGCGTGCAAGAAGGAGAGAAAGGTTCATGGAGGACCAGCAATTTTATAAACATTACCTGAAATCGAATTCAAATGCCTCTCCAAAAGAACCGCAACAACAAGAGTTAACTGAGGTAGTCACCCAGGGTGATGTCAATCAAACCGAGCAACCATCAACCGCTGCATCGAGCAACGCACCACCGTCCTTCAACGACACTAACAGAAACGCGCAAACATCAGTCGGCACGTTCCAAGAACGAATGAAAAACTATATCCGAACAGTCACCGATCGACCTTTGTGTGATCTTAAATCACCTTTTCATCGTAATCCTGGTGAAGGCCTTGGAACAAATCTAACGCTTGACAAAATCTACACCAATTTGATTATTCACGAGGGCAGGGCTTATTTAGATCAATTGACTGGAGACAGAGGGGAACAGCTGAAAAAATACCTCAGAGCCAACGCAAACCTAAAACCAAAAAGGCCAGCGGATGTTTTTGATGCTGAAAAGCAAAACATTCTTGTTGTCGGTCATCCTGGAACTGGCAAAACTTTGTTTTGTACGAAGATTCTTCGCGATTGGGCTTGCGATAACTTGTTCATTGGAGAACAAAACGAACAATTAGATTTCCAAGTCGCTTTTCTCGTCAAGCTGAGGATGTTGAACCGCATAGCTGATCAAGAACTCAATCTTCGCGAACTACTGGAGTATTCAGAGTATTCAACCCCTCTATCCGATGAGCCGGATGAAGTCTGGAAGTACATTCGTCAAAACCCAAATAAAGTTCTTGTGATTTTTGATGGGTTTGACGAATATTCTGGCAGGACTGAAATTGATAATGACGACACTTTGTACAGAAACTGGAAAGAAGACAGGATGCCTCTTCATTCCCTGCTCAAGAAGATCTTATCTGGGAAAATTCTCGCTGGTGCCACAGTGTTAACGACTACAAGACCCACTGCCGTGTCATGTTTTGGAAGTCTTTGCTTTCACAAAGCGGTTGAAATACTGGGATTTACACCACAGCAAGTGGAAGATTATGTGGAAAAGTTCACAAGCGGCGGGCACAAAGCAAAAACTATAAAGGAGCACATCAGAAGTAACCTCAACCTCCTATCCTTTTGCTACATTCCCGTGAATTGTTTCATCATTTGTTCGTGCTTTCTGAAGTTGCTCATTGACAACTCTGCTGACCACCTCGGCTGCCTTTCCACAAAGCTAACAGAAATATACTCCGTTGCCATCAAGATCTTTTACTTCTGTTATGACGATGACCGATACCGCCACCATAAAGACAATGGTAGAGACTTTTACCTTAAGCCATTTAAGGAATTGCCTGAAGCTGTGACCAGGGTGTTTAGCAGGCTAGGAGAAATTGCTTTTAATGGAATTCAACAAGGAAGACTTGTTTTTGAATCACAGGAAGTCAACGACCTAGAGAAGAATGGCTTGTTCCAGCGTTTACCTGATACTAGCAGCGGTTTAAAAGAGGGAAAAGCCCAATACTGTTTTCTCCATCTGACTGTGCAGGAGTTTTTTGCAGCAAAGCATTTGGTGGACACCATGAGTCACGAAGAACTGAAGACATTTGTTTCAGATCACATTAAGGAAGGATCGTGGAAAGTTGTGATGCAGTTTGTGGCTGGACTGCTGGAACAAGAGGAACAGTCAACTGATATTTTCAGCGGCCTTCTTCCATTATCATCTGTTACCAGAGAAACTACAAGTTTCGAAATCAGGAGAGAAGAGTTAGAGGCACGAACTGAAACAGTTACCTGTTGGCCAGCTGAGGGAGACAGAGAACTAGCGGTGACTTTATTCAACTGCATGTATGAGAACAATTCATCCGGTTTAGAAGTTCAAAGGAGATTGGCCCAAATTGATTGCAATGCGCTCGATTTTAGTTCTTGTCGCTTGTCACCTCTTGATTGTTTAACATTAGTGCATGCACTTCAATCTAGTGGTGAAAAAATTGTGCATTTCAATTTAGTGTCTAACAATGTTGCTGACCTTGGTTGCATAGAAATTTCCAAATTGTTTGGTGGCAAAGATCACAATCAGAGTTTTTGCAACCTAAAACGCTTAGACCTCCGTTCTAACAGGATTACAGATGAGGGTGTAAAATACATAACTACAGCACTCATAAACAATAATTGCAAACTAAACAGCTTAGGCCTCGAATTCAATGCGATAACTGATAAAGGTGTAGAGCACTTGACTAAAGCACTCATAAACAATAATTGCAAACTAAACAGCTTAGGCCTTAAAGGGAACGAGATAACTGATAAAGGTGTAGAGCACTTGACTACAGCACTCATAAACAATAATTGCAAACTAAACAGCTTAGGCCTCGAATGGAATAAGATAACTGATAAAGGTGTAGAGCACTTGACTAAAGCACTCATAAACAATAATTGCAAACTAAACAGCTTAGGCCTCGAAATGAATGAGATAACTGACAAAGGTGTAGAGCACTTGACTAAAGCACTCATAAACAATAATTGCAAACTAAACAGCTTAGGCCTCGAAATGAATGAGATAACTGATAAAGGTGTAGAGCACTTGACTAAAGCACTCATAAACAATAATTGCAAACTAAACAGCTTAGGCCTCGAAGCGAAGGCGATAACTGATAAAGGTGTAGAGCACTTGACTACAGCACTTACAAACAATAATTGCAAGCTGAAAAGCCTAAGCCTCCCTGGACTTGCAGTATCTGAGAAAAGTAAAATTCTCATTAATGATACAGCAAAGGACAAAAATTGTGCAGTATTCTTCTATTTTTAAGATACAAACCAGCATTAACCACAATGGACTGCAAAGGACCGCTAACGAATATGCCGAACGTAGGATCTATAAAGATACTTTTATTGCCTTCGAAAGTAAAGGGTTTTCTTAGAGGGATATACAAGTACATCATTCAGATTCAACATGTACACCACCGCACTATCTTTTTTTTATTAGATAAAACGGTCAGAAATGTAAAAATAATATAATATCTTCTCAAACTCAGTTTGTTGTCAGATTTAGGGTCTGAATGTCATGTATCTTCTCTTCAAGGTTCATACTAGAATGCTATTTGCAGTAACTGCTATATTTCACTTTAGTTTCTTATACTTTTATAAGCGTAGATTTTCATCATTCTTCATCATTGTACATAGCTTTTGTTTTAATATGATATTATTAAAGTCCGTGCAAGAAGTTGGCCTGATATCGTTTCTTAATCAACAGTATTTCCTGAGTCTCTCTATTCGATGAGTTCAAATTCCGTTGTTGCAAAAATCTAGAACATCTCGCTACCCTCTAATATTCAGGCTTGGGGAAAAACTGCTCACTTACTTCACTCAAGTTCATGGGGGAAATCAACGAATTAAACCAAAAGAAAATAATGGGATAACACTGAATAAAATTTTGCGGACCTCTCCGGAAACCAACTTCAAATAAATTCATAGTGTCTAATTGGGTCTAAAAATAGCTTTGGTGAAATTCACATATCCCAAAACTCAAAATATACTTTTAGGGCATGCAAATTCCTGTTGTATGCCAATTTAAATAGAAATACTCTGGGGCCACCCCCGCTATTACCAGTGAGCAAATCATTTACGATGGGCACGGAAAAACCCTTACATGCTAACCAAAGTTGACAACGTAGCAGAAATGTCCTCAGTTGCTGAGTCATACCCTGGGGGAGGCTTAAACCTCGGATTTTCTCCGTATGGATGAGGGAATTTTCCCTAAACAGCATGTGGTCATGCCGGTTAGTACGTATTGCCCCTTTTTAAGGCTAGCTAGATTTAATTTCTGGCTCCATGGCCTGGAAATCAGGAAACATTCATGCCCTAAATGTAAAAAGTCCAAAAAATACTCGAAATTTTAGTTTCCAAGCCGTTGTATTCTCTCTTGATTAAACAAATTTATCTGTTATATTGAAACACTGAGTTGACTACCATTCCGGTCATCTTAGTCATACTTACCCTGGCTAGGTATGACTTTAAAAAATTCCAACGAATTTTTCTGACGCCGGAGTGGAACTTTTTCCGTAGGCCTTTTGTCTACAGCTCCGGTGCTCTCTACCACTGAGCTACAAGGAACTCTTAGGAATTAAGGCCACATTCGGGTATCATTAAACCAGAGTCTATTTTTTACATATTATTTTGCCCATTTCCTTTGATATGCTGGCAAACATGCGGTTTTTCATATTTTGAAAAGGAAACGGCCGCTAAGTAGGCTTCATTTATATTAATTTCTAGCTGTAGCGATGTCGTTCTGCTCATTGAAAAGCCCTTTTTCAATAGACCCTTTTACCGATACGGCGGCCATATTGAATTAATTCGATTTGAGGAGTATTATAGGATGCCCAGGGGGCATGATCACATTTCGTTTGTATTTTCGAGCGCTTTTCGGGGCATTTTTTCTTAAAGTTTTCTTAGAATAAGATTTTAATGGGAAAAATATCCTTTTGCCGTGTTTTGATGTAATAGTGATCGCCTTTTTCTAGTTTAGAATTAGAAATATGTTCTTTCACTGTATATTTCTCGGGAAAAAGGCGAAGGTGCAGTATCTGAGAAAAGTAAAATTCTCATTAATGATGCAGCAAAGGACAAAAATTGTGCAGTATTCTATGGTTAAGATACAAACCGGCATTAACCACAAAGGACTACAAAGAACCGCTAACGAATATGCCAAACGTAGGATCTATAAAGATACTTTTATTGCCTTCGAAAGTAAAGGGTTTTCTTAGAAGGGTATACAAGTACATTCAGATTCAACATGTACACCACCGCACTATCTTTTTTTTTATTAGAGAAAACGGTCAGAAATGTACAAATAATATAATATCTTCTTAAACTCAGTTTGTTGTCAGATTTATGGTCTAACCGCCATGTATCTTCGCTTCAAGGTTCATATTAGAATGCTATTTGCAGTAACTGCTATATTTTACTTTAGTGTCTTATACTTTTATAAACTTAGATTTTTATCATTGTAAATAGATTTTGTTTCAATATATGATGTAATTAAAGTCCACGCTAGAAGTTGTCCATGCTAGTATGTCTTCCTCCATAAGTGCCTTCCTCCATACAGGGGCACCCAACGAGAATATAGTTCAAAACCACTTAAACATAGCATTGTTAAACGTATTTTAGTATATATACGGTAGATATAGGCACATTTTTATCCCCGAAAATTTTTCATCTGTTCGGATTTCCTAGCTGAAAGTGTAGTGATCCGAAAATTATAGGGATCAAAACTTACCTTCTCGAAAATTTCAGCCAGAAAAAAGGTTCCCGAAAAATTCTAGGTGACCTTTTTAGGGTAAAAATCCGTTAAAAATAGGCAATTATACCATTTTTTGATCTTCGAAAATCCTAGGAGAGGCAGGCATGCAAGAAATTTTACAACAAATGTTTCGAAAATTCTAGATCTCAAATCGTCTTCCGAACAGATATTCTTCCGAAAATTGTCGTTGGGTGCCCCTGTCCATATATAATTAAGTGTATAGGTTTACTCATGAACGTCTCTCTACTACAATACATACATACTTTATTGTTACCTCCCCAAAGGGGCTTTTCAATAGGAACAATAGGCTTGCTTAGACTTGCTCGTCAAGTAACTTGAGCCCGGTTTACCGGAACGTCTATTAAAATGAAAATAGGAGCGGTCACCTAGCAACGCGAGAACTATGTATACCCTGTATACCCTGTATACCTATGTATACCCTGTATACCCTGTATACCCTGTATACCCTGTATACCCTGTATACCCTGTATACCCTGTATGTATACCCCCTGTATATGTATACCCTGTATACCCTGTATACCCTGTATACCTGTATGCCCTGTATACCCTGTATACCCATGTATACCCTGTATGCCCATGTATACCCTGTATGTATGCCCTGTATACCTGTATATGTATACCCTGTATGTATGTACCCTGTATACCCTGTATACCCTGTATACCCTGTATGCCTATGTATACCCTGTATACCCTGTATACCCTGTATGCCTGTATACCTATGTATACCCTGTATACCCTGTATGCCCTGTATGCCTATGTATACCCTGTATACCCTGTATACCCTGTATACCCTGTATACCCTGTATACCCTGTATACCCTGTATACCTGTATACCCTGTATACCCTGTATACCCTGTATACCTGTATGTATACCCTGTATACCCTGTATACCCTGTATACCCTGTATACCCTGTATACCCTGTATACCCTGTATACCCTGTATACCCATCTATACCCTGTATACCCTGTATACCCTGTATACCCTGTATGCCTGTATGCCCTGTATACCCATGTATACCCTGTATACCCTGTATACCCTGTATACCTATGTATACCCTGTATACCCTGTATACCCTGTATACCCTGTGTATATACCCTGTATACCCTGTATACCCTGTGTATGTATGCCTATGTATACCCTGTATACCCTGTATACCCTATCTATGTATACTGTATACCCTGTATACCCTGTGTATGTACCCTGTATACTGTATACCCTGTATACCTGTATACTTATGTATACCCTGTATACCCTGTATACCTATGTATACCCTGTATGCCCTGTATACCCTGTATATACCCATGTATACCCTGTATACCTATGTATACCCTGTATACCCTGTATACCCTGTATACCCTGTATACCCTGTATACCATGTATACCCTGTATACCCTGTATACCCTGTATACCCATGTATACCCTACTTATGTATACCCTGTATACCCTGTATACCTATATACCCTGTATACCCTGTATACCCTGTATACCCTGTATACCCTGTATACCCTGTATACCCTGTGTATACCCTGTATACCCCTGTATACCCTGTATACCTGTATACCCTGTATACCCCTGTATACCCTGTATACCCTGTATACCTGTATACCTATGTATACCCTGTATACCCTGTATATGTATCTGTATACCCTGTATACCCTGTATACCCTGTATACCCTGTGTACCCTGTATACCCTGTATACCCTGTATACCCTGTATACCCTGTGTATACCCTGTATACCCTGTATACCCTGTATACCCTGTATACCCTGTATACCCTGTATACCCTGTATACCTGTATACCCTGTATACCCTGTATACCCTGTATACCCATGTATACCCTGTATACCCTGTATACCCTGTATGCCTGTATACCCTGTATACCTATGTATACCATGTATACCCTGTATACTCTGTATACCCTGTATACCCTGTATACCCTGTATACCCTGTATACCCTGTATACCTATGTATACCCTGTATACCCTGTATACCTATGTATACCCTGTATACCCTGTATACCCATGTATACCCTGTATACCCTGTATGTATACCCTGTATACCCTGTATACTACCCCTGTATACCCTGTATACCCTGTATACCCTGTATGCCCTGTATACCCTGTATACCCTGTATACCTATGTATGCCCTGTATGCCCTGTATACCCTGTATACCCTGTATACCCTGTATACCTATGTATACCCTGTATACCTATGTATACCCTGTATGCCCTGTATACCTGTATACCCTGTATATACCCTGTATACCCTGTATACCCTGTATACCCTGTATACCCCCTGTATGTATACCCTGTATACCCTGTATACCCTGTATACCCTGTATACCCTGTATGCCCTGTATACCCTGTATACCCTGTATACCCTGTATACCCTGTATACCCTGTATACCCTGTATACCCTGTATACCCTGTATGCCCCCTGTATGTATACCCTGTATACCCTGTATGTATGCCCATGTATACCCTGTATGTATACCTGTGTATACCCTGTATACCCTGTATACCCTGTATATACTGTATGCCTGTATACCATGTATGCCCTGTGTATGCCCTGTATGCCCTGTATACCCTGTATACCTATGTATACCCTGTATACCCTGTATACCCTGTATACCCTGTATACTCTGTATACCCTGTATACCCTGTATACCCTGTATACCCTGTATACCCTGTATGTATAATTCTGTATACCTGTGTATGTATACCCTGTGTATACCCTGTATACCCTGTATGTATACCCTGTATGCCCCTGTATACCCTGTATACCCTGTATACCCTGTATATGTATACCCTGTATACCCTGTATACCCTGTATGTACCCTGTATGCCCTGTATGCCCCCTGTATGCCCTGTATGTATACCCTGTATACCCTGTATACCCTATGTATACCCCCTGTATACCCTGTATACCCTGTATACCCTGTATGCCCTGTATGCCCTGTATGCCCTGTATGCCCTGTGTACCCTGTATGCCCTGTATACCCTGTATACCCTGTATGTATACCTATGTATACCCTGTATGCCCTGTATGTATACCCTGTATACCCCATGTATGTATACCCTGTATGCCCTGTATGCCTATGTATACCCTGTATACCCTGTATACCCTGTATACCCCCTGTATACCCTGTATACCCTGTATACCCTGTATGCCCTGTATACCCTGTATATGCCCTGTATACCCTGTATACCTATGTATACCCTGTATACCCTGTATACCCTGTATACCCTGTATACCCTGTATACCCTGTATACCCTGTATACCCATGTATACCCTGTATACCCTGTATACCCTGTATACCCTGTATACCCCTATGTATACCCTGTATACCCTGTATACCCATGTATACCCTGTATACTTATGTATACCCTGTATACCCTGTATACCCTGTATACCCTGTATACCTATGTATACCCTGTATACCCTGTATACCTATGTATACCTTGTATACCATGTATACCCTGTATACTCTGTATACCCTGTATACCCTGTATACCCTGTATACCCTGTATACCCTGTATACCTATGTATACCCTGTATACCCTGTATACCTATGTATACCGTGTATACACTGTATACCCATGTATACCCTGTATACCCATACATACCCTTGTATACCCTGTATACCCTGTATACCCTGTATACCCTGTATACCCATGTATACCCTGTATACCCTGTATACCCTGTATACCCCGTATACTTATGTATACCCTGTATACCCTGTATACCCATGTATACCCTGTATACCTATGTATACCCTGTATTGTCTGTATACCCATGTATACCCTGTACACCCATGTATACCCTGTATACCCTGTATACTCATGTATACCCTGTATACTGATGTATACCCTGTATACCCTGTAGATCCTGTATACCCTGTATATTCATGTATACCCTGTATACCTTGTATACCCTGTATACCTTGTATACCCTGTATACCCTGTATACCCTGTATACCCTGTATACCCTGTATACTCATGTATACCCTGTATACCCTGTATACCCTGTATACCCTGTATACCTTGTATACCCTGCATTCCTTGTATACCCATGTATACTTATGTACTCCCTGTATATCCATGTATACATTGTATACCCTGTGTGCCCGGTATAGCCTGTCTACCCTTTAGTAAAAAAATCATGTTTGATATACAAAATAAATGTTTTATGTAAACAATTTAATATTGAAAATAAATCAGTTACTTTAAAAAAAAAACCCTTCTGCTTTCCTACAGTTTGTCAGTACATTTTAAAAACCACCAAGTCAATCTGATAAATGCAAACAAAAAAACTAAACTTCTACTCCACCTATACAAACGAAAAAAAGTACTCTGAATTCATTTAGCATATCAGGAAGCCTGAACATAAACTCATCTCCTTCAAATTTAAGATAGGAAATCACAAATCTGAAAGATTTACAATCCGCAAAACTCCCGAAGACCTAAGAATTTGTGATCACTGCAGTCTAAATTGTTGAAAATTAAATACACTTATTATTTCATTGGTCCTTAAAAAGTCTCTTTTCAGTAAAATGAAAAACAAAATACGTTATTTACAAATTAAAATACTAATGATAAAATCTGTTTTCTTTTTAATATTAATACTGATTCGTACATGCGCAAGGTTACTGCTTCCAAGTATTTGAGAGACGAAAGAAGAATAATGATAATAATAATCGATAAATTATCCCATTCTATTACATCTGTAACTCCTTTGCAATCTTCGTCTTGATATTATTGTATTTCAGTGTACAGGTAACACCATGTTAAAAAATATATAGTAATACTAAATAAACTTGTTGTTGTTGTTGTATTCTTTGTATTTCCTTTATCTTTCCATTTTCAAGAGCAATATCCTATAAATGCGATATCACAGCGACGTCAGTCATTAAATTGACAGATGATGACAATAGAGGGTCATTTGATAAGGTAGAATTCGTAGCCCTTTAATTATTGCTATCATATCATTTTATTTAATTCTACTCATGTGTCTAGAAAATTTATTTTAATTAGAGAAATGATCGCCAGGGTGAAATTGTCGAAGAATATGTTGGGATTTAATTTTAGGGATATTTATCTATTTGTCGTTTTATTGTTGTTTTGGTTCAGTAGTATTTTAAATGAATAAGATCATTAAACAACATCGATCTAATAGTTAGCATTTCATCATCGATTTGTATATATTTACGTTTTACTAACATTTCAACGTACTTCATAATGTTTTATCCTCAACGAACTATTTCATTAAGGAGGCTGACGACCACCACATCTTTTAGCCTAAAATTGAATGACGAATAGTTTCAAAACCCTCGTTTGCTGTGTTACCAAGTTTTTAAGACTAAAAGGCTCTTCATATTCAATTCTACTTCCTGAGCCAAACTTTTCTTATTTCCTCAACCTTCAGTAAACTAGAATTTCAAACTGTAGTTTGGCATAAATTTTCAACCTAGCGAGTTGCATCTTGTTCGGAATCTTGTATTGTATTCAACTCTTCAGGACTTTTCAATTTCTCAAATTTTTGCACGAACAAATTAAAGAAACCGTACTTAATTCCACATTCTTTTATTTTTTGGGTTCGGTGCAGCTGCAAAGCGCCTACTTTTCGCCTAAACGACGGTATTTGTCTGTGGGAACATTCTCTCTATCGTCTGCACTAAATAGAGCTCAGCTGAGAGCTGCAGTGCTTGTAAACACTTAGTCACTTGAATTTCCACCCTTGAGCTGAACCGACTATCAAGAATACTGGAAGCTTAACTGACAACCGTACGTCCTACTTTGAACCCACTTTAACGATCTGTCCCGTAGAAAAATTGTCTAGATATTTAAACAGATTTCTCCAATCCTGAGAATCAGATGAAATATGTGGACAGCAGTGAAGAGTGATATGTTAGCTCGGATGGTTAACCTCGGTTTATCTGTCAACTTGTGCCCTTCCCAGGGGAATTCTTATTGATTTTTCATAGCAGTAACAGTTGTATTAGTTGGGAACAAAAACCCAGAAAGGTAAAGAAAAGAGTGATAACACAATTCGCCCAGAAATTGGCATACTCCTCGTCAAACTACCCCATTCCATACACTCTAGGCCACGTAAGAGAGGCTATATGTAACCCGCAAAGGATACGCGAGGACAAACTGGTCAGTGTGTACGTACTCTTATCATAGTTAGTAGAGGAGACTAATTAGGAAACCCGGCAAACATCAAAGTGCTGTAGGTTATGTTGGAAGCACCCTGACCGTGCGCAATCCTTTGTTTTCTTTTCGCAAATTATCAATGAAGAAATTCATGCAATGTTTCTATTGGTCAAAAACTTCCAAATGATAGGAATGCTATTGAACATTGTGCACGGTCAGGTCCAAAAAAGCCAACAAAAACCTATAGCAAAGGGTTTCCCAACCATTCCACTTTAATTAACTACGCTGTTATAGAGGAACAAAAGAAGAAATTAAGTGAATAATTTAACGATATCGATGGTTGACATTTTTATTATTTTGTTACAATTTAAATACATTTGCGAATCATTGTATCCCGAAATGAGTTATGATATAACAAAATGTCGGAGTGGAATGTCGAATTAATGCAATACAAAATTATGTCTACTCAGTGGAGGCAACATAGACTACCCTACATTAAAAACTCTGATTAATATAACGCGAACGTTTATTAGTCATTTAAAGGAGCTACGTCATCGTTTGTGCGTATTGAATAACTTATCCCAATGTTTTTCAAGTTCGTCATTTGCAATCCACGTTAATCTTCTCTATCCTTGACCATCCTCGGTATCTTTCTGGCTTATTTTTTCCTCCTTAGTGTTTGTCAGCCTATCAAACTGGAATTTTATGGTTTCCTTCTTTTTTAAAGGTAATTTTTTATGTCACAAAAACTACTTGTAATGTTGTGACGTAACTCGTTTAATTAACATCACATTTCGGTATTTTCCACGAGGTTTAATGTGACAATTAAAAAATGCGTTTCGTAGCTACTACAGAATTCCCTCTCTATCATTGTTTTCTTTGGAAAAGGATCTTAATATCGTTATGTCACATTCATGTCCATTACCGCTTGATAACATTTTGAAGGAAGGAAATGGCCTCTAGTAACACCAATTACAGCAACAGAACATTGAAGCTTACAAATGTCGCGGAGGACTTCTGTGTCCGGAAGCCAGAAATAATTTTGCTTAAAGTATCAAACATGCAGATAAAGAAATGTTTTCTGTATGTATGTCTATATTCAAGAAAATAAGAAATTCTTCGTAATAACAGCTGGATTTGTGTTGTATTTAGTTCCAGAGTTCTGCAAGGTGCAATGGCGACATAGTCATCCTGATGAATGGCGTTGGCTTCCCTTCCGCACCTCAGGTGAAATTTCCAATCACTGAAAAGATAACAAAAATGGCCATTTCCTCAGAAACATCTGTAATTGTATACTTGAGCGTATTACTATGTTTGGTTGCAGAGAAACCAATATTGAAATAGTCTATTTTTTGTGACTGTTTACTTATCAAAATGCAAATTGATTCTGTTTAACTTCCTCTACTTCTACTTTACGAAATGTTATGTCTGCCTACTGCCCACTGTTCATGACATCTCATCCATTTATATGGTCATAAATGTTTTCTTTCTGAAAAACATCCATCTTTTCGTAAGCAGTAATACGATTCCAAACTTAGATCGTAATTCTCTCTCAGCAAATTATCTTAGAGGTGTTCTTCCTTGATCGTTTGGCAGGCAGATTCAGCTCTTTTTCAGTAAGCGAGTCCTTTAGGCTATCCAGTATATTTCCTGTATTAACGAGACGATACAATCTGGGTTAGATATACCCCTACATGGAAAACTTAACCAAGTTACGATGAAAAAACATTAATTTTAAAATCAAGCCATGTAAGACACGCGGGACTAGTGCCAAGCACTATCGCACTTAAACAGTTTTGGCCTGCAGACAATTATATATATATTTTTTTAACTAAAGTGTCACCATTCACTATTATGCACTATTTTCTATTCAATAAGCTTTTATACCTCTTCTTGTTTTTTTTTAGAGCCAGTTGGTTTGTTTTGTTTGTCCATGGTTTCTGCTTCTACAGGAAAAAATGATACAAAAGAACTAAGGAAGGGTGGATAAAGAGAAAAAAAGGAAGAAAAGATTGAAGAAATTTAAATTAAAGTAAAAAACACGGTGATTAAAATATCGTGGAAGCAAATAACATAAATGTCACCGTAATAATTGAGTGACTGGAACCTACAAATGAAGCTTTTCGTAGTATTATGTAAATTAATAATGTCATAACTCTATTCTCACCTTTTACTGCATTTACTAACAAGATATCATCAAGCTCCTAAAACAGACAGAAATTTATTGCAAGAACTCGCGTTGAAAGGACCCTTTTTAACTCAAACAGGAAACGCGATGCAAACTTACCATCTATAGGTGACATGCTCATAAACAGTAGAAAGAAGATTCTGTTAACAGGAGTACCGCAATCGAGCAGAGCCCTTGACGAAACCAATAACAAAGTTCACGAAATAAATTTCCATGTGATTACAAATGCTACAGAGGATAAAAAAATAAATTTGAAAACAACATCTATAGAGAATATTTCTCACATACAAACCCGTCTTAAATCATTAATCGATAGCAATGACGAGAGTTCTACGTGTAGTGATGGTGAAAACGTGGAGAACAGTTTAAAGGCGAATGTCGAAAACTTTGTCATTCTTAGAGACGCTTTACAGTGGTGGAAAATGAGCAAGATCGTTGAGGAAAAAACGGGGCCAAAACTATTCAATTTCAAGAAGATAGTGACTTATGTTAGACCGTTAAAAACAAAGGCATTAATGGAAAATAAAACAGTAGCTGGAGACCCAACAAAAAGTGACAGAAAAAGGCTTACTGAACTAGCCTCGACTTGGGGATTTGACATTGTTGAGGTAACGGGTGACGGCAATTGCCTTTTTACGGCAGTCGCAATGCAATTGCAACAAATGATGAGCTTGAATGCACATAATGAATCATTGTTAATGTCGCACCTTGCGGAACAGATGGGAATAGACACATCTACATCCATCAACGATATTGGTAGCATTCTCAGGAGTAAAGTCGTCCAAGAATTGAAGGGAGAACGAGTAGATTTTTATCAGTCATTTCTGCCCAGTGATGTAAACTTTTTTTCGGAGGCAGATCGTTTTATCCAATCGGGAACGTTTTCAGGTCCGCTAGGCGATCTTATACCTCTAGCAATCGCAAACGTTATTCAAATACCTTTATTTGTCTTAAATCCAAGTTTTTTGACTCCTTTTGTGATGATTTCTCCTGAAGGGATGGTGCCAGCCTCAAACGTCGTCTATCTCGCGTATAATGCAAGTGGTCCAGGACACTATGATGCGCTAATTATCTCCCAACGTGATCAGCAGGAGCGATTCACTTCTGAAACAAACAGCAATCTCGATCCTCTCGAGAGTCAGTCCACGCTTTCCACGCGGAGAAAGTGCCAATCTCAACTCCAAGAAAACCATGTCGATGCGGAGAAAAAAATAAATACAAATCAAAAGCAAAAGCGTCAAGGAACTACAAAGGCAGGTGCAAGTGCATCAACGAATACGGTACCTGTATGAGCGCATGCAGTTGTTGTGGATGGTGCCAAGGCAAACAATGTGGGGGAAACCAAAGGCTTCCTCGAGACAAAAAATGTAGAACACCGAGAAAGCGAAGTAAAAAATACAGGCATACCGTGAAAGCGAAGCGATCAAGACTTTCACTGGAAGAAAATGACGAGAAAATCAAAGATCCTGGATTGAATGAGCTCGAGTTCTTTGTCATGCATGCTATTATCCAGCATGTCAACTCAAAGAATGATGTCAAAAATGACAACAGTCATTTTTGTGACATGTTTAGCAAAATAGTCAAAGTCGTAAATAGTTTCGCTTTTCTAATGGTTCTTCCCATATTTCACCATTCCTTACGGGTGCTTTACGATGAAAAAAAAAGAAAGTATGATAAGCTAAGGAAACGTTAGATACTAGATAGTATGTGGCTCTGTACCGTGCATGGACGTAATAGTAAGAAAACACCATATGATCGATAATGAGAACCGTATAATTTTATGCAAAGAATATCAATATAGTGTGCTTACTCTCACCAGATCTATATGAGATTCCCAAGAGATTCTAAACTCATAGTTGTTAAATTCGCTGTAAAGTTTTATTTATGTTTTGAACGCGAACCTGGGAAATGTTACGTTGTAACTAAACCAATACCTCCCTTTGCAGAGTACTATACTGTTTTGAGGTCTATGTAAGTTATGTATGTTTTATGTAATTTGCATCCTTCAAAGTCAAACCCTGTTTCCTCTTTTGATGTCCAAACCACCCCTGCGCAGAAATTTTAAGAGTTATAAGAAGTTGATATTATGCAGTAAACATCTAAAGTCGGTGGCCTTGGTAAATCACAATAAATTGAGCGATGAAGTTATTGTGTATTACCTAATTGTTTATCAGTTTAGCCTACTTCGGAATTTACATTGCCTTAGCCAATAATGTAACGCCGGACGAAATAATGAGTAATTAAAACAATAAGTAATTAAAAGTTTCATCTGATGAGGATAAAGGCTGTCCTTAATCAAAAATGCGAAAACTGTGTACTCAGCAATGGTTGAATGAGCTCATTCAAGCAATTTCTTTCGGACTCAAAGGGGAGTTAGGCAAGCCTGTCCCCTTTCCCCATATTTGTTTATTCTTGCTGCGGAGATCTTGGCCAAGACCGTCCGAAACAACAAGGGCATAACAGGTTTTTCTCTGGGTAATGACGAAGTTAAGATAAGCCAACACGCTGATGATACCACTCTTGTGTTAGACGGTTGAGAGAAATCCCTTATACCAGCAATACAAAGTTTAGATGATTTTTGTCAGATCTCCGGCCTCAAGTTAAACGATAGCACAACGGAAGCCCTTTGGATCGGTTCTAAGACAGCACATGAACAAATCCTTGTTTCAGGAAAGAAGTTTAAATGTCCAAAATATAAAGTCAAACACTTGGTCTGTGGCTGTCAACCGATCCGGACATGGCTTTGACGTTGAATTACAACGAAAAAACTGAAAACATTAGGAAGCTTTTGAGTTGCTGGAAATATTGCAGGCTCACGTTGTTAGGGAAAATTACTGTCCTTAACTCACTGACCGCATCACAACTGGTATACTTGCTCTTCCCTTTTACGCTCAAATCATTACGCTACAAAGGAAATAAATGACATGTTTTACCATTTTCTATGGAATGGTGAAGGTGACAAAATCAAGAGAAAAGTTATGATCAATGAACCTGAGTATGGAGGTCTGAAGATGATTGAACTTTATCCTTTCAACAAATGTCTTAAAACAACATGGGTTAAAAAGTACTTGGACGCTACTTAAAACGGAAAATGGAACGTTATCTTTGATCTATAACTGGAGAACTACGGCCGCAATCTCATTTTCCGTGGTAATCTCAACCGTTGAGACTCAACGTCTCTGACACTATGAAAGAGATTAGGGCAACGGACCCCGTAACTAAAGAAAAATTGGAATATTGGAAAGAAATAAACTTTGTGGATAAAGTAAGTTCTGATATCGCTTGTCAAGAACAGGTTCTGTGGTTCAACTCTTTGATAAGGATAGATAATGAAAAATTTCTTTTTTAAAGAGTGGTTTGAAATAAGTATCTCCAAAGTTAAGCACGTCCAAACGGGAAACGATAATTTTGTGACTCTCAAAGATTTTGCCTCCAAACATGATTTAAGAGTACGCCCGCTCCGTTTTTACGGTTTACTATCAGCTGTTCAACGAATTCGCAAAAATGTTACCGATACTGCTGAGACAAAAGACTATAACTCTGAAACACCGGGTGAAAACTGAATTGTTAAAAGAGAAAAGCTAGGTCCATTAATTTACCAAAAGCTGACCAGAGCCAATAGTTTAACCGCACGTAAAAGCCAACTAAAATGACTTCAAGACTGTAACTACTCAGACGAAGAAGGAACATATAACTAAGAACTTGCCTATTTTATGGCGCAAAGTAGCACCAAACTGAGTTCCAATTTATACTATCACATAGGCGCATACCAACCACTGATTTCTGACTTAAAAAGGACGAAAAGAAAATGACATATATGCCTTTTGGAATAATTCCTCAGACACGCTAATTCATCTTTTTTGGTCTTGCCATGTTACATGAGTATACAGGGTATAAAAGGGTATACATGGGTATACAGGGTATACATGAGTATACAGGGGTATACATGGGTATCCAGGGTATACAAGGTATACATGGGTATACAGGGTATACATGGGTATACAGGGTATACAGGGTATACATGGGTATCCAGGGTATACATGAGTATACAGGGTATACAGGGTATACAGGGTATACAAGGTATACAGGGTATACAGGGTATACTGGGAGCACATGGGTATACAGGGGTATACAGGGTATACAGGGTATACAAGGTATACAAGGTATACAAGGTATACAGGGTATACAGGGTATACATGGGTATACAGGGTATACATGACTATACAGGGTATACAGGGTATACATGAGTATACAGGGGTATACAGGGTATACAGGGTATACAAGGTATACATGGGTATACAGGATATACATGAGTATACAAGGTATACATGGGTATACATGGGTATACAGGGTATACAGGGTATACAAGGTATACATGGGTTTACAGGGTATACTGGGAGTACATGGGTATACAGGGGTATACAGGGTATACAGGGTATACATGGTATACAGAGTATACAAGGTATACAAGGTATACAGGGTATACATGGGTATACAGGGTATACTGGGAGTACATGGGTATACAGGGTATACAGGGTATACAAGGTATACAAGGTATACATGGGTATACAGGGTATACATGGGTATACAGGGTATACAGGGTATACAGGGTATACTGGGAGTACATGGGTATACATGGGTATACAGGGTATACAGGGTATACTGGGAGTACATGGGTATACATGGGTATACAGGGTACACAGGGTATACTGGGAGTACATGGGTATACATGGGTATACAGGGTATACAGGGTATACAGGGTATACTGGGAGTACATGGGTATACATGGATATACAGGGTATACAGGGTATACAAGGTATACAAGGTATACATGGGTATACAGGGTATACAGGGTATACTGGGAGTACATGGGTATACATGGGTATACAGGGTATACAGGGTATACAAGGTATACAAGGTATACATGGGTATACAGGGTATACAGGGTATACATAAGTATACGGGGTATACAGGGTATACAGGGTGTACAGGGTATACATGGGTATACAGGGTATACAGGGTATACAGGGTATACATAGGTATACAGGGTATACATGGGTATACAGGGTATACAGGGTATACATAGGTATACAAGGTATACAGGGTATACATGGGTATACAGGGTATACATGGGTATACAGGGTATACAGGGTATACAGGGTATACTGGGAGTACATGGGTATACATGGGTATACAGGGTATACAGGGTATGCATGGGTATACAAGGTATACAGGGTATACATGGGTATACAGGGTATACATGGGTATACAGGGTATACATGGGTATACAGGGTATACAGGGTATACATGGGTATACAGGGTATACAGGGTATACATGGGTATACAGGGTATACAGGGTATACAAGGTATACAAGGTATACATGGGTATACAGGGTATACATGGGTATACAGGGTATACAGGGTATACAGGGTATACTGGGAGTACATGGGTAAACATGGGTATACAGGGTATACAGGGTATTCAGGGTATACTAGGAGTACATGGGTATACATGGGTATACAGGGTATACAGGGTATACAAGGTATACAAGGTATACATGGGTATACAGGGTATACATGGGTATACAGGGTATACATGGGTATACAGGGTATACAGGGTATACAGGGTATACTGGGAGTACATGGGTATACAGGGTATACAACTGACATGGGTATACATGGGTATACAGGGTATACTGGGAGTGTATGGGTATACATGGGTATACAGGGTATACAGGGTATACAAGGTATACAAGGTATACATGGGTATACAGGGTATACATGGGCATACAGGGTATACAGGGTATACAGGGTATACTGGGAGTACATGGGTATACATGGGTATACAGGGTATACAGGGTATACAAGGTATACATGGGTATACAGGGTATACAGGGTATGCATGGGTATACAAGGTATACAGGGTATACATGGGTATACAGGGTATACATGGGTATACAGGGTATACATGGGTATACAGGGTATACAGGGTATACATGGGTATACAGGGTATACAGGGTATACATGGGTATACAGGGTATACAGGGTATACAAGGGTATACAAGGTATACATGGGTATACATGGGTATACATGGGTATACAGGGTATACAGGGTATACATGGGAGTACATGGGAGTACATGGGTATACATGGGTATACAGGGTATACAGGGTATACAGGGTATACAGGGTATACATGGGAGCACAGGTATACATGGGTATACAAGGGTATACAGGGTATACATGGGTATACAGGGTATACATGGGTATACAGGGTATACATGGGTATACAGGGGTACAGGGAGTACAGGGTATACATGGGTATATGGGTATACAAGGTATACAGGGTATACATGGGTATACAGGGTATACATGGGTATACATGGGTATACATGGGTATACAGGGTATACAGGGTATACATGGGTATACAGGGTATACAGGGTATACATGGGTATACAGGGTATACAGGGTATACATGGGCATACAGGAGAATGGACATTCTATTACTGTTATATGAAACACTAGGTCTATTTGGCGTAAGCGTAACATGAAAGAATAACCGCGAGAAACGGCTTATGCCCCCTTATCTCTTCTTATTTAGCGCTAAAAACTCGAATATATCAACAAAACATACAAAAAGTAGAACTGAAAACGCTCTATTTCAATTTGGCTGAATATTACAGAACCGTTTTCTCCTATCTATCTCGAGGAAATGAAAGACTATTAAAGTCTCAGCGTTTCACGCACCGTTAGTTAATTATGTGAGTTTCCAATCCCACCGTTAGCTACCGTTGCATACAAATTAGTTCAGTACAGGAAAAACCCGAAGAGAGAACCTTGACGTATTAGTATAAAAGCCATTTAAAATAATTTAACAAGGATCAATTAAAACACGCGACTAATAAACGCTAGCACTAAAATCAGACAGGAGATACCGTTTTAAAAACTTTATTAAAACACAATGACAAAAAGAATCAAATACACAGTGATTAGATTCGATTGAGCCGATAAAAATGTCGCTCGCAAGTCACGCATTATTTTCTTCAGATTTTGAGACTTTATTCACCAAAACAGCCTGTCGTACCCATTGGACAATTGGAAGTACAGCCAGCCCCGTCATGTTCGCTAAGACCTGCAGTACAATGATGAAGAATAATTTGGACAACCTCGCTGAATGACCTAAATCCACTCTACTTCTGTTGTTCGGCTTGTTACGCAAGGGCCGTCGCAAGGAATGTAAGCTATCAGCCTTTTGCTGTAATACCGTAAAATTCCGAAAATAAGCCCCTCCGTTTATTAGCTCCTCTGAAGATAAGCTTCCCAAACCGGTAACGCAAAAAACCCTCCGTTAAATCGCGCCTCCAAACGATAAACCCCCGGGGGGGCTTGTACTTGGAAAATTGCCCTCAAATACAAAGTAAAACAAAGCAAAAAACGGTAAATTTACTTCCAACTATTAGGCTAGCCCAATCGATTTTGAAACGCAAATTTCCCTCCGTAGATAAGCCCCTCCAAAAATAAGCCCCTCAAAAAGGTCTTCTGAAAAATATCAGCCCCGGGGCTTATTTTCGGAATTTTACGGTATCTAAAATGTCGCTGAAAGCTCCTGCATTTTGTTGGCCTGCAACAGGATTTATACTTAAACCCCAACGTCTGTAGACTTTCTGAAGTAGCTTACAGCTAAAAAATACATACCCTAGAATTATAAGCTGTGAAATGTGTAAAATACCGTCTATTGGGGATGACGTCGAAGATTCGAGAAAGGAAGTAGTTTGACCTGACACCAATATGACGTACATTGAAAAAACAAAAGGATCGGTGTAAATGGACTATTGCATTTTAAGTGGTAATCGTTGATTGGTCACGGATATCTATGTCCCATCTGGACTCTGGACTGAATTCTTATATTTTCACAGTCGGGGGCTTTTTTCTTTTGTTTTTGCTTTTTTAAAATTTTTTCTGAACATTGCTATTAAAGAAACGTGCAGTCATACTTGTTTTAAACAGAATCGCAGAGCTTTGTTTATCATGTATCAGACAATACATCTTTCTTTTCCATCACTCCCAGATGTTGCGTTTACCCGCAGTCCATTCCAGTCCAGTTCATTATGCCATCAGACCAGAATTTAATCATTTTGCCTCTGAGAAATCGATAGATATACGACATGGGACATCTTAAAGAATCGGTTTCTCCAAAGACACTCCACTGGCTCAGCTATGTGGCAAGTGTATTGTGGATTGTGCTTGGAGTTATCTTTTTTGGAATCTTTGCAGCCATGGAAAGCAACGAGTCAAGATTTGATTTTCGCTGTGGTTCAAATAAAGACAAGGAACTTATTCGAGGAAAGTGCTACGAACAGTATGAAAAACAGTACCACAAAATGCCTGTTTATTGGTTCGTTATCATTAACTTCTTCGTTACTTCAAGTGTTGCAGTAATTTACTCACAAGTGGTAAATTCGAGAGTTAATGAACTTGAAGCCCATATAAAGGATGAAGAACAGCAAGCTGAACGGAGGATCAGGAACCCAACCCAGAAAAAGCTTTTCACAGCGTACTGTTTTCAGCTTGCCGCCAGATTTCTTCTTGGGATTTTTTTCGTCGTTATACAGGCCAATTTACTTTATCCTCATAACTTTCCCTCGAACTTTCACTGTAATTTAAAAGACAACTCTACAAACATCACGACTTCCAAAGTAAAACGGACTCAAACTTCATACGAATGTCATAATCAGCGAGCTGCTAAGAAAACCTTCGGCTGTCACTTCTTGATCGGAGTAACTGGGTTTTTTGCGTTACTTGCGTTTGTCGAGGCTACCTTTATCTTGTTTAAGTTTGTACGATCAATAAGAAGAGAAGAAAGGTTCATGGAGGACCCGCAATTTTATAAATATTATCTGAAATCGAATTCAAATGCTTCTCTTTTAGAACCGGAACGACAAATCTTATATCGAACCATCAACCATCAACATCAACATCAACATCAACCAGCAACATCAACTGCCGCATATATTGAACGTATGAAGACGTATGTCCAAACAGTCACCGATCGACCTTTAAGTGATCTTAAATCACCTTTCCATCGTAATCCTGGTGAAGGCTTCGGAACAGATATAACGCTTGATCAAATCTACACCAATTTGAATATTCATGAAGGCAGGGTCGATTCAGAGCACTTGGCTGGAGACAGAGACACGCTGCTGAAAAATTATCCCCGCACAACTGCAAACTTACGACCAAGGCCAGCAGATATTTTTGACGCTAAAAAACTGAACATTCTTCTTGTTGGTCATCCCGGAACTGGAAAAACTATGTTCTGTACAAAGATTCTTCGCGACTGGGCCTCCGATAAATTATTCTTTGAAGGACAAAAGAAACAACTGGATTTCCAAGTCGCTTTTCTCGTTAAGCTGAGGATGTTAAACTGCCTAGCTGATCAAGAACTCAATCTTCGAGAACTGCTGGATCATTCAGAGTATTCAGCAGCCCTATCCGATGAGAATGAAGTCTGGGACTACATTCGTCAAAATCCAAGTAAAGTTCTTGTGATTTTTGATGGATTTGATGAATATTCTGGTAGAACTGAAATTGATAACGATGACATTTTGTACAGAAACTCGCGGGAAGAAGACAGAATGCCTCTTCATTCTCTGCTCAAGAACATATTATCTGGGAAAATTCTCGCTGGTGCCACAGTGTTAACGACCACAAGACCCAACGCCCTGTCATGTTTTGGAAGTCTTTGCTTTCACAGAACAGTTGAAATTTTGGGATTTACAACTGATCAAGTGGAAGAGTATGTGCAAAAGTTCACAAATGGCGGAGACAAAGCAGAAACCATGAAGGAACACATCAGAAGTAACCTTATCCTCCGATCTTTCTGTTACATTCCCGTGAATTGTTTCATCATTTGCTCGTGCTTGCTGAAGTTGCTCGTTGACAACTCTGCTGACCACCTTGGCTGCCTCCCCACAAAGCTAACAGAAATATACTCCGTTGCCATCAAGATCTTTTACTTTTGTTATGACGATGACCGATTCCGACACTCAAAACACAAAGGTAGAGACTTTTACCTTAAACCATTTAAGGAATTGCCTGAAGCTGTGACCAGGGTGTTTAGCAGGTTAGGAGAAATTGCTTTTAATGGAATTCGACGAGGAAGACTTGTTTTTGAATCACAGGAAGTCAACGACGTAGAGAAGAATGGCTTGTTCCAGCGTTTACCTGATACTAGTAGTGGTTTTAAAGAGGGAAAAGAACAATACTGTTTTCTCCATCTCACTGTGCAGGAGTTTTTTGCAGCGAAGCATTTAGTGGACACCATGAGTCACGAAGAACTGAAGACATTTGTTTCAGATCACATTAAGGAAGGATCGTGGAAAGTTGTGATGCAGTTTGTGGCTGGACTGCTGGAACAAGAGAAACGGGCAACTGATATTTTCAGCGGCCTTCTTCCCTTATCATCTGTTACCAGAGAAGCTACAAGTTATGAATTCAGGAGAGATGAGTTAGAGGCACTACCTGAAACAGTGACCTGTTGGCCAGCTAAGGAAGACAAAAACCTAGTGGTGACTTTATTCAACTGCATGTATGAGAACAATTCATCCAGTTTAGAAGTTCAAACGAGACTGGCCCAAATTGATTGCAATGCGCTAGATTTTAGAAATGTTAGATTGTCACCTCTTGATTGTTTAACATTAGTGCATGCACTTCAATCTAGTGGTGAAAAAATTGTGTATTTCAATTCAGCGTATAGCAATATTGCTGACCTGGGTTGTATAGAAATTTCCAAATTATTTGGTGGCAAAGATCACAATCAGGGCTTTTGTAACCTACAATTCTTAAACCTCAGTAATAGCAGAATTACGGATAAGGGTGTAGAATACTTGACTACAGCACTCATAAACAATAATTGCAAACTAAACAACTTAGACCTCGCAATGAACAAGATAACTGATAAAGGGGTAGAACACTTGACTAAAGCACTCATAAACACTAATTGCAAACTAAATAGCTTAGGCCTCGAAGGGAACCAGATAAGTGATAAAGGGGCGGAACACTTAGCCACAGCACTCATAAACACTAATTGCAAACTAAATAGCTTAGGCCTCGTAGGGAATAAGATAACTGATAAAGGGGTAGAACACTTGACTAAAGCCCTCATAAACACTAATTGCAAACTAAATAGCTTAGGCCTCGGTATTTTTGGCCGAAGAACCGATAAAGGTGTAAAATACTTGACTACAGCACTGACACATACCAATTGCAAACTAAACAGCTTAAGACTCCGTAGTACTCAGGCAACCGATCAATTTATAGAACATTTGGCTACTGCACTTATAAACAATAATTGCAAACTAAACCTGAGCTTAATACTCGATAGTAACCTAGGCTACATAACTGATAAAGGTGTAGAACATTTGACTAAAGTACTTACAAGCAGTCATTGCAAACTGAAAAGACTAAGGCTCCATACACGTGCACACCGCGTATCTGAGAAAAATAAAATTCTCATTAATGATATAGCAAAGGACAAAAATTGTGAAGTAAGCTTAATTTGGAATAGTTCAAAAGACTATGATATTCCAAACGAAGATTTTCCTTAGAAGGGTATACAAGTACATTCAGATTCAACATGTACGCTACCGCACTATCTTTTTTTTTTATTAGATAAAACGGTCAGATATACAAAAATAATATAATATCTTTTCAAACTCAGTTTCTTGTCAGATTTATGGTCTGATCGTCATGTATCTTCGCTTCAAGGTTCATATTAGAATGCTATTTGCAGTAACTGCTATCTTTTACTTAAGTGTCTGATACTTTTATAAACTTAGATTTTTATAATTGTACATAGCTTTTGTTTTAATATGATGTAATCAAAGTCCATGCTAGAAGTTGTCCATGCTAGTATGTCTTCCTCCATAAGTGCCTTCCTCCATATATAATTAAGTGTATAGGTTTACTCATGAACGTCTCTCTACTACAATACATACATACTTTATTGTTACCTCTCCAAAGGGGCTTTTCAATAGGAACAATAGGCTTGCCTAGACTTGCCCGTTAAGTAACTTGAGCCCGGTTTACCGGAACGTCTATTAAAAGGAAAATAGGAGCGATAACCTAGCAAAGTGAGAAACGGCTTATGTCTTCTTATTTAACGCTAAAAACTCGAATATGCCAACAAAACATACACAAAGTAGAACTGAAAACGCTCAATTTCAATTTTGTCTGACTACTACACAACCGTTTTTCTCCTATCTATCTCGAGGAAATGAAACCGGATTCGCGCCAGTCCATTGTAACGCGAGTATAAATAAGAGCTCCGCATCTCATTTCTGCCCAGTTAGCGTAAGACTGGCAGCCGTGAATTGTTTGTCTCTCCCTTTCACGTTTGCCTCCTCGGCGGCCGCGCTTCTGTTTTCCCTCCCTCCCTTCCCTGTCCTTTCCACTTCCAACTCACTCAAGCGCGGTTCCATTTCTCCGTCTGAAAATAGGAGCGATCAACTAGCAACGCGAGAAACGGCTTATGTCTTCCTATTTAGCGCTAAAAACTCGAATATACCAACAAAACATACACAAAGCAGGACTGAAAACACTCTATTTCAATTTTGTCTGACTATAACAGAACCGTTTTTCTCCTATCTATCTCGAGGAAATGAAAGACTATTAAAGTCTCAGCGTTTCACGCACTGTTAGTCAGTTAATTATGCGAGTTTGCAAACCCACCGTTGCATACAAATTAGTTCAGTACAGGAGAACCCCAAGAGAGAAACTTGTTTAAAATAACTTAACAAGGATCAATTGAAACACGCGACTAATAAACGCTAGCAATAAAATCAGACAGGAGATACCGTTTTAAAAACTTTATTAAAACATAATGACAAAAAGAATCAAATACACAGTGATTAGATTCGATTGAGCCGATAAAAAAAGTCGCTAGCAACTCACGCATTATTTTCTTCAGATTTTGAGACGTTATTCACCAAAACAGCCTGTCGTACCCATTGGACAATTGGAAGTACAGCCAGCCCCGTCATGTTCGCTAAGACCTGCAGTAGAATGATGAAGAATAATTTTGACAACCTCGCTGAATGACCTGAATCCACTCTACTTCTGTTGTTCGGCTTGTTACGCCAGGGCCGTCGCAAGGAATGTAGGCTATCAGCCTTTTACAGTAATACCGTAAAATTCCGAAAATAAGCCCCTCCGTTTATAAGCTGCTCCAAAGATAAGCCCCCCAAACCGGTAACGCAAAAAACCCTCCGTTAAATCGCGCCTCCAAACGATAAGCCCCCCGGGGGGGCCTGTACTTGGAAAATTGCCCTCAGATACAAAGTAAAACAAAGTAAAAACGGTAAATTTACTTCCAACTATTAGGCTAGCCCAATCGATTTTGAAACGCAAATTTCCCTCCGTAGATAAGCCCTTCCAAAAATAAGCCCCTCAAAAAGGTCTTCTGAAAAATATAAGCCCCGGGGCTTATTTTCGGAATTTTACGGTATCTAAAATGTCGCTGAAAGCTCCTGCATTTTGTTAGCCCGCAACAGGATTTATACTTAAACCCCAGCGTCTGTAGACTTTTTGAAGTAGCTTACAGCTAAAAAAAAAATACATACCGTAGGATAGCCTGCGCGCAGACGAAATTAAACTCTGGTTAACTCCGTCTGCGAAACAGCGCCGAAATCCTTGTTCTGGACTTCCAGCTGTGTACCCAGATTTGAGTACGCGCCACGATTGGCCAGTTAAAAAAGGCCTTTGCTTTGTTTGTCGTGATCGCCAATCAGGTTGAAGGGGAATTCGAAACGCACTTCCGGTAATTCGTTGAGTCCGTTGGGGGTCCAGAACAAGGATCTCTGCGCTGCTTCGCAGACGGTACTAATCAGAGTTTAGTTATCGTCTGCACGCAGGCTAACCGTAGGATTATAAGCTGTGAAATGTGTAAAATACCGACTTTTGGGGATGACGTCGAAGATTCGAGAAAGGAAGTAGTTTGACCTGACACCAATATGACGTACATTGAAAAAACAAAAGGATCGGTGTAAATGAACTATTGCATTTTAAGTGGTAATCGTTGATTGGTCGCGGATATTTATGTTCCATCTGCACTCTGGACTGAATTCTTATATTTTCACAGTCGGGGGCTTTTTTCTTTTGTTTTTGATTTTTTTTTTCTGAAAATTGCTATTAAAGAAACGTGCAGTCATAATTGTTTTAAACAGAATCTCAGAGCTTGTTAATCATGTATCAAACAATACATCTTTCTTTTCTATTACTCCCAGATGTTGCGTTTACCCGCAGTCCATTCCATTCCAGTTCATTATGCTATCAGACCAGAATTTAATCATTTTGCCTCTGAGAAATCGATAGATATACGACATGGAACATCTTAAAGAATTGGTTTCTCCTAAGACACTCCACTGGCTCAGCTATGTGGGAAGTTTATCGTGGATTGGGCTTGGAGTTATCTTTTTTGGAATCTTTGCACCCCTGGAAAGCAACGAGACAAGATTTGATTTTCGCTGTGGCTCAAATGACGACAAGGAACTTATTCGAGGAAAGTGCTACGAACAGTATGAAAAACAGTATCACAAAATGCCTGTTTATTGGTTCGTTATTATTAACTTCTTCGCTACTTCAAGTGTTTGTGTATTTTACTCACAAGTGGTAAAGTCGAGAGTTAATGAACTTGAAGCCCATATACTAGTAAATGATGAAGAACAGCTGGCTGAGCAGAGGATCTGGAACCCAACCCGGAAAAAGCTTTTCACAGCGTACTGTTTTCAGCTTGCTGCCAGATTTCTTCTTGGGATTTTTTTCGTCGTTATACAGGCCAATTTACTTTATCCTCATAACTTTCCCTCGAACTTTAACTGTAATTTAATCAGAGTGGACAACTTTACAAACATTACGGTCATTGCGACTTCCAATGTAAAACAGACTCAAACTTCATACGAATGTCATAATCAGCGAGCTGCTAAGAAAACCCTCGGCTGTCACGCCTTGATCGCGGTAACTGGATTTTTTGCATTTCTTGCATTTTTCGAGGCTACCTTTATCTTGTTTAAGTTTGTACGATCAAGAAGAGAAGAAAGGTTCATGGAAGACCCGCAATTTTATAAATGTCATCTGAAATCGAATTTAAATGCTTCTCTGAGAGAACCTCAACAACAAGAGATCGAGTTAATCTGCACGAGCCACAATGATGTCAGCAATGATCCACCGTCATTCAACCACGCTATCAGAAGCGAGCAAACGCCTGCAGTTGTCACATTCATCGAAAGTATGAAGACCCGTCTGCGAACAGCCACCGATCTACCTTTGAGTGATCTTAAATCACCTTTCCAACCTAAACCTGGTGAAGGCTCCGATATAACGCTCGACCAAATCTACACCGATTTGATTATTCATGACGGCAGGTCTAAATTAACGGACTCGTTGAATGGACACAGAGAAAGATGGCAGGAACATTACTCTAAAGCCAATGGAATATTACGACCAAAACGGCCAGCAGATATTTTTGATGCCAACAAACGGAACATTCTTGCTGTCGGTCATCCTGGAACTGGAAAAACTATGTTTTGTACAAAGATTCTTCGCGATTGGGCCTCCGATAACTTGTTCAGTGAAGGAGAAAACCCACAATTGGATTTCCAAGTCGCTTTTCTCGTTAAGCTGAGGATGTTAAACTGCCTAGCTGATCAAGAACTCAATCTTCGAGAACTGCTGGATCGTTCAGAGTATTCAGCAACCCTACCCGATGAGAATGAAGTCTGGGACTACATTCGTCAAAATCCAAATAAAGTTCTTGTGATTTTTGATGGATTTGATGAATATTCTGGCAGAACTAAAATTGATAACGATGACATTTTGTACAGAAACCGGCGGGAAGAAGACAGAATGCCTCTTCATTCCCTGCTCAAGAACATATTATCTGGGAAAATTCTCGCTGGTGCCACAGTGTTAACGACAACAAGACCCAACGCCCTGTCATGTTTTGCAAGTCTTTGCTTTCACAGAACAGTTGAAATTTTGGGATTTACAACTGATCAAGTGGAAGAGTATGTGGAAAAGTTCACAAACGGCGGAGACAAAGCAGAAACCATAAAGGAACACATCAGGAGTAACCTCATCCTCCGATCTTTCTGCTACATTCCCGTGAATTGTTTCATCATTTGCTCGTGCTTGCTAAAGTTGCTCATTGACAACTCTGCTGACCACCTTGGCTGCCTCCCCACAAAGCTAACAGAAATATACTCTGTTGCTATCAAGATCTTTTACTTCTGTTATGACGATGACCGATACCGCCACCATAAAGACAAAGGTAGATACTTTTACCTTAAACCATTTAAGGAATTACCTGAAGCTGTGACAAGGGTGTTTAGCAGGCTAGGAGAAATTGCTTTTAATGGAATTCAACAAGGAAGACTTGTTTTTGAACCACAGGAAGTCAAAGACCTAGAGACGAATGGCTTGTTCCAGCGTTTACCTGATACTAGCAGCGGTTTAAAAGAGGGAAAAGCCCAGTATTGTTTTCTTCATGTGACTGTGCAGGAGTTTTTTGCAGCGAAGCATTTGGTGGACACCATGAGTCACGAAGAACTGAAGACATTTGTTTCAGATCACATTAAGGAAGGATCGTGGAAAGTTGTGATGCAGTTTGTGGCTGCACTGCTGGAACAAGAGAAACAGTCAGCTGATATTTTCAGCGGCCTTCTTCCATTATCATCTGTTACCAGAGAAACTACAAGTCTCGAAATCAGGAGAGAAGAGTTAGAGGCACGAACTGAAACATTGACCTGTTGGCCAGCTCAGGACGACAAAGAACTAGTGGTGACTTTATTCAACTGCATGTATGAGAACAATTCACCCGGTTTAGGAGTTCAAAGGAGACTGGCCCAAATTGATTGCAATGAGCTGGATTTTAGTTTTTGTGGCTTGTCACCTCTTGATTGTTTAACATTAGTGCATGCACTTCAATGTAGTGGTGAAAACATTGTGCACTTAAATTTAATGTCTAACAATTTTGCTGAACCGGGTTGTATAGAAATTTCCAAATTGTTTGATCAGGGTTTTTGCAACCTAGAACGCTTAAACCTCGCTGGTAACAATATTACGGATGAGGGTCTTAAGTACTTGACTACAGCACTCATAAACAATAATTGCAAGCTAAACAGCTTATGTCTCAAAGGTAACGAGATAACTGATAAAGGTGTAGAGCACTTGACTACAGCACTCACAAACAATAATTGCAAACTAAACGGCCTAACCCTCACATGGAACAGGATAACTGATAAAGGTGTAGAGCACTTGACTACAGCACTCATAAACACTAATTGCATACTACGTAGCGTAAACCTCGGTGGCAACGATTTAACTGATGATGCTGTAAAACAATTGACGGCAGCACTCAAAACCACTAATTGCAAACTAAACAGATTAGGCCTTGATTGGAATAGAATAACTGATAAAGGTGTAGAACACTTGACTACAGCACTGATAAACACCAATTGCAAACTAAGTAGCTTAAACCTCACTGGCAACTTATTAACTGATGAAGCTGTAAAACACTTGATGGAAGCACTCAAAAACACTAATTACAAACTAAGCAGATTAGGCCTCGGATGGAACAACGGTATAACTGATGAAGCTCTAAAACACTTGACTACAGAAACAAAAGTAACACTTATTCCAAACTAAACCGCTTAAGCCTCGCTAACAATGAGATTTATAACTGATAAAGATGCTACATCACTAGAGACTACAGCACTCATAAACCCTAATTGTAAAATAAGTAGCTTAAACCTCGCCTAGAATAAGATAAATGATGAAGGTGTCGAACGCTCGACTAAAGCACTCAGAGACAATAATTGCAACTGATCTAAACAGCTTAAGCCTCTGTAGTACCCACACACCGTAAAATTCTGAAAATAAGCCCCGGAACTTATATTTTTCAAAGGCCCTTTTTGAGGGGCTTATCTTTGGAGGGACTTATCTACGGAGGGAAATTTTCGTTGCAAAATGGGTTGGGCTAGCTTATAGTTGGAAGTAAATTTACCGTTTTTGCTCTTTTTTACTTTGTATTTGAGTGCAATTTTCCAAGTAGAAGCAATTGCAAACTAAACAGCTTAAACCTCTCTGGTTACCATAGCAACTGTGCTACCCAGATAACCGATAAGGTGTAAAACATTTGACTAGAGCACTTACAAACAATGATTGCAAACTGAAAAGCCTAAGCCTCCCTAAAGGTGTAGTATCTGATAAAAAGTAAAGTTCTCATTAATGATGTAGCAAAGGACAAAAATTGTGCAGTATGCACAGTGTGAATTGTTTTATAAGAAAGTAACGGGCTTTCTCAGAAGAGAATTCAACTAGGTTTAGATTCAGCATGTACGCCACCACACTATCTTCTCTTCATGTTTCAGTTGTTCGATATCGGAATGCTCCCCTTGACCTTAAGTTGATAATAAGAACCAGCAGTGTCAATAATTTCAAAGCAAGAGACTCCACATTTATCTTAACAGTTCTTAGAACTGCTGAGATGCTTTAAAATATGAGAATTCCTGTCCCGAAAAAGGTGCTCATGATACTTAACATTGAACTAACAATTGAATTAACAAGCAAATTGAGCATGTTAGTTTAGCATTACATTTTTAATTTGTTTACCTTTGTAGTTCGTTTGGTTTCCTTACATATTATTGGTTAGCTTTAATATGTGTAACGAATTTTGAATTTATAAGCGATCACTGTTTGGACGGTTATATATAACGATTCACTTGTACGCTAGTAGTATTATACCTTGTATGGCTGAAGATGATGTTTGAAACTTTGAAACATGTTCCACAAACTTAAAAGTATCGTTTTGTTTTTGAAAATTAAAAATAATATAATATCTTCTCAAACTCAGTTTGTTGTCAGATTTATGGTCTGACCGTCATGTATCTTCGCTTCAAGGTTCATACTAGAATGCCATTTGCAGTAACTGCTATCTTCTACCGCTCAGTGAATTATACTTTTTATAAGCTTAGATTTTCATTATTGTACATAGCTTGTGTTTTAATATGATGTTATTAAAGTCCGTGCTAGAAGTTGGCCTGATATCGTTCCTTAATACAACTGTGTATCCTGAGTCTCTCTACGCGATGACTTCAAATTCCGTTGTTGCAAAAACCTAGAACATCTCGCTACGCTCTAATATCCTGGCTTGGGGAAACATTGCCCACTCACTTCACTTAAGTTCACTTATTATTCATTCAAAATATTTCCCTGATTCTGATTGGCCAAAAGCACACGCATAATTCACCATAACCAGCTACTGATGACCAAATTTGGAAGAATTTTGTGATTAATCAACCGATGACATGAAAAGTGTAGCTTTCTTGCTGGTTAATACACCGTTAACCGAGAAGACCTGGGAACAAGGTTGAGTTGTTTTGGTTGTGAAAACAAAAATTTCGGACATTTCACTCGTTTCAAGAGTAAGAACTAGGCGAAATAATAGCTAAACACATGGCAAGAACAGCAAGAAGACAACTTGAAGGGCGACATCTCCTCTATTTGGAGAATTTTTTTTCTGAGCTGGACAAACCTAAACGTACACTATCGAAGATGAACTTAACATCGATGGAGGTAAGTATGTTTCAGCTATGATTTTAAACTAGGAATCATTTTGAATGAATAATAAAACAATTATTGAATTCGACTCTCGTATCATGAAGAATTATAGAGATCTCGGAGAGTGTTATCAGCTGAGGCCGTAACACCCTCCTTGGTCTCCAAAATTCTTCATAAGATACTCAGCCTCATTCATTAATTGTTCATTAAGTTCATGGGGGGAATCAACGAATTAAACCAAAAGAGAATAAAGCGAAAACACTGAATAAAAGTTTGCAGACCTCTCCGAAAAACCATCTTCATATAAATTTCCAGCGTTTAATTGGTCTAAAATAGCTTTGGTGAAATTCACATATCCCAAGGGCTTATTACTGATTTCGAGCTGTAGCGACGTCCAGTCGTTCAGCTCATTGAAAAGCCCTCAGGGCACCCGCTATTCAATGCCGATCATACTGATTTCATGCCCACTATTATCGTTTTTGTGAACTGGAAAGACAATGCACTGTCATTTGTTTTATTTAATTTCAACCCCCGCCCAGTTCCCCTTCTGATCAACCGCATCATTTAGTATGTTCAGTAAGGGCTCAAAATACGTCATTTCAGAGACCGAATGATGGCAGTCGCGGTTAAGTTTCATTGTTTGACTTCATCCTGCCCATAAAAGGGATAGCCTTTCGAGATAAGGGAAAAGGAAAGAAATACAAAACGGAAAGCCGATATCCTTTCTCTCGTGATAAATGAGATAACAGCCAGCTGGCTCAGCTAGATGTTACTGACTCGTATAACGCTTAAAATAGAGGCGTAAAATAATAAACAGGTGTAGACAGTTTAGCTGGTATACATTTCCCTTCTTTTATAGTGTTCAGTACTCGATGGAGAGAAAGTCGACTACATTGCCAGAAATAGTGGACATTTCGCGCCCGTGATTAATTGTCAGCGGAATCTCATTTCCAAAATGGCGGACAAAAAAGATCGTAGTCAGGGAAAGCGTATCCCCTGCGATTTTTTAAATAATTTGAGCTCTGTGGATCTGTTTTACGAAAAAAAAAGCTGGAATGAAACTTCTTGCAAGAAAATGTTAGGTTTATACTCGGCCGAGCGGCTGATAGCAACAAAACAGTACGCGACTGTACCTTTCGTGACATTTTCGTGACATTTTCGTGACAATTTTGTTTTAAAACCAAGCCTGGTAAGCTAATCGAGGATTTTAAAATGCCTGGAACCTAGTTTATATCCCGTGAAGCATCTCTGGAGTTGTAGTAACAACCAAAATGGCGATTCGGTGAGGTTTGGAGTTGTGAAGCTTTGTCCGACCGAAATAAGTCATTCGCAACTATGGCGTCCATTACTGGACTACAGATAGAAAACCGAGGGAAATAATGCGCCTTTGGAAGTATTTTCCAGTGCCAAAATCGTCCTTTTAACGACTGTTTTGGAAACATCTTCCATTGCAGAAGTGATATCGAGTCGTGCAAATTTACTTCAGTGAAGGGTTTATCCTCTAATCAACGAGTATTTCGCATGACTTCGTCAAGATTTTAAGACAATGTATGGAGAAATGGAGCGTACAACGAGAGATAAAAGTGGCCACTTCGGGAAGTAAGTAAACCTACTTCTAATTAGCTATTTTTAACCCAGATGCGAACGTTACACAGCGCTTAACATGTTTCGAGTCGTGCACCGAACACCCGTGAGCTCATAATCGATGTATTTGAAAAAGTTTCCTTTTCTCCATACATTTTCTTATACGAATTCGCAGCCATTGTGGCCTTGGTGCGCACGCGCAACCGCCATCTTGTCCCTAATTTCTGGCAATGAAACGGCGTTTAAACCGGCCGTAGGACACAGAGTGGCTATGAACTAAAGGTAAGGGAGCTTTTTGAATCAATATTTCGCGTGATCATGATTTTTTTTTCTTAGCGTTGTAGATTCGAATACATGTAATAAAATTCGTACAATAAGGACCCGAATCACATGTAATAATGCAAGAAATATCGACCTTCGTTATCTTAAAGGCTACTAGTACAGATAGACAAACAAGAAGACTTAATGTCTTAAAGATTTTTGCGTTTATTTAGCATCAGATAATACACTAATAATTCTAGTATATTCCAACCAAATGACCTCTGAAGCCCGAACCCACACATAGGGCGCTTGGGCTGCCTGTGCGCTGGTGTACTTTTCTATGGCTACCTTCACGAACGATTCCCAAAGCCACCGTTGCATACAAATTAGTTCAGTACAGGAAAAACCCCAAGAGAGAACCTTAACGTATTAGTGTAAAAACAATTTTTAAATTGTTTTTCAAGGATCAATTAAAACACGCGACTAATAAACGCTAGCACTAAAATCAGACAGGAGATACCGTTTTAAAAACTTTATTAAAACACAATGACAAAAAGAATCAAATACACAGTGATTAGATTCGATTGAGCCGATAAAAAAGTCGCTAGCAACTCACGCATTATTTTCTTCAGATTTTGAGACATTATTCACCAAAACAGCCTGTCGTACCCATTGGACAATTGGAAGTACAGCCAGCCCCGTCATGTTCGCTAAGACCTGCAGTAGAATGATGAAGAATAATTTGGACAACCTCGCTGAATGACCTGAATCCACTCTACTTCTGTTGTTCGGCTTGTTACGCAAGGGCCGTCGCAAGGAATGTAAGCTATCAGCCTTTTGCTGTAATACTGTAAAATTCCGAAAATAAGCCCCTCCGTTTATAAGCTCCTCCAAAGATAAGCCCCCCAAACCGGTAACGCAAAAAACCCTCCGTTAAATCGCGCCTCCAAATGATAAGCCCCCCGGGGGGGGGGGGCTTGTACTGGGAAAATTGCCCTCAAATACAAAGTAAAACAAAGCAAAAAACGGTAAACTTACTTCCAACTATTAGGCTAGCCCAATCGATTTTGAAACGCAAATTTCCCTCCGTAGATAAGCCCTTCCAAAAATAAGCCCCTCAAAAAGGTCTTCTGAAAAATATAAGCGCCGGGGCTTATTTTCGGAATTTTACGGTATCTAAAATGTCGCTGAAAGCTCCTGCATTTTGTTGGCCCGCAACAGGATTTATACTTAAACCCCAACGTCTGTAGACTTTCTGAAGTAGCTTACAGCTAAAAAAAAAATACATACCGTAGAATTATAAGCTGTAAAATGTGTAAAATACCGACTTTTGGGGATGACGTCGAAGATTCGAGAAAGGAAGTAGTTTGACCTAACACCAATATGACATACATTGAAAAAACGAAAGGATTGGTGTAAATGAACTATTGCATTTTAAGTGGTAATCGTTGATTGGTCACGGATACCTATGTCCCATCTGGACTCTGGACTGAATTCTGAAAATTGCTTTTAAAGAAACGTGCAGTCATAATTGTTTTAAACAGAATCGCAGAGCTTTGTTAATCATGTATCAAACAATACATGTTTCTTTTCCATTACTCCCAGATGTTGCGTTTACCCGCATGCAGTCCATTCAAGTCCAGTTCATTATGCCATCAGACCAGAATTTAATCATTTTGCTACTGAGAAATCGATAGATATACGACATGGAGCATCTTAAAGAATTGGTTTCTCCTAAGACACTCCACTGGCTCAGCTATATGGCAAGTTTATCGTGGATTGTGCTTGGAGTTATCTTTTTTGGAATCTTTGCAGACATGGAAAGCAACGAGTCGAGATTTGATTTTCGCTGTGGTTCAAATAAAGACAAGGAACTTATTCGAGGAAAGTGATGAAAAACGGTACCACAAAATGCCTGTTTTTTTGTTCGTTATCATTAACTTCTTGGTTACTGCAAGTGTTTGTGTATTTTACTCACAAGCGGTAAAGTCGAGAGTTAATGAACTTGAAGCCCATATAAAGGATGAAGAAGAGCAAGCTGAACAGAGGATCAGGAACCCAACCCGGAAAAAGCTTTTCACAGCGTACTGTTTTCAGCTTGCTGCCAGATTTCTTCTTGGGATTTTTTTCGTCGTTATACAGGCCAATTTACTTTATCCTCATAACTTTCCCTCGAACTTTAACTGTAATTTAATCAGAGTGGACAACTTTACAAACGTTACGGTCGTTGCGACTTCCAATGTAAAACAAACTCAAACTTCATACGAATGTCATAATCAGCGAGCTGCTAAGAAAACCTTCGGCTGTCACTTCTTGATCGGAGTAACTGGATTTTTTGCGTTAGTTGCGTTTGTCGAGGCTACCTTTATCTTGTTTAAGTTTGTACGATCAATAAGAAGAGAAGAAAGGTTCATGGAGGACCCGCAATTTTATAAATATTATCTGAAATCGAATTCAAATGCTTCTCTTTTAGAACCGGAACGACAAACCTTATATCGAACTAACAACCATCAACATCAACATCAACCAGCAACATCAACTGCCGCATATATTGAACGTATGAAGACGTATGTCCAAACAGTCACCGATCGACCTTTAAGTGATCTTAAATCACCTTTCCATCGTAATCCTGGTGAAGGCTTCGGAACAGATATAACGCTTGATCAAATCTACACCAATCTGAATATCCATGAAGGCAGGGTCGATTCAGAGCACTTGGCTGGAGACAGAGACACGCTGCTAAAAAAGTATCCCCGCAAAACTGCAAACTTACCACCAAGGCCAGCAGATATTTTTGACGCTAACAAGCAGAACATTCTCCTTGTTGGTCATCCTGGAACTGGAAAAACTATGTTTTGTACAAAGATTCTTCGCGACTGGGCCTCCGATAAATTATTCGCTGAAGTACAAAACAAACAACTGGATTTCCAAGTCGCATTTCTCTTTAAGCTGAGGATATTAAACGGCCTAGCTGATCAAGAACTCAATCTTCGAGAACTGCTGGATCGTTCAGAGTATTCAGCAACCCTATCCGATGAGAATGAAGTCTGGGACTACATTCGTCAAAATCCAAATAAACTTCTTGTGATTTTTGATGGATTTGATGAATATTCTGGCAGAACTAAAATTGATAACGATGACATTTTGTACAGAAACCCGCGGGAAGAAGACAGAATGCCTCTTCATTCCCTGCTCAAGAACATATTGTCTGGGAAAATTCTCGCAGGTGCCACAGTGTTAACGACCACAAGACCCAACGCCCTGTCATGTTTTGGAAGTCTTTGCTTTAACAGAACAGTTGAAATTTTGGGATTTACAACTGATCAAGTGGAAGAGTATGTGGGAAAGTTCACAAATGGCGGAGACAAAGCAGAAACCATAAAGGAACACATCAGAAGTAACCTCATCCTCCGATCTTTCTGCTACATTCCCGTGAATTGTTTTATCATTTGCTCGTGCTTGCTAAAGTTGCTCATTGACAACTCTGCTGACCACCTCGGCTGCCTCCCCACAAAGCTAACAGAAATATACTCCGTTGCCATCAAGATCTTTTACTTCTGTTATGACGATGACCGATACCGCCACCATAAAGACAAAGGTAGATACTTTTACCTTAAACCATTTAAGGAATTGCCTAAAGCTGTGACCAGGGTGTTTAGCAAGCTAGGAGAAATTGCTTTTAATGGAATTCAACAAGGAAGACTTGTTTTTGAATCACACGAAGTCAACGACCTAGAGAAGAATGGCTTGTTCCAGCGTTTACCTGATACCAGCAGCGGTTTAAAAGAGGGAAAAGCCCAATATTGTTTTCTCCATCTGACTGTGCAGGAGTTTTTTGCAGCGAAGTATTTGGTGGACACCATGAGTCACGAAGAACTGAAGACATTTGTTTCAGTTCACATTAAGGAAGGAGCGTGGAAAGTTGTGATGCAGTTTGTGGCTGGACTGCTGGAACAAGAAGAACAGTCAACTGATATTTTCAGTGGCCTTCTTCCATTATCATCTGTTACCAGAGAAACTACATTTTTCATAATCAGGAGAGAAGAGTTAGGGACAAAAATTGAAACATTGACCTGTTGGCCAGCTCAGGAAGACAAAGAACTAGTGGTGACTTTATTCAACTGCATGTATGAGAACAATTTATCCAGTTTAGAAGTTCAAAGGAGATTGGCCCAAATTGATTGCAATGCGCTGGATTTTAGTGATTGTCGCCTGTCACCTCTTGATTGTTTAACATTAGTGCATGCACTTCAATCTAGTGGTAAAAAAATCTTGCATTTCAATTTATTGGGAAACCATATTGATTCCCATATTGATTTCTAAATTGTTCGGTGGCAAAGATCACAATCAGGGTTTTTGTAACCTAAGAAGCTTAAACCTCACTCTGAACGGGATTGGGGATGAGGGTGTAAAATACTTGACTACAGCACTCATAAACAATAATTGCAAACTAAACACCTTAGGCCTTAAAGGGAACGATATAACTGATAAAGCTGTAGAGCACTTGACTACAGCACTCATAAACAATAATTGCAAACTGACCAACTTAGGCCTCGAAGGGAATGAGATAACTGATAAAGGTGTAGAGCACTTGACTAAAGCACTCATAAACAATAATTGCAAACTAAACATCTTAGGCCTCGGAACGAATGAGATAACTGATAAAGGTGTAGAGCACTTGACTAAAGTACTCATAAACAATAATTGTGAACTAGTCAGCTTAGGCCTCAAAGGGAATGAGATAACTGATAAAGGTGTAGAGCACTTGACTAAAGCACTCATAAACAATAATTGCATACTAAACAGCTTAGGCCTCGGAACGAATGAGATAACTGATAAAGGTGTAGAGCACTTGACTACAGCACTCATAAACAATAATTGCATACTAAACAGCTTAGGCCTCGAATGGAATGAGATAACTGATAAAGGTGTAGAGCACTTGACTAAAGCACTCATAAACAATAATTGCAAACTAAACAACTTAGGCCTCGAAAAGAATGAGATAACTGATAAAGGTGTAGAGCACTTGACTAAAGCACTCATAAACAATAATTGCAAACTAAACAGCTTAGGCCTCGAAGGAATGAGATAACTGATAAAGGTGTAGAGCACTTGACTAAAGCACTCATAAAGAAAAATTGCAAACTAAACAGCTTAGGCCTCGGAACAAATGAGATAACTGATAAAGGTGTAGAGCACTTGACTACAGCACTCATAAACAATAATTGCAAACTAATCAGCTTGAGCCTCAAGGTTAAGAGCGGAATAACCGATAAAGGTGTAAATCATTTGACTAGAGCACTTACAAACAATAATTGCAAGCTGAAAAGCCTAAGCCTCCCTGAAGATGTAGTATCTGAGAAAAGTAAAATTCTCATTAATGATGCAGCAAAGGACAAAAATTGTGCAGTATTCTATTTTTAAGATACAAACCGGCATTAACCACAATGGACTGCAAAGGACCGCTAACGAATATGCCGAACGTAGGATCTATAAAGATACTTTTATTGCCTTCGAAAGCTAAGGGTTTTCTTAGAGGGGCATACAAGTACATCATTCAGATTCAACATGTACACCACCACACTATCTTCTTTTTTATTAGAGAAAACGGTCAGAAATGTAAAAATAATATAATATCTTCTCAAACTCAGTTTGTTGTCATATTTATGGTCTGACCGCCAGGTATCTTCGCTTGAAGGTTCATATTAGAATGCTATTTGCAGTAACTGCTATATTTTACTTTAGTGTCTGATACTTTTATAAGCGTAGATTTTCATCATTGTTCATCATTGTACATAGCTTTTGTTTTAATATGATGTTATTAAAGTCCGTGCAAGAAGTTGGCCCGATATCGTTCCTTAATACAACAATATTTCCTGAGTCTCTCTATTCGATGAGTTCAAATTCCGTTGTTGCAAAAATCTAGAACATCTCGCTACCCTCTAATATCCTGGCTTATGGGGAAAAACTGCTCACTGACTTCACGTTAGTTCATGGGGGGAATCAACGAATTAAACCAAAAGAGAATAATGGGATAACACTGAATAAAATTTTGCGGACCTCTCCGGAAACCAACTTCAGATAAATTCAAAGTGTTTAATTGGGTCTAAAAATAGCTTTGGTAAAATTCACATATCCCAAAACTCAAAATAGTCGACTCTCTCTTAACGGACACCTCTATAAGACGGACACCTCTGTAAAACGGACACCTAGAGTTGGTCCCTACCTTTCTTTACTCCTTTTATTTGACTCTCTATAAGACGGACACTTAGTGCCAGTCCCAAAGCTGTCCGTCTTAGAAAGAGTTGACTGTGCTTTCAGGGCATGCAATTCCTGTTGCATGCCAATTTAAATAGAAAAACACTCTGGGGCTACCCCCTCTATTACCAGTGAGTAAATCATTCACGATAGGCATAAGAAAAACCCTTGCATGCTAACCAAAGTTGAAAACGTAGCAGAAATGTCCTCAGTTGCTGAGTCATACCCTGGGGGAGGCTTAAAAACCTCGGATTTTCTCCGTATGGATGAGGGAATTTTCCTTAAACAGCATGTGGTCAAGCCGGTTAGGACGTATTGCCCCTTTTTCCGCCTAGCTAGACTTAATTTCTGGCTCCATGGCCTGGAAATCACCAGGAGCCGAGAAATCACTAAAAAATTCATGCCCTAAAAAGTCCAAAAATATACTCGAAATTTTAGTTTCCAAGCCGTTGTATTCTCTCTTGATTAAACAAATTCACTTGTTAAATTGAAACACTCAGTTGACTACCATTCCGGTCATCTTAGTCATACTTACCCCGGGTAGGTATGACTTTAAAAAAATTCCAACGGATTTTTCTGACGCCGGAGTGGAACTTTTCCCCTAGGTCTTTTGTCTACAGCCCCAGTGCTCTCTACCACTGAGCTACAAGGAACTCTTGGCAATTAAGGCCATATTTTAAGTTGGGTGTCAGTAAGTCAGAATCTATTTTTTGCATATTATTTTACCCATTTTCTTTGATATACTGGCAAACATGCCGTTTTTCATATTTTGAAAAGGAAACGGCTGCCACGAAGACTTTATTTATACTGATTCCGAGCTGTAGCGACGTCGTTCGGCTCATTGAAAAGCCCTTTTTCAATTATAATCATATTGAAATATTCAAGCCAAAGTGGAACGCATGATATGTACGTATAAATATAAAGGCAAAAAGCGAATTCCCTTGAGAATATCTCAGCGTCTAAGTTTGGAAAATAAATCATACAAAGACAAAGAGGTCTACTGCAGTGGATCACAAAGATTCTGGGTGACCTATGGCGCCAATCTCGTTCCAGACCCCGGGGAAGTAAAGAGGGGAGACCCTGGGAACTGTAGATTTGCGGCGCCGGAAGCGTTTCCATATGCCAATCAAATGAACAACATCTGACAGAGTTAAAAAGCTCAAATGATAATTTATACCACACCAATATGTTGACGACAGTTTATCGAGACCCAATGTAAACAAAACAAGCTTATTACGTTGCTGATAAAGCTCCTAAGTCGGTCAACTTATGTTAGATGCTTGTCTCGTTCTTTGATCCAATCGCGTTTTTTTATTGACGAAAAGCGGGCGATAAGTGGTGATAATGAACGCAAAACCCGGCTCAAGCCCAGTGTCGCGACTGAGAGGCCTGAATAAATCCGTTGGAGGACTTGTAAGGCCAAAGTTACGGAGAGTACATACTGCTAATACAGAGAAAGAGCTTTTAAAGACTGTCAATGGCGCCACGTTTGCTGGAATGGCCGACGATTTCAACCTGCGAGAAACCACTCATTTTCAAGAGGAATCCCGTTGTATTTCCACTGTAAATGTGCCTTCGTTCAAGTTGCGCGCCAGCACACGTCAAGGATTTGACGGCAAAGGCAGTGCTCTAAGCAGGGGAGCGGAAACGGAAACTGTAGATAAACAAACCAGTTTTAACAAGGAGTCTCAAAACTGCGGCTTGGATTACAGAGATTTCAAAACACGCGTTATTCACTCAAGAATTCGAGAACTTATTCGCCAAATATTGCTCTCTCACCTAGACAAGTGGGAATTCAATCCTGTCATTTGCGGTGAAAAGTGCCGCAAAATAAGTAAAGCAATCGAAAATGATGTCAAACTATTGTTCAGTGCCCGATACAAGATAACAGCGCTGGTGTACATCGGTGCGATTCGCGACCGAGGTATTGAGCTTTCCAGTCAATGTGTCTGGAATCCAAGCACTGATAGTTTTTCTATGGCTACCTTCACGAACGATTCCTTGCATGCTACAGGAATTGTTTTTGCGACTTTATTCAGTGACTGATAGACGATGATGCATGTTGAAACAACTCAACGGGCTATATCGAAGTATACTTCAGCTCTCTCATGGCCAGTCTAGAAAGTCAGCGGGAGACAATTAATAGACAATAAACTGTACTCTATTAAAATGTGATGTAATGTAGTTAAATGTTTGTTTGAAGGCTTTTCCTTTTACGAAGGAGACATCGCTACTACTGCAAGCTCGTCGTCTAGTCCTTTAATAGGGATCATTTAAAAGGTTTAACAAAGATACCTTCAAAGATCCACATGGCATATAACTATATTTCACGACACGATAGAGACAGAGAACTTCCTGTCAAAAGCGTAGCGGTAGCCTTCTTCACTGTTATATTTCCGTGAATATCTTGAGTCATTTCACCTTAACGCACTTTCCGGCATCGAAAAAGTGGGATTAACGTGATAACAGTGGTCTGAAGTCTGTAATGAAAATTCGCGATGACAGATTCAACTACTGATCAGTTAGCACCCCACTGTGAAATATAGGAATTAGTTGCAGACATTTTATGTTGGAAGGCTGCAATGCAAAATTTGGAGAAACATGAAAGTGCACCACACAAAACTGTATTAATACTAATTTATAGTTCAGTCCTTTAAAGTAATCGTTAGGGCCATTCTGAGTTTGTATTGCCTCTGGAAGTCTCGGTTGCTTGAACAATCGGGTTACTCGCCTACTAAAGCAAGAGAAAACGTAATAACTTGTCTTATTCGACCCTTCAGCTGTTAAGACAATTAAAGCTTAAGTTTCGTGATGCGGCTCTGATTTTTTTAGTTTATGATAGAAATAGTGTAATATTGGCATCGATTCTGGTCTTTTCCATTTGTTTTCAGTTTCTGCGTCGCTATTTTACAAAAACAAGAAAATTGTTGCTCTGCCTTTTTGACTGTTAAAAATATTGACAGCAGGTTGTTTTCAAGTTTCTGTCCGAGCACAAAAAGAGAGACAAACCAAAGCAAATAACTAAAAAGTTAATCAAGTGGAAAGTTGAAATTTGACAGCGCATCGCAAATATAATATAAAAAGCTTTCTAATTTTGACAGGTAATTACGAACAGAATTAATTAACATAGCAATTAACCGCTAGTTAGCTTATTGTAAAAGTGAAGTGTCCGATTTGGCACGTCGCTCTAGGTAGGTCACGGCTAGTTTACAATTTTTAACTTACACCAGATGTTGTATTCTTGCTTGATAATTCTTACAGTTTCTGGGGCCTACGAAAACTGCTTTAGTTTAAAATCATGCGGTTAGTGTCTTTAGAAACAATGATCTTCCGGAAAGAGTCACATGAGAAAGGCAGAAGATCGAAAAAATATTGAAAAACATGTATGCGTATTACATGCATTACAAAACGCTGCACTGGTTCATTACACATTGAGTGGGCTTCCTGTGTGGCTGCCACTCCATTGAATTTATACGTGCGCGCGCAGGAATGGATTGACCACATCCAGGCCAGACTCCTTTACCTTCTCCCGCGTATTAAATTCTGAAAATCACCAGTAGGTATTACCATAACAGCCGAAACTTATGTTTGTCAGGCAAACTTCGACAACAAGTACAAAGAACAGTTGACAATTACCGTAATTTTTGCCTTCGAAGGCTTTATGCAGTATCTATATCTTTCTTCTTTACGTCTGTTATTTTCCATTTCAAGAGCAAAATCACCAGTTTCCGAAGCAGTCTGGGTAAATTTGGCTTTTTAAGCCCCGAAATAACCTTTGTTCCAGACTTTCGAGAGGGAACTTTTCTAGTCCGTCTTCAATTTTCAGAGGGGCACCCAACGAGAATATAGTTCAAAACCACTTAAACATAGCATTGTTGAACGTATTTTAGTATTTAAACGGTAGATATAGGCATATTTTTATTTCCTAAAAATTTTTCATCTGTTCGGATTTCCTAGCTGAAAGTCTAGTGATCCGAAAATTATAGGGATCAAAACTTACCTCTTCGAAAATTTCAGCCAGAAAAAAGGCTTCCGAAAATTCCAGGTGACCTTTATAGGGTAAAAATCCGGCGTTAAAAATGGGCAATTATACCATTTTTAAGATGTTCGAAAATCCTAGGAGAGGCAGGCAAGCAAGAAATTTTACAACATATGTTCCGAAAATTCTAGATCTCAAATCGTCTTCCGAACAGATATTTCCGAAAATTGACGCTGGGTGCTCCTGATTTTCATTCTGTTCTGATGATTACTTACTATCGATAAAATTTGCGAGCTTGCGTGAGAGGTTACAAAACCGCGACGAAAAAAATGTTGATTATTTTTGTCACTTCTGTCAGGAGCCCATAAATGATGGGCTCCTGCTTCTATCAATTTTAAGATGCAAATATCGCGGAAGAGTAACTCAAAACCTGTTTGGGAAATTTACAGAGTGCACTTTGTTTCAAATTTTAAATATTGAGATTGGTAATTGAGCCATTAAAGAAAGTGTGAAGAAATTAATCTTGTCGGTCAATTCATTATTAAAAATAACACGCCGTAAATTTAAATAATTCACAACAGTAAAGGACAGGAAGATGGCCATATTGTCAACAAATGTCCACAAAAGGCTGGGAAACTACTCATTTTGAAAATCAATAAAGTACAATTTGTTTCTCCGACAAATACATGAAATTAAGTCTGATCTTGTGAAGGGGTATGACATTAATTCGAAAAAAATATAGCTTGTTACGAATATTTTCACTTTCCAACTGTTTTTTTTACAAATAGTGTCGGCTATTAACCTTTGTGAGATGATGATACCCACGCTTTTTTTACAACAATGTCGCCAAATGTAAGCTAAATGTAATCAAATGAGAGCCTTTCGCCCGCAGTTCACTTTTCTTCCTGAGTTCAAGGGCTCACTCTTTCAAAACACCAAACACAACGGCAACCGCGAACAATGACTCATTTTGAAAGGATGATGAGGAAAAATTATCCCTGAATTCATTCCAAAGAAAGCGACTGGCCATGAAAAATCCCTGGCCGTTGTTCGATCCTATACTTACATTGCATATTAAGCGAAATCGCTCCATTCCTAGTTCCTTTACACGACCCTTGATGTCTTCTGACAGGCTCATACAGAGCCAAGGACACCTTTGAGAGTCATAGGATTGGTTCGAAAGCTTTTCTTGTAGAATTTCATCCATTATTTTCTTGATCTTGTGCGTATAAAACACTCCATGTTTTCTTTCGCATGTACCTTCCCCTTGCTCTTGGAATTCCGTTCCAACTTTCAGATCTGTGTTCTTGTTTTTCCATGGCCCTTCAGTCCACTGTCCTTTTCGTGGATTTTCTCCGGTTACTGATCCGCAGCGTAAACTTTTTTCAAAAACCCCGCATTGCTGGCCGCGAAATTTGTTCCTCATCATTTCAACGTTTTCTTCTTTGCTTTCAAACAATTAAGTCTCGCCTTCAACGATCTCTCTTCCTATCTAAAAATTGTACTTAATGCACAATAGATTTTTAGCTTTACTCAAGGCCAGTGGGTGTTTGACTTCAACTTACAGTAATTGAAATGAATCGTTTCTGGTCTGAATGCGCGAAGAGATTAATTGCAGTGAGTTATCATTTTCTCGAATTGTCGAAATAATAGTTGGTACTCATGCCGTGCACACCTCAGTCGAAAACCTATTCAATTTGCTGAATGAAGTTTGCGCAGCAGATGTTCAAAATATGGTCGCTATGGGAACTGTGTAGACATTCAGTTGTGAGACAGGAAAAGTCTGGGTCCCCCGCCTGTCATGTTTTCGGAAATTTTTCGAGCAATATGACTTGAATTGAGAACTTTTTAATTATCGCTTATTAACTAAACTTCTCTGTAACGAAATAATTGTCATGTTTGCCATATGGCGTTTACCCACTGCCGGTTTTTTTTTTTTTTTTTTTTTTTTTTTTTTTAACAAATAACACAAATCTTCTCCGTTTAATTGGTGGAAAAGTGTTTATAATATACCTGAATTTTATAATTTAATTGTCCATACAAACTAATTTTTAAAGACACAGCTGAAAATCCCTTTTCAGGGTAATTAGATGTTCAGTTGTCGCTCGCGCCCACACAAGAAGAGCTAGGGATCAAATGGTTAGCTTATCTGCCAGCTATTATCTAGCATTATCCCTCAACGAAGGTTTGTTTAATTTGTAAAAAGATAATTATTTTCTATATAGTAAAACATATATACTGAAAGCGGACCCCATATAAAGCGAGTTCCTTGTATTGCACACGACATTGTCCGCGAATCCTAAAGGTTTTTTCAGTTGTTTTCTGCAAAACAAATTGTATATACTTGGACATTAAAAATATGTGGTAACCGGCTCAACGCAGAATTTAGAATCTCTTTCCCAGTGCAGTGCTTCTTCAACTGATCTCAAATAAAGAGAGAGAAGCCTGGAGGCAAGGCTGGAAAACACCCACAATTCCTCCGCTATTGACGCATGCGGACTGAAACACTCGTGAGCGAGATGACGTCAGGTAGTTGGTTCTTTCAGAAGGATTGCACGCTACAGATGCTTGTAGTTCAGTTATTTGAGAGTTTATTGAAATTTCCCTGCTACTCACAGAGGTATTTTTCTCTCCTGGGGTGACAACTCTGTGCAAACTTAAACCTCAACATGCTTATAACGTTCAAAACGCTTCAACAACAGACTTTTAAGTTAGAAATCGACGACGCTGCAACGGTAGGTACAAAATTAACAAATCTGAAGGGTCTTTCGATCTGCACTTGAATTATCTATGGATAAGAGTTACGTCATGATCTTTTAACCACCAAATTCTCCATCGTGCTACCAAGGAACATAGACTTTCTTTCATATCGTGTAATGTACGTTTTTGTATGTGTGTAAAATTATGCGAGGATTTTTCACTTAAAATGTCCTTCCGGCGTCACGCGTTTAAAAATTTGTTACAGCCTAAGAATCATCTGTATCACTCCGTTCTTCAAAGCACCTTTAATTATAAGTGGTTTTCTGTATATCTTCCTCATTGGCGTCTAAATTAAAGAGTATTTATATTTTACTTGTTTCTACATTTGAATAAAGTTCTATTTCCAGCGATTAAAAATATCAAAGATATATGGTTCTAATCTTTATACGTCTGTAATCATCTTCCTATTTTCACATGTTTTTGTCGTAACAGTTTATTTGTTCTCTTTTTATTTTTGTGTTCCCCAAATATTTCATTATTATTTTCATCGATTATATTTCTCTTTTTTGTTTGAACGAATATTTAATTCCTGTAAAGGATCTATTTAAAGAAGTGTTATTGTTCAGTTATGTCTTGGCATGCATGTACACTGTTTACTGTGTGTAGAAGATTGTGTATAGCCTAGATTACTCTATCAGCTGAATGAAATAACTGGAGACCGCTGATTATGAAACATTAATTATGTGGTCATGAATGAAGGGTAAAAAACAAGGATCTGTAATTCGTAGTATGAACTGAGAGGGTAAGAGATATGCGCTATATGACTTTCTAGCTGTGGAACAGGAAATAAAGGGGGTTGGAAAAGTAATTTGCTTGCCTTAAAAACTTTGATTTTATATATAATTAAGCAAACAAAAGTGCATTAAATAGGTTAACAAAATATAACTAAACTAAACATTTGTGGCTTTTTCATCAAAACAGATGCACTTGTCTAAAGAAAAGGAACGGTCTTTTCCATGACTTATTTTTAACACATGCAGTAACTTATGGACTGAAAATTATCTTCTTAGAACAAGGAAAGACTTACAATTTTAGTCATATGATTAATAAATTAACTTGTTGACCTTGTGTGGTTATGTTTTTAGGCCAGGTTCATGTTTGCTGGTACTTGTAGTATGTAAAGGTACCATCCAGGGGCCAAGTTGTTTGAAGCCCGGTGAGTGGTAATCTTGGAACAAACAGAGCCCACGAGTTGTCATGGTAATGAACCCTGGATTTGCTCTAATTGTCTGTCAAACAACTTGGCCCTGTTGGTTTTATTTGACTGCTAGGACCGTGAAGTGTAGGAAAGGTTTGCAATAATAATTATGTTGTATCATAGAAATGTAATCAGATGAATGCTTGATAAGGGTCCATGTCACCATTCCAACAAATGTTTTTAAATTTGCTACAGGTTTCAGACCTGAAAAATAAACTCGAGTCAGAGAAAGGTGAAGATGCTTACCCTAAAAGTGCTGTCAAACTTATATATGCTGGTAAGTAGAATAAAATAGCACATTTACAGAATGATTTAAACAAACTGTCTTCATTCTGAGTTCTGTGGCCACTGTCAAAAACCTTAAAAAGATTGTATTACGCAAACTTAGTCTAGCGCAAAGGTGAAAAGTAAATGGAATTCTTATAAGGAGATTTTCCCAATAATTTATAATTGATGAGCAATCAGGTGGGTCAATCGCATTAATTCTGATGATCCGTTATGAAATCTCAGCAGATTTTCAACACTCCTTGCACCCCACTTGACTTGTGTGTGACTGTGTTACCCCTTACCTCACTTCATTCACAAATTAAGAGTTTGCTTTCTGGCCCATTTCTGTCTGACTTCTATAGTGAGTAGTACACATGTGTTTCCAGTGTTTGAGAGTTGTTCAGCCTCAGTCAACTGCTGTTATGTGGGATTCTATGAGACCTTATCCTGACTTTGTTACTCTGTTTTAGGAAAAATATTGAATGATGATCAGCCGTTATCAGAGTACAAAATAGATGAAAAAGGATTTGTCGTTGTCATGGTCACAAAGGTAAAAAACTTTTTTTGCTGCAGTGGAATTTCTCCTTTGGGACACCTCTTTTGAAAGGACACCTCCATTCATGGGACGCAAAATTTGGTCTGGAGAGATGCTCACATAATCTCTGTATCTGTTACCTCTGTTGAAGTTCAGGGGAAAGAGCCACTTTTCTGGGTCCCAAAACATGGACTTAACTGCTATTCAGGGGACAAAAAAGTTACTGACCACAAAAAGTGTTGATAAGTTTTATTGTACAGTAGTCACAATGACAACAGCTTTAACAACATGAACACACAGTATCGCAGAGATATATTAATCATGTTTTTTTTTATAAATTATTATTTTGCTGCCTGAAATGATGACTACAGCAGATTCCGGAGCAGAATAAAAGAAAAATATTTTGTTTGAACAAACCTCAGCCCAACCTCCATTCAGGGGACACTTTCCTTGGTCCCGAGGGTGTCCCCTGAATAGAGTTTCCACTGTGGTAGCAGGCCTGTGCACGAGCCGAGCCCGATGGCCCCTGACGCCCAACTTTTGCCTTTGGGCAACTAGTAAATCTTATATTTTCATACAAATGATATGCTGGGTAATCCTAGATTTTAGAAGCTCAGACCACTAGGTTTCCTTCTTATTGCTCTTAGAGCACAGCCTTGTTAATACTGAAAACAAAATCAGGAAGAAGAGAAAGGCAAAACACTAATGATATATGCTGTTATTATTTTGAAAGTCCTCTCAGATGATGAAGACAAACTTCTTTCCCCGAAAATATACATGTATGGTTATCTTTTTGTGATAACAATGTTTGTCTCTTTGTTTTGTAGCCTAAACCTGCCCCAGCTCCAGCCCCAAGTCCACCTGTATCCACGCCCCAGGTGAAAAACATAACAAACATCCATGCTGTTAAATGATATATTTAATGAATACACCAGGACTTTGGTGGGGTCCCTGGAAAAACTCATTCCGCGTACCCCTTTTATTGGGGTGTCTCTCCAAGTTGGTCATCTGTGGTGTAGGTGTATGTTGCGGTTCAATAATATTGCATCCTTGGTTTAAATTTTATTTTATTTTGTTTTTGGGTATGGTAATGTACATGTATGACAATGCGTTTGAAACAAAGAAAATAAAATTTAAACCAAGGATGGAATTGAACCACAATTAGTACACTGTACTTTTCAGCTACATGTGTGATGTGGGTTTTCATGGCTCTTCTCAAGTGGCTTCCTAAATCTTTTTTTTTGTCAATTTCTGGGCATCCTGGATTTTGTACGCTTTGGGCTCTCAACAATTTTTTCCTCTTGGTGATCGATGCTTTCAGAACTCCTCCCCCCCTAAATTCGATTATAGAAAAAACAAACCAAAACCATGTGAAAGTACAGCTGACAAGGTTTTATTTCAATGATTACTTTTCCACAAAAGTTAAACTTCAACACATTTCTCTATAATTGACTAATTAGCAATTTGTAAACTGTTGTGGCTGATGTTCTTGTTTTGTAGCCAACACCTGTAGCAGCAACAGACAGTTCATCAAGATCTACTGATGATACAAAGTCTGAAAGGTAAGATATCAGGGAGGGCTTGACTGTTAGCTGGCCTCTTTGTCCTTCCCCTTGGACAACAAGTATAATGAAACCTATATTAAGCAGACAACTAGTTTTAAGAACAACAACAACCAACCATTTTATTTGCCAAGTTAAAAAAAATGTCTACAAGAACAGGATAAATTAAAGTAGATCAGGAAAAAACTACCCAGAATTGCAAAAACTAAATGAGCTGAGTAGTTACAATAATCAAATGAAATTGCATTCTGTTGGGTTGTGACACACAAAAGATAAATGGTAAAATAAATTAAATTTAGGAGGTTGAACAAATAAAAATTAATGAAAATAGATAGTTATTGTCACTAGGGAAAACGCACACAAAAGCCTAAATTAACAGCAATGCACTTCTCAGTGTTTGCTGCGTGGCCCAGGGGAATATGCAGCATACCCACAGACCGTGTGCGTTAATTTAAAGGCCACCTGCATGCTAATTCAGCCAGTTCTAGTTAAGGTTAGATCTCTGAACCCTCGCAAGCAGTTCTCACCCCACCCTCCTCTCCGCAGCAATGTACTATTATTCTCTCCTGGTTCACCGACTCACAAAGCCTCTGGCCAATTCTCCCACATCTTATGCATTTAGGTTCATTTAGCTTTGTGTGTGGGTGTTGCTGGTGAGAATATATTACTATACGAATAAATAAACAAGTAGTGGTCCACCATGACCACCTAAGAACTCTTGCAGAAAACAATACAGTACATCTAGGCTGCGGCAATGGGAGCCATTTTTTTCCTGTGGTGAGCTAATGTGTGAACAAGCTCCAAATGAGCTTTCTCATTGGGTAAAACACTATTTGGTGTTTTCTTTTACCACAGACTTTGCTCCATTTTTCTCTTGAACGAGGTGTAGAAATGGAACCCATTACTAATAGACTTTCATCCCATCCGGGGGGGAGTAGCAGCGCTCCTACTTTGTGGCTGAAGTTAATAGGGAAGTGCTCTTGCAGCATCAGCCCCAGTTACTTGTAGTGCACCTTTATTTTAGGTTTCTCTAAGAGCAGAGCCCTGCTAATAGTCTTATTGTAGCATACTTTTAGGAAAAACTGATTATTTTGCACTTGGCATTTTCATTCCTAGTACTGATGCTACACCTACCACTGCCGAAGAACCTGCCTCCACACCGACAGAAGCAGTGTCAACTTCGGATCCGCAGTCATGTACACAGCAAGCTGAGTCTACACTTGGTAGGTGGAACTTTTGTGGTTTTTACAGTAGTAGTAGTAGTAGTAGTAGTACAGTAGTAGGTTTTTAAAAGTGTTAATTTGTGTTAGAGTTTTCTTATCTTACCTTAGAGTTAGAAAAACTGATATTAACTATTTTGTCAAATAATTATGTTATTGATAATATTTCACATCATTTTGTACTACCCAAAACAGGGAGATAGTACCCATGATAATTTCTATTTTCACATTCAAGTTTTAAAAATAAGACATGTTGAATAATGGTTATACACAGCACAAAATGTATCTTGTATTAGTTCTTTAGTTAAAAAAGTGCCATGAAGATGGTATGTAGCTTTGCAAAGGATAAAAACTTTTGCCACATGCATCAGCTTAAGCTTTTATACCTGAAACTGCCAATTTATTATACCCCCCCCCCCCACCCAACCCACTTGTAAGCCTCCTTGTATTTACAAGTCCAGGGCTTATAATTGGATGTTTATAGTATTTGTTCATTGTTGTGCGGATACATGGCCAAACACTCAGAGAATGTATTTCCTTTTAGTGAAAATACTTTTGCATATACAGTGGTTAGTGTCTTCAGTGTACATGTATTGCATTCCTTTTTTCAGTCACTGGTGCTGCATATGAAACCATGGTTATAGAGTTATGTAGTTTGGGATTTGAAAGAGACCAGGTAAGATTTGACAACACACAAAGCTAGCTGTTTTGGTTTGAGCAAATCCTACTTTACAATAACAATGATTGTCATTTGCTGTCTCATTGGCATGTGGTAATAATCGTTTTTTTCTGATTATGCGTCCTGAAAAATAACCTCTGTAAGTATTGAAATATCATAGCCAAATTATGTACGCTGAGCGCAACATACCAAAGTTTTAGATTCTCTATAACACTATTTTGTTTTCTTTAGGTTGTACGAGCTTTACAAGCTAGTTTCAACAATCCTGACAGAGCCGCTGAATACCTAATGACTGTGAGTTTCTTTTAGTATAATACTAATTAAATACTAACAATAACCAAACATTAGGGAGTGATGGCAAGAGCAACCAAAGGCCAAAACACTCTTGCTCCGACATACATACATACATATATGTACATGAGTGGGTCGCCTTTTTGGTGGCCTATGGAACAAGTTTGCATTTAACACCCATGCACTCAGGATTTGAGTAGTTCACCTACTGGTCTGCAGTAGGGCATTGTCTTGGCTTTGCCGGTGAATATCAAACTGAATTACATACCTACATACCTACACTTTCTTGGGATTCCTCTACAGCTGTATATGGGGCTATTCTGTCGTAATATACAAAATAAAAAATATGCACAAAATTACAATGGAGCAAAAATATTTACATGTGTTATGAAAAGAAATATTTACATGAGTTATACGGTTATTAGGTAGTAGTTATTAGTCAGGTAAAAGTTAAACTTTTACCTAAGTTTCATGTGATAGAAGGTCAAAGCACACGTGATCAGATTACAAGTGATAGAAGTGTCAAACACTTGTGATGAGACTGTGTTCTATGCATTCCATTGTTTGTTAGTGGAAGTCCAAGCAAGTGCTGGCTCCATACCTGGCATGCATGAATAATAGCAATCTGATGTTTAGGATTGCAAGCTCCTATGAATACTTAATTTAGTGTTTTGGTCAGCACTAAACTTACGTGGTCACTTGGAGTGCAGATGAGTTAAATGTTTTTTAACACCTGAAGGGAAATTTTGTATCTCTTTTCAGCCATGTAATACCCTCTATAATTTATATTAATTTTGTGTTTTGCTTAGGGGATACCTGATTTGCCGGCAGAGCCCCAAGCTCCAACTGAACATAGTGAATCACAGGGTGAAGGAGAAGGAGAGGCAGCCCCAGCCTCAGCAGGTCTACTTACTGTGTTCATTTACTATGAAAGCTTAAAATTAACAGCGAACAGGAGCATCCTCGACTTTATTTAAATATTATTTGCATTGGAAAAATAATATCAACAAGTGCCTGATTTACAGGCAGCAGTGCTTTATCCAGACAGATAAGTCAGTCACTTAGTATAGACCTTTTCCAGTGAAGATGGCTGAAAATTTAAATTAAGCTTAAGGTAATCTCGTCAACAAGTCCTCCCTTTTCCAGCCATTTTAAAAGAGGGTCTTGCAGCACCATTTAAGGTTGATCTAGACTCAATTCTCAATGCTTGATTCCTTGGTGTCAGTCGTTGATGGATGACAGAACGCTTCCAAAGTCAGGAGCTTTGGCATGAATTTAACGCTGGTGGGGCACATCTGAGAAGAGAAAGGCATGAGCCAAAAGCGACCTTAAAAAGAGCCGATGAAGCAATTTGTTTAGTGTTAGCTTGTAAACTTAACTGTGCAGTTGCCAGTTGTAAGTCATCACAGTTACCTGAAATGAATAATATTGAACATTTCCAGTGTCTGCCTATAACATTTCTTTCTTTTTTCTTCAAGGAGAAAGTGGCATTGAGTTTTTGCGCAATCAACCTCAATTTCGGGAACTCAGACGACTAGTTCAACAAAATCCCCAGACCTTACCACAACTTTTACAACAAATTGGACAAGACAATCCGGAGCTACTGCAGGTACAATGTATAGTAACACTTCTATTCAACTTGTGGTTTTGGTCCCTGGAATTGTACAATGATGGGTATCACACACAGGTCTTGTGTGGGTCTTGAAATTATTGTTTTAGCAAGCCTTGGATTTTTTATTGTTATAATAAAGTATTATTGCATAAAAAGAATAATAAGAGTATTATTAATTTATTGTCATTATTTGTACGTTCTGGTTGTTTTTGAAAACCTTGGGCGCTTTCCATTTAGGAAAAAAACCCGGAAATTTCGGTGGTAGCAAAAGTGGAATTTCCGATTGGTAAAAAGTTGTTCCATTTGGTCGTAAACCCCGGTACGTGGAGGTGCCCGACCATGGACCTGGAACTGGTACAAACTACGAGAAACGTAAATGGAACACGAGATTCCGTTCGGAAATTCCACCCGGGAAAACAGGACCACCTTTTTAGATTTTCCACTTTTTCTGGGAATTTTCCAGTGGGACGAACCGACGAAACGTGTTCCATTTACCGCCGAACCAGAAATTCCGGAAATTTTGAGTAAATGGAAAGCACCCCTTGAGACGTCCTGGAAGTTTTTGAAAATCTTGGCAAATCCTAAAATTTTCTATTGTATCCTAATCATGGAAGCTGGAAGGGTTGAAAGATTGAGGCAAAGTCATCTTTTTGCTTGTTTGTTTGTTGTTTTAGACCAGCTTCAATGTCCATATTTTAAGTGAATAATAATATTAAACAAATTCAAAGGGGAGGTTGTTTTCTTCACGAAAGATAAATGAATATGAAGGAGAAAATAATGTCTCGAGAATTGGTTTGTTTCAAAGCAAAGCAAAGGTTGTTTTCTCTTCATGAACAATCAATGAATTTGAAAAGGGAAAAATGTCTTGATAATAGTAGTTTGTATAGCCTGCGAAAACATCCGTTTCTCCTCGCTCTTCGCCACGGGGGACGTTTTGCACAGACGAACGTCTACGACTCAGCGACAGAAATTCCATATTGATAACGCAAATCAATGTTTAGATAATAAATCCGGTAGTCAGGGGGTTCCAAATGTAAATTTGTCCAATTTTACGTGTCTTGTGGTCAATTTTGGAAAAGTGTTGTGTTCATCTACCAACTAGCTCCAGGAAAACTCCAATGCTTCTTCTAGAGAAGACTATATTACACAAATATTGACTGTTTTGTTAGAGATTCTTCGCGTTTACATTTGACGTTTGTGGCCTTTTGTCTTTTGTCTGTCATTCATAAACGATAACTAAAAACAATGTAACTACTCCGTCGACCAATCAGCACTTCTGACCAGATTCCAGACAGATTTTACCTCATCAGTATGGAATTTCTGTCGCTGAGTCGCAGATGTTCCTCCACGCAAAACGTCCCCAGCGGCGAAGAGCAAGGAGAAACAGATGTTTTCGCAGGGTATAGTTTGTATTTTCATGAACTAAATGAGAAACTTGTTGTGAATATTCCACAGCTTATAAGTCAACACCAGGAGGAATTTATAGCCATGTTAAATAGTCCCAACGAACCTGGTGATGCTGCTCCACGCGTAGGAGCTCCGTCAGCACAGGGCAGACCAGGCCAGGAAAGACCAGAAATGGTTCTTAATGTCACAGCACAAGAAAAAGAAGCTATCGAGAGGGTAGGAGAATGTGTTATTTTTGTCATAACAGTGCTCCAAAAAAGTACTGTCCAGTCGTCTGGCACATGCAGTCATTTTTGCTGGGCAAGTAACTTGTAACCTTTTAATTCCCAGGAGTGACCAACATCAGTTTCAGTATATTATAATGAAGTAGAAAGGTTATGAGACTTAAAGAAATATGCTTTGATCTTTTAACAAATTCTCTCAACCAATTTTTCAAGGACAGTATGCAGGCCAGTGTGGAGAATTTGTATGTTGATCTTGGGGCTTAAAGGGTAAAAGCTTACTTGCCAAGTGGGCAGGGGTCCAAGTAAAAAATCATCAACTAAGATGAGCAAGAAGTGAGAGCAAAATGTGAGAGCTGCTTGCTTAAAGGACAAGCTGGAATTCATTGTTTTTAGCCCTGCTTGCTGTGTTTTATGAGGTAATAAAGCATAACCCCACGACTAAGTTATGCACGGACTGTTTAGGCAGCCAGTGCTGGCTAATGTTAGCGCCATAAACTGTTGTTGTAACGTCAAAAATCAAGAGAACTTTCGTGTCTATCCTCCAGGTACATTATTTTTAACATTGCATAGTTGTTGCAGTTTCTTCACAGCTCATCGCAGGATAATTATTGTTCTTCCCAAGTTTGTTGAGGTTTTCATAGATCAACCATTAATCGAACCTTGTTCCCAGGCTCCCTCTCTCACTCCAGTGGACGAGTAGGAGAGGAACCTGGGAACAAGGTTGCCATTAATCTTACATGTAAGTTGTTAAAGGCGCAGTCACAGTGGGATTTCACCATGAACTTGTGCCTGGAAATTAGAATTGATGGTCTGAAAAGAGGCTTTTTCAGTTAAAAATTTTGAATGTAGAAATGGTTATGATTTTCATCTTGGTTAATCTTTTTCAGCAGAAGGCAATGTGTTAAGTTCTGTTTATTTCACCTCCTTTTAATGCTTTCATAATTATTTTTATCCACAGCTAAAAGACCTTGGATTTACGGAAGCTTTAGTCGTCCAAGCCTACTTTGCTTGCGATAAGAATGAACAACTGGCTGCGAACTTTCTACTTAATACAAGAGATGACGACTAAAATAATCTTTACCTTAAAGTCTTTTTGTTCATTTGGCCATATACTTCATTTTAGTAAAAGGTTCACTGTTAACTGGAATGACTGAAAAGGAGCTCTTCTGTCTCCTTAGTTGATTTTGTATTTTGCTGGCTCAGTAGAGAGTGTAATAGTTATATTAAATTTGCTTTATTTATGATAATTGAAATAATTATCATATAATGATAGCAATTTTAGTTTTCTGATAATGATTGTGATACAGTTTGGCTATGAAAACATCACTGTCTTAACTGCTCTCAACTTTTATGTTGTCAATAATGGAGAGAAACTACTCTAGCATAACGGATTTTCCAGTCTTGTTCATAAGAGTAGTATTATATAGAGTATCAGTACCAGTAAAATCCGGTCTAGTCTGCTACACAGCCGTTTTAAGTGTCGTCACGCAACGCTCCTCCCCACTAGCGTTGCGTGACGACACTAAAAACGGCTGTGTAGCAGACTAAATCCGGTCGGGCTGAGATTAAAGGTAAAAAAACAATTTGTGTCACAATTGTGTCACGTGAGCTAATGGACCAATCAAATGCGAGTATACAATGACTGCCTGTTTCAAACCATCTATAGACTGTGTAATTAATGTCTTGCTAACCTGGCTTATTCCCTCGCTTTTATGGCCGAGTGAATACGACTCTCTATCCGTAAGTTACACTGCGGTTAACTAAGAGGAATGTATGTTTTCTCCCCAAGAAAGTGTCGCTTTTTCTAACTGTCGTTGATTGAAACTAAGCGCGCGTTATCAGTGGATGCCCAACGTCTGATATTCTGGTACAACGTGATACGTTTCACCCCCAAAAAGCGCGGAAACTGAGGTCAACTTTTTTTGGGGGGGGCTGAGAGGGTAGGATTCGGTGACATGTTTTTGTACAAGCCAGGCAAGCAATCACAGCTTTGAAAGTCTCCAACAGAAAGTAAAGTAATCATGGTCGCCAGTGGTGTGGATTATAGGTATTTTCCTGTGGCAAACATGTATAAGGTTATCAAAGTGTAGTTAAACTAGTGGTTTTATCTGAGCATAAATTTCTTGCCTGTATACTTCGCTATTTTAAGATTGTGTTATGATTAAGCTATGGGCACGGGCAGTCCCTTTTTTAACTGCAATGTTTTATTTCGTGACCAAATCGTTTGGAGATTGATATTAGTCTACACACTGTCTAAAACAGGACAATCTGAGAAACTGTTGCTCTAGAGAAAAGCAGAAATAAAGTCAACAGATACCTGAACTACTGTAGGGTTTAACTAAAGCTTCATGTCCTTTTTACTCAAAGATAACATTGGAGCGCTAACACTTTGCAAAAGCAGCGCGTCGGGTTTATTTGTTTAGCATGTGTTTAATTTCGTTTATACACACATGATAATAAAGCAATTTTTTTTCCTTCACATCCTTAATTGACCACTCCCGAAAATACCATAACACACCATAATGCTCTTTGTTTCTCACCCCAAAATTTTGCATAAGCATTGTTTTCAGTTTCTCTTGGGGCCATTTTAACTCCCAAGAGAAATTGAAGACAATGCTTATGCAAAATTTTGGGGTGACAAACAAAGAGCATTATGGTATGTTATGGTATTTTCTGGAGTGGTCAATTCGGAGACCTCTGAGAAAAGGAAAACTATCCCACAAGAGTATAAAACAAGCGAGAACCATTCGCCTGTCAACAACCTAAACATATGCGTCGATTTTTTTTTTCAAGCCCCAAACTCGTTCCCACAGTCTTCGTCACCCTTGACCAGCCGAACTACCCGTTCCGCTGGACAAGGGTAACGCGGACTCTGGGAACGATATAGTGAAATGATCATAACTAATTGCGCATGCCCATAGTTTCACATCCGATAAAACTTTTGATTTGCCCCGTGCCATCTCACTAACGCTCATCACCGAATAAGGGCTTGAATTTTCGAGTCAGTTAAAAGAACAAACGAGAGAGTTCCTTATTCTTTATTTCTTTCTTTACTTCAGCCCTCAAAGTAACACTTTCGTACCATTCCTGAACTGTAAAGAAATCCCTCGCCAAATCTTTACGTCCTTTACCCATATATATATTTTTTGAACAAATACGTTTAGTGTCTTACAAATTGAGGGGAAAAATAAATAAGCCAGTTGTAACTAAACTCATCACCAATCGATTCTCTTCATATTTAAATTCTAGTGTTTTCCGCGGGCTGCTATAAAATATTTCTTTTTGCTATATTTTGGTTATTTGTTTGTTTGTTCTTCATAGAAAATCTCTTTTGTTCTCCGACTCAAATCACGTGTTCTTCTCCTCTTCAACAAGGTCCCAGACCTTATTCAATACCCGTTTGCAGTATCGAAGTCTCTCAATCATTTCCTCTGTGCAACCCTGTGAGTTAATTTCTGACATGAGGTAACTTGTTCCTTCTCTCTGCTTATCGATGTAAATAACTAAGACATCGCTGTTGCCAGGAATAAGGACTATCTTGGTGTGGTCGTTGAAGAAATTTACCTAGCAAGGGAAGAGTATACAAGTTTGATTGAATGTCAATTAAACCGATGAACTTTAGACAAAGAGAATATTAATAGGAAAATTGCACGATGACGAACTTTTATTACAACTTCAAGAATCCTTTAGTTTGTTGTTTTCTTATGCAAATTTAGGGCTACTGTTTTTTAAACCCCAGCGGGATTGACAATAAGAAAGCAAAACGAAGTGAATTCTCAGGTAGTTGTCGTCAATCTCGTCATCGTGAAAATGGCCCATGGACTACCTGTATGGTTCCGTTGCTAAGATACATAACCATCGTGATGTCTGTTCTAAACCAGATGTCTACGAACGGATAGCTCGGCTGATCAGCGGAAATTCCTCCTTTAGAATCGCCACCCTGTTAAAGAATTTGACAGTTTTTGAAGATGTTATGATCCAAGTAAGTTAGAAATAAATATCAACATAATTTGATCCTCTTCCCGAGATTTTTTACGACCTTCAAATGTACAAATCACCTTTACTACATTACAGGCTCAAGTTCATCCAATCATGTAAACAACGTCAGACCTTATATGGAAATAGGGCTACGAAACAGACTGCTTCAAGTTTCGCTGTTTTGCCTCTCTCCTCCGCAGAGACCGCTTTGCGTTGTAGGGAGGTCGGGGGAGAAAGAAAAAGAGAGCGCGCGGGGCACGATGGAAAGGGGAAAGAGAGGAAGAAAGAGAGGCTCCCGCCTTTTCCCTCTTCCCATCGTTCCCTGCTCGCTTTCTATTTTTCGATCATTGCTATTTTAATTGGGATACCTTGCGGGAGCTTCTGCGGAGGAGACAGCTGTTTTGCAATAAACTGGGTGAGAGGCAGAGAGCCAGGTTTCCATATTGCCCATTAGCAAAATTTTGGACGAACGTAATACTAGCCTCCCAGGCAGGCCTTTTTTAGGGGAGCTCGTTTTTCATCCCTCCCCACAGAAGGGATGAAAAACGAGCTCCCCTAGAAACGCCCGCGTAGAGGAGGCTAATGTAATACCCAAGAGAACTTAAAACTAAAAAGGTTAAGCAAAGTTTTGGAGGGCAAACAAGGTATTATGGCAAATGCGGAAATGGCGAAAGATTAGGTGCTGGTGCGTGGTGTGTTTCGCACGGTTTGATTGGCAAACGTCCTTGGATAAATGAAGTTTAAAGTTTACATCTGAGGGACGCGTATTAGTGAACATAACAAACACGTTATTTGAAATGAACAGTCTTATACCTTTAACAAATGTTTGTCCATGTAATTAGCAAAGTAAGTCAACAACATGTACTTTGCCTGTAGACTGGTTGGTACGGCGTTAGACCTGAACTGACTTGGGTTATTTAGTCGATCACAATAATGCACAAAACTGTCAAGAGAAAAGAGTGAAAGAAAGAAATGCCTGTTAGCTACGAACATTCGGGTGTTCGCAAAATGGTCGTGCAACATCCGTGGATGTCGAATGTGTTCGTACAAGAGTCGGATGACATCGATTTCTGAAATCTGTTTCGATACGATTTACTTTTAATAGTATCAACGACAATTCAAAACATTGACGTAATTGACCAGTCAGGTCAATAACCAGAGTATAATACCATCAACTGACGTGATACAGCTCACTTTGACTCTGAAGATGACTACCGCACAGGTTGTCGAAACATAAGTCACTGTCAACATCAACGGTCCTATTCAGGACTACGTTCACGCGGACGATCAAATTCAACCTACTTTTGATTGAGTTATAGTCCATTTTCGAGTTGCCTAAAGCCTCTTTTTGAAAACGAGACGCAGTATGAGTGAGGTCTTTGAGAATGGGGTTGACCTAATATGACCTAAATGACACATGTATTTAAACTTCATCGCCATACTGAAGCTGGTCGCAATTTCAATCCCTTTCTTTCAAACCCTTGTCAAAGGATATGGAATCACCAAGAGGGAAAAGTCCCTGACATGCGCGATTCTAAGGCAAAGTATCTGTTTCGATATAACCACTAAGAAAATGACCGAGGAATTCATCGCACTTTTGTTTAAAGAGCAACGTACACTCACCTTTTACCAGGAGATATAGCAATTTTCGAACCGTCGTTAAACCTCACATTAAAGCTTCCATCCGATAGCTGAGCACCAAACCCGTACTTATTGCTATAATCTACCCACTTGGTCACCAATAGGGGCTTAAGATCGTCGTGTGTTTGTATCCCCCCTGATTTCTTTCCATTTCCTTGTGGCTGACAGGAGGGGTTCTTGGAAAAAAGTCCCAGTGGCTTGACAGGAAGTTTTTGTTCACTTTCTTCTAGGCATTCGAGACACTTGGACAGTTTACAGATGAGTTCGTCCGGCGGAAAGTATTTGGGCTTAGGGTGACCTAAATAGGAACGAACAGTGAAAGGTCATCACTTAGATTCAGGGAAGGCTCGACAATTAAACATCTTAGACATTTTGACAATAGCCATAGACAATAGTCGTAGTTGTCATAGCCATACCCATGGCTGGCTCCCTTAAAGTGACGGATTGACATTATTGTTGGTCACCATACAGGAGTCATAAAAAAGTCCACGCCCGTGAGACTGGTTCGGTTTTGTTTCGAATTGCCAGCCTCGTCCCCAGGCCAATTCACGCTATCCGAGGGAACATAGGAGGCTTGGAACCGAACGCGAATATTCCTTACAAGCTCGACGGGTGTCGTCACTTCCCGAACGACTAGTTAATGAGGCTGTCGAATTGCTTGTGTTATTTTTTTAGGGAACGCCTAATGTCTTCTTTTATACGTATATCGATATCGTAGATCAGAGGTCATTGTAAAGCACTAGTTGAGCCCACACCCCCCAACAAACATTTCCCATGATGCAATTGAACACGACACTGACACATTTGCGCGACGATAAAGAGTGAGCGAGAGAAGAAAGTGTAGAAGAGAACCTGGGAACGAAGTTGCTTTGTTGTCCCGTTTCTCGATAATAGCCTACCTTCTTGTCGCGTATCCCGAGGTTTATCCCGAGGAGTGCAACTGCTTTGACTCATTCCCCTGTCTTTTTCAGAAGGAGACACAAGTTTGCCTCCGCATTCACCATTCATTTCTTTCACTCGACAGTCTTTTTCCATTGTATCGTCCTTTTCGTCGCTCGCAAGCTTCATTTGCCGGGACAGTGCAATTGTTATTTTCTTAATCGCGTCTTTAGAAATTTTCTTGTCAGATTCTCCGCTTTTTTCATACTCGGACCATTTTGGTGAGGAGGTGACACATGTACCTGGGAGTCGGTTCGGAAAAAATCCTTTCGTGAAAAATTCGTCGGCAAGAATTTCTTTCAAGGAGGGCCTGTCAGCGGGGTTCGGTTTGAGCATTCTTTTAATGAGCTTAGCAGCGTTGTCTGAAATACGTGAGGGAATGGTATACTCGTTGTTTCGTATTCTGTTGTAGGTCTCTCGCAACGACTTTGTTTCAAATGGGGGATGCCCAACTAACAAAGTGTACCTATGAAAGAAGAAAAAAGAACATATACAGTGACAAGCAAACACGTCGGTAAATTACCTACGATTTTTAAGCCTCTCAAGAAACTTGGGAAAAGAAAGGGATGACCTTCAATGTGACTTACATGACGCATCCTAAAGCCCAAGTATCCACTTCATAACTATGGCCTTCTTTACTTAACACTTCAGGTGCAATGTAGTTTGGGGTACCACACATCGTCCTGAAACAAAATGAAAACAAAGAAATTATACTTTAGTCGTCATGCAGTGCTCTGCGATGATGATTATGATTGTTGCCCTCCCTGTGCAATAATGAAATAAACCCTTTGAAGCCACAATCTTTTTGCGCACATTTTAACAAGCGAGTGACCTACACTATGTTAATTTTGACATAAAAGAAGTCTTAAAGTAATTAAAGTCAGCTCGAGCTCGGTTAGAAAACTATAATTCGTCTCAGGAATTCTATGAACATAGTTATCTAATTAGCTTCTATCTTTTGTGGATCGCGTCTCTTTGATGGATTCCATACGTTACTAGGTTGTGGGTTTTCCTTTGCGCAAGATCGCCAACAAAGGAGTGTGTCCCTTGGGCGTATTCGCCAGATCTACCACATCCACACAAGTTTTTGTGCCAAAACTTAAATCGTTGGGATCTTGATCCCTATTAAAACTGGGATTTCTCATAATCCTGCTAAAGAATGAATTTACGATTTCAGAATTTCAACAGAATTTTCTCAAAGAAATGTAGCATGCGTAGCTGGCGATTTTGTATGGTGAACGCGCAAATGAGCGAGAAAGCTGCGAAAGCGCAAGCAAAGCAGCGTCATTGTCTAGTTCTCGCCATTGCCCCTCCCCTTCATAACCGCCTCACTTACTTTATCTTTTTCTCTTCTTCCTTCAGCCTCACTGCCAGACCAAAGTCTCCAAGTCTCAATTCCATGTCGGCATTGAGGAAAAAGTTGCCGACTTTGATGTCGCGATGTATGACCCGCTGAGCGTGCAGATACGAGCATGCTTGAACGGCTTGGAACATAAGATACCGTACCTCGGGTTCTGTGAGCTTGCCACGATTTTTGAGAGTCTGTACTAAGGACTGTATAAAGTAGGAAAAAAAAACACAAGTAAACTCTTCATCTCGAACAGTACGTTGATTATACGCCAAACGCCCGGGGTCAACGCCACATACGAGCCGTTGCAGCCGGGTTGTTTAATCTTGGTTTTTCACCCTTATTATGAGGGGTTTAAAATCCGAGTGGAGCTCCGGTTATGCCTTTCCGAATTCCACTGCAACAGCATGCAAGTATTCACTAAATCATCATTAATTTCTTATCAGTTTATTGATTAAGAGACTGGCCTCCTTCCACAGTTTTCAAAATTAAAAAGAGTAAGCAGCCTTTTTGACAAACAGATTAAAACCAAAACAACAACAAAATATATATTTTTTGCAGTACGTAAACTGAAAACTGCTTATGTTTTACCGGTCGTTTCGATACAAGTTTACTCAGTCGAGGTGTAAATAAGGCTTGGCTTAAAAACGACGAGTATTCACCCAAAATGTTGTTCTTTTTCACGCACAAACTATACTTCCTCATCATTACCTTACGGCTGCAGTGTTCCAATAATATATAGACATGCTGTTCGTCCTCGAAATGACCATGAAAACCAACTACGTGTCTTTGACGAAGACTCTTGTGCAGCTCGATTTCTGTTTCGATCTACAAAGGAGCATACTGTACGTGTGAACTACAGGAACAATAGAGGTGTTGGAATTAACGCTTCGCTGGGGCAGTCGTAAGAGCCAAGTAGGTTTAGTTATCTCCTGCCCAGATCTCACTCTTTCTGTAAGTCTCAAATGTGGTCTGGGTTTGAGGTAAGAATTTATACTTCGTGTCCGCGTGCACTTGCTATATGCATGGTCTCTGCTTCTTGCCGCGAATAGCAATTTGTTTGAAAAAAGTTCAACACAGGGAACATAGGCTACATTTCGCTAAAAAGTAGATCTTACCTTGTTGTATCTATCCGCAGATTTTGAGAGTTTTACTTTTGGCACAGCTTTGAGAGCGTATACTTTGTTCGTTGACATGTCTGTGACTTCATAGACACGAGCGAACCCGCCCTGAGTGTCAAAACAAACACATTAGAACGAGTTTAATTGTTATGATCGCATAGTTGAACTGTAACACGTTCCGAGGTGAAAATGACGAAGATTAGTTTTTAAAAAATAGGTGAAAAGAAATTCCCTAGCTATAAATGGTCAGAACTAGTTTATTATATTGCAATAAAGCATGTCTCCTAAGTCAAGTGAGTGCTCTATAGTGGGTGACCGACACCAGCGTGTGCAAATCGTTAGGACATAATTTACATGAAAGAAATATACAATAGGCTGGACAAGGTGCTGCTTTTTGACCCTTCGCCAAAGAAAACCACCCTATTCATGCTGGTGAATAATGGGTATTTGGCGATCTTACACTTTTTTTCAGAAAAATAAAAATCAAACTATTATGCGGCAAAGTAACTGTATAAATATAACAAAAAATGCTGCTAGACACCGCGACTGAATCTCTCAAACCTGGTATAATATAAAATTTTTGAAAATGAAGAATTTAATTGGTAGCCTCAATGAAGATTTTCAGCAGTCGGGGGTGTTGTAAATCAACAGATGTTTCGCCTAAGTGTGATTTCGTAGCCTGCGCTGGGGATGTTTCGCCCCTCCTGGGGAAACGTCCTAAGCGGCGAGCAGCGAGGAGAGCCGACTGCTGTTCGTTCGCAGGCTACGTATTACCGAACAAGTTTGCTGCAACTTATGCTGCGCACATGCAGGTATGTCATACAAAAGATATGCAACCTAAATCTTTTCTTTTGGTGTTAATTATTGGAGAAAGCAGGTGGGAAAGATCCAAGTAAGCTATAAGCACGCTAGTATTGCATGTATTATCGAATGATAACTTCTTTCTCCTTACTTAAACAGTTTCCTTTGTGAGTACAGAAATTGGCCAACTGAACCACAAAGACCTGTTCAAGAACATGGGTGGAGACCCCACCTACAGCTCATAATAAGAAAAACAAACAACGACTGCGCTTTGGACTTTTCTTTTCTTTCTTGTCCGTTCTCTGATCGATACTTTAAGTTTATTCAGTTATTGAAGTTGTGTTCAATAATATCATATCATTAACTCGACCACATCTTGGTCCGAAAGTTCTGAGAAATATTACATATAAAATAAGGTGTCGGGATAGACAATCTTCCCGGAAAATTCACTCAGAAGTTCAGTATCCACTGACGTGCAGCAAATGACAAGTTAACTACAATTTTTCTCGCTTTAATTTGAAAATCAGCTCTTTAAGCAATTATTTCAGATCGACGATTGCATGAACAGATTTTAGAAAGCACTACACAGTGACTGTAAGATGATGGAGAACGAACAGCTTTGTAAGATAATACAGCTCTATAATTTTCCATTAAAATGGCGTTTCAGATGTTTACCTACAGCTACAAAAGATAGATTGAAGCGGCGTTGATGTAATGATTAAGTCTAACAAAGAATCTACGGCACAATACTCACCTTTCCAAGCAATCTGCCTCGAAAGTATCGCTTCCCACTTCCGTTATCTATGACTTTTGGTACTTCCGGTAAAGGCATATCTTTAGCATTCCTTGACTTCTTTAGCGATCGATCCGCTGTAGATTTATGAACCGCTGGCTGTGGAACAAAATTTGTTGTTAGAGTTGCCATTTTTACTGATCCCAACCTTCAGTACAGGAGCGTTTTCTCGACTGTAAACTCTCTAGAGTATTAAACTATTTTTCAAGACATGTTTTCTCAACGAACTGCCAAGATACCTGCTAATGCTTCGCGCTGATTGGTTGACGCAGATTCCACGTTAACCGTCATTGTGTGATGCGAGTACACGTGTTTAGCGCGCGTCAAATTCTGTGCGCGCGCTCTTAACTGAGCTGCACCCACAGTCAATTTCAGCGGTTACGCGATCACTTGAGAATTATTTTTGAACATTGGTTTTCAAGGGCTTTTTTCGGAGATTGCGGCCTACCAAAAGTAAAAAATACACTATAGCCCTGTAATCAATCGTATTCTTAAATTATGTATTTTTCCAGGAGCCCAGATTTGTTTAAAAATATTTTTTGCATTCCCCCAACAAGCCTAAATTACCAGTACGTTCTTCGTTTTGCTTCGTTTTGAAAGAAAACACATATATACTACATGAACTTGTTTAACCACGAAGCAAAGAAGGCACAAAAGATATATGATTAACCTCAAGCGGAGCCCTTCCCTACCGCTCCCCCAACCTCTACCTCGGAAAAAAAATTACTCTTTGAGGAAGGAGTGTTTCCGTTGTGTGCTTCCTCATTTGCGCTCACTCGAAATATTTAGGGAGGGAACATTTCGTGCTTCCGGACGGCAGGAGATGTTTCTGAGGCTTTCAGAAACCTTTTGTTTCCGTGAAAATTGTTTTCCATTTTGTGCGTGAACAAGGCTCAGATTGGGTTTCATCTTGTTGTTATCATGAATTCTTACGCGGCCAAACCAATTGAGAAGGCTGGAAGGAGAACACTTCCACATCGTGTGCCTAATCCTGCAAGAGAGCTCTCTTGAGCTCTCTTGGGGGGGAGGGAGATCGGGGGGGAGGGGGGGTAGGGAGGAAGAGGGCCCGCGCCGCTTCCTCAGTTGTATGAGAGGGGCACCTTCGGGACCTTTCCAAGTGTCAACTTAATAGAGGGTGTCCGCCTAATAGAGGTTTGACGATTAACATTCAGCGTTTACTCTGTATTGTGACAAAGTTCCGTGTTGTTAAGAAAGCTAAGGAAGCTGTGCTGTACTTTGTGCAAGACTTTTAGGTGAACTTTGATCTCGGATGACAATCATACGGGCGGATATCGTTCCAGTCTACAGTTTAATGACAGCTAAATGAATTGATTTGTCTTTATTTAATAATCGACTGCAGTACGACTCAATTGACAATAGTAGTATTAGATTACGTTCTTGAAATATGTATTGTAGTCGAAAAGTCAATAAACTGTAGATTAGACCGATATCCGGCCGTATGATGGTCATCCGCGATCAAAGTTCACCTCAAAGTCTTGCACTAAGTACATACAGCAGAGCTTCCTTAGCTTCCTTAGTTAACAACATGGAACTTTATTACAGAGTAACCGTTGAATGTTAATCATTAACAAACGCCCGCTATTAGCGGACACTTGGGAAGGTCCAGAAAGTGTCCTTAGAGGTTTCACTGTACTACTGTTGTCAATTCAGTCCGGTGTCCGCTTCATAGAGGTTGTTAACAATAAAAATTAGCCAAATCCAATTTATTTTAGTGTCCGCGTCCGCTTAATAGAGGTGTCCGCTGAATAGGGATTCGTTATAAAGGAAAATATAAGACGTTAATTTCGGGACCTGGCTTAGTGTTCGCTTAATAGAGGGTGTCCGCTTAATTGGGGGGTTTTATTGTAGCTGCGGTGGTACCGGAAATCGTACGTGTCAACAAGACTACCGTATTCCGTTTTGGGACAGGAAGATCAGAGGAACCGCTAAGACCTTCCAGAAACAAGTTGTATGCTAGTCGATCGAATGTTTAGAGGGGACATTATTCCAAAAAACAAAACGTGATGTATAGAGAGAAAGAGAAAAATTTATGATCATGTTCACAGCACAAAACTTAATTATAAGATATATTCCTTATCTTCGTGCTCTCATTCCTTCCGCTGCATTTGACCTGTCTTCTCAAGCTCACTGTGAAAAGAACTTGGATATCTTGCTTATTTTTTGATCTGTGAATAGAAGTCCGCGCTGATTCCCAAGCAAATCGGAGCCGTCTTGTATGCGAAGGTGGATCATCAATTTGAGAGATCGAGGAAATGAAAATCTGTTTTAAAAAAATGCTCCCGCCTCTAATTAGATAAGGTAGCGGCACATTTCATGGGACAAATCATCCGGCAGTTAAAATACTTGTCGGCCAACCTGTTACTCTAGGACCTGATGTTAAGAGAATCTGAGAAAGGAAGAATTAACATCACTAATCTTACCTTTGAAAGTTTATCAGCTTCACTTGTGCTGTCGTTCGTTTCAATCCCCGAATCCATGACTTTAAAGTCACAACACCGTCGAATTTTATCTATAAGTCGCAGCGCCGACGCAATGTTTCAAAATTTCCTTGAGGCCGCATCTCCAGTGTTACCAACAGTGCTTTTTGTCTGCCGTTACAGCCATCCGATGCGTGTCATTTTAATTTTAGATATTCCGGTGGATTATATCCTTGACAAATGGTAAAATAACAGCAGTGTTTTCCTAGTCCATAAAAAAACATCTATACACGTTTCAAACCCAGAAGTAAATCTTTGTCATGCCGGAAATAACACTGATTCACGCTACCCGCCGCCACCAGTTGAGTCCTGGTGACGTCACAGGATCGAGTGTGTAAATAGATTTTTTTTCAGTGTCACGCGTTGCACTGGTTTCGATTTTTTTTTGTCCGAGAGTCTAATACGGTCGAACCCCTCCTTACGGATATGTCAGGATCCTGGATATGCCTATAAACACTTTTATCACGGACAGTTAAGAAGACTGATATCAAAGATAGTGAATGCTTAGACTACGGGTAGTCCCCATTTTCCCTCAGGGATAGTAGAGCGAGCGAGACGCGAGCACCCGTGAAAATCACCTCACGCGAGAAAGGCGATACGCGGCGGTGAGAGGGAATGTTCAAGCTCGTGCTCTATGGTGGTAAACAAGTCGGCGAATAAGTGATCATGATCGGGCGACAGGGGTACTGGAAGAAAAGGGAATGTAAGCAGTCGAGCTTTCCTTATTAACTCAGGCACTCCCCCCACCCCCACTCCCGCGCGCGCTGCCGCAATGTGGACATCCCTGCTCTCGGGATATTGGAATTCAACCCCTTACCCCCGGCCCTGAAGACAATTCTAGGTGTGGCTCAAACTTATTGGCCCCTAAATTACAAAGGAAACCTCACTGAAACAGACAACAAAATACCAAACCTGTAATCAACACCCAGTTTAGTGAGGGTACGCGACAAGCATCTCGCGGTTTGCACCCTTATCGTAGTACGTATCCCTTATGTCTTTAGAAAACAGTGGCCTTTTCAGGGGATACTTCCTGGTAGTAGGCTAATGGATATAAGCCGCTGATTGGGGTCGCATTTTCACAACTGGAGTGACTATTATGGGGTTGCGTTTTTATAAGAGTTACTAGAATGGGGTAGCACATTTTCATGATTTTGGGAGTCAGAAAAATCAGATCTGTAGGGAATTTAAAATAGAAAGATTTACACCACATTAGCAGATGTGTCAGTTCATTTCAGGGTGACCAAGTTAACAGAAAGCGACTGCAAAAATTGCTTTTTTTTCCCAAAGTGACTGAGATTGGGTCTATACAAGAGCCATGGCTCTTGGTCTATAATATGGCCACGGCATAAACTATGGGGAAGGGGTTCTGAGAGGCCAGCGGCACATACCCAGCAAAAATTAGCGCGAGTAGCCCTGCCGGGGGTCTGTTACCCCAGATCACGCACGCGCCTGTTATTTTCGCTTGGCTTGTTTTATTTTCGCGACGTCCCTGATATCTGAGAGCCTGGTTGCACAGACTAAGAAGACACAACCATCGCCATAGGCGTACGGGCTATTTTTTGCCAGTGGGGGCGGTAAACCATTTGCCCAGAAAATTTTTGCAAGTTGCCCAATTTTTACAAAACAGTCGAACAGAAACGAGGGCCGATGCAACAAGATATGCCGTACTGGCATATGAAAATGGCTCCATACAGTTTTTCAGGGTCAATACCTGCCAAGTTTGAGCATAAACTACGTCGCCATAAACAAACATTAATTGGAAAAGTTGCCACCACAGGTGTATTAGATAAAGATGAAAATTTGTTGTGATCAGGGTTGCAATGACATCGGAGTTGTTATAGCAACGAAATGAAGCCATTACCTATTATACTTGCAGCAATAGTTCTCTCTGGGAACTGTTCTTCTAAAATCGATCGCAGGAGCTTTTTCCTCCAATAGTCGCCTCGATGTTCGTGACGTTAAAACGGAATCTGTAAGAGCATTATCGAGATATTTTGGGACAAAGTTTTTATCGTTGGAAATACGGTAAAAAAAGGAAAATCTTGATGTTTGGCCGTTATCTGTAGAAAACGATGCACTTGTGACATGCAATTTCACCTCATAGTAGTTTCAATCTTTTCAAAAACGTGGGTGATAGATCATGGAGATAGCTCCGGCCAATTGCTACAAAGAAGGATTTGATTAGTATGTATCATGGCGCTCTTGTTAGCGGTTTTGTAAGCATTTCAGTCTACTTTAACAAATTATTGAATAATTTTTAAACCGCTCGATGTACTTTTTTAAAAAATCAAGATTCTTCTCGCAATTCAAACTGAGAATTAATCAGCCACTTCTTCACTTTAAGACCCATTGCTGATGCTATCTGCCATACACTGTTCTACGAGCGCAGATGATTCCAGAAAGTTAGACGGAAGTTTATTCTAATAATTTCACGAGTGGAAATAGCCCATTGCAGTACGGTGCCCAACAATAAAAAAAAAATCAGCATATGATACCTTTCCCTTACAACCAGAAACTCGTCACGTGCTAGGCAGACACTCTAGTGTCAATGTAACTGGATTATTACGCCGACTTCAGGTTAAAATAGAATATATTTATCTCTTCAAAATAATACTAAAAACGTGGAGACGTCTTTAAAAACTGACTTTGCCCAAATTTTCTCGTGCTGCCCAAAAATTCTGAGTTGCCCAAACTTTGGGGGGGCTGCAGCCCCCCTCGCCCCCCCGGCCCGTACGCCTATGACCATCGCGAGGATTGTGATCTTATTGTGATCATGATGCTTGCTTGGTTTTGTTCTCCCCATCCCCCTTCAATGCCCAGTCGATCGCGTTAGGTTGGGGACTGGAACGGGGTAATTTGATGTACGTAAATCACTCGGAAATCAAGTCACATTTATTTTAAGAATTTTCCTCGAAAGTGCTTTTAGAATTTATTACAGATACCATAAGAGTGAGTAGGCAATATTTTTCTTGTACGGACAAGTGCATGCTGACCCCCGTTTGAACTTGTTATCTACTCTCGAAACGGTTTAGTGAAGAAACTCAGGCGCAGTCGATTTTGGCCCTTATCTGTGAAATCATGGTAGATCAATTCAGATACGATCTACCAATGGTAGACCCTGTAGATCTTATCTTCGCTGCAGGTCTTCCTTGTCCTCCGCCTCCTCTACCACCACTGCCACCTCGTACTGGAGGAATCCCATTTTTGACGGCTATACGTGAAGGGAAACTGGATGAAGTAAGAAAACAGATTTTCATAGTGGTGCTGTTATAATATTCAGCTAGCTTAACCTCTATTTAAAGGAGCTGTGTCACGAAATTCAGCCAAATTAGGTAATTACAAAATGCCCGTTAAAAATAAAACTTTAAAGGAAGGTTAAAATAACACAACAGATGCCACGGATGGGCAAAACTGAAGAGGATTGAAACGGATTGAAATTAGGGTTTTTGAAAACTGTTCAACCTAACAATTTTTGAAAGTTGATCTCTGCTGTTTGCAACTTCAAGAATAATGCTCAGGAGACATATTTGTTTGTCTCTAATCTCTGCTTGTGTCATTTACAAGTAATTTCTTTGCTTACTTTAAGTTCCATAGCGACTGAGGGCTATAGTAATAAACAAAATCAACTGGACAGCGGTGACACGGCCCCTTTAATATTATTATTAGGCTTAGCTAATAATATTATTTAATTTAGTACTTTGAATCTTTTTATTTATCTAAAAAGGAGGCAGTTTTATCACTGCCTGTTGAAAATCAAGGCCAATGAATGGTAGAAAAATATATCTAGAGAAATGACCGTCTTATAGAGAGTCAAATAAAGGGAGTAAAGAAAGGCAAGGATGGACTCCAGGTGTCCATTTTACAGAGGTGTCTGTCTTTTAGAGGTGTCCATTAAGAGAGAGTCAGCTTATATACGATTGTCAGGATGATTGCGTGTAGTCCTGAATAGCTGTCAATGTGAATTTGACTCTGAAGATGACTACTGCGCAGGTTGTTGAAACATGAGTCTCCGTCATCCACAAAAGTCCTATTCAGGATTTAACTCACGCGGATGATCATAATATTATGTTCCACTTACTTATGAAATGACCCCTGGGTTCAAATGTTTCACAGAAACTCATTACCAGGGTGCAAAGAAAGTCAGTTTCACAGCCTGCCATTTGGGCAAGCTGTAGCTAGCATGTACTAGCCCACAAGTCATTTCAACTAGCCCCAAAACTCGTTTTGATTAGCAGGATTAATTACAGTCCTTCAAAATTTGAATTTCCCCAGAAAACAGCACTTACCGATCAGGCAAGTTAAGAACAAAAATCACAAGCCCAATAGCAAAATCCACTATCAGACACAACTTTAATTTCTTTGCACGCTAATTACACATAATTTTAGTCAGTAGATAAATGTTGAATAAGCCTAAACAGGAGATAAGTTACAAAATATACTGTCTACATCCCTGATTTAACACTCAAAGGGACACAGCCAATGGTCTGTATAAAAGATCAGGGTTTGAAGGAACTCCCATCTTAGGCAACATTACCCGCTCTCTAGATCCTTGCTCTAAGTTATGCTACTTTGGGTTATAATCTCATCTACTCAAACTGATTTCTTTCTATGGTTTTGCAGCACTTAATTAAAATTCTGAATATGTTTGAACATTTGCTTAGGCAAAAAGGATTTTTGACGTTGAGAAGGTGGATCCAAATGTTGCAGAAGAGCGAGGAGAAACTGGTTTGCACCATGCCGCAAGGGCTGGTTTCTTGGAATTGGTAAAGTTTCTTTTGGAGATTGGAGCTGATGTTAATCGGAAAGGTATATATGATCAAACCAAGGGGTGGAACATTCCTTACTGCCTTGAATAACGAGCATTATGGATAAATATATTTATTACACTGTTATTAATCCTTAATCTTCAATGGTGGTAAAGGTAAAATAAAGCCTGTGTTCCAGCTAGCAGCCAAGGGGTCCATTTGTGCAGCTAGCTAATATCCCAGCTGTTTCCATAGAATGAAGGTACTAGGAACATTTCTACTTCCTGGATGGGATGCTAACTATGTCCATCTCAGATTAACTGTACCCTCAGTGTGATCAAAAAAGTGCTCAAACTAGAACCTTTTGCTCTGAATCCCTTGCAATTACCATATGTTAGGCTACTGCACTTCCAAACCTTTAACCCTTTAAGCCCCAATATCCACATCCAAATTCTCCAAACTTATCTCTATATATTTCCTTAAAGAATGTGTTGAGAATTTGATAAAAGATCAAAGCATTTTCTCTTAGGTGATTATTTTATTAATTCTCTCAAATGAGTTGGTTTTGTAGGAAAATTTGAAAGAAAATATAGGCATAAATGCTTATTCAAGTTTATGTTTGATTTAAACAGTAATGGCCAAAGATTCAGTTTTTACACTAGTTTTTTTTTTATCATTATAGTCTTTTTGAATGTTTTTTTTATTATATTGTGCAGCTGTACACGAACAAGGGGCAATCCATCTAGCTGCATCAGGAGGCCATCTTGATGTGGTGGAAGAGCTTATTAGGGCTGGCTCTACTTTAGATGATGTGGACAGATTTAATCGGTCACCACTCATGTGGGCAGTAGCTTGTGGATATGTTGAAATTGTGAAACTGTTGCTGCGGGCAGGAGCGTCTGTGGCAACTCAAAGAAAGAGGCATGCCCTTCATGAAGCCTGTAAGAGAGGATTTCATGAGCTGGCTCAACTGTTAATAGATGCAGGAGCACCAGTAAATAACCCACAACATTGTAAGTTATTACTTTGCATAATTATTTTATTGTAAGTCAAGCCATTATTGTGTTAGCTAGCCTGAGACTGGTCCTGAGAAAACAGCTGACATATCATGATACCACCAGTGGTTTCCCCACGAAATGATGTCTGAGAAACAAGTGCAGAAATTCCATACTGATGATGCATCATCTGCCCCGATCTAGGTCAACAAGTGCTTCTGATTGGTTGAAGCAAATTAATTTTTAGCCAATCAGCACTACTCAGATCTGGGTAGTGATGCATTATCACTAAGTATTGAATGGAATGTCTGTGCTGGTTTCTCACATGTCACTTTATAGGGAAACCAGTGGTGGCATGCTGTTTACTCAGGCTATGATTGTGTGAAGTAAAGTTCTTAGAATACCATTTCGATACTGAACATCAAGATACTGACGGGGAGAACAGAGGGAAGATGAATGATCTCTCCAGTGCTGGGCGTTACAAATTTTGTGGGACATTTTTATTTTCTTAATTAACAGGTTGTATTTTTGAGGCCCTGGATAAGCTGGAATGTGGACAATTGCATCAATATTACTGTAAATAGACAAATTATAGTGCCCCTTTCATTAATGCCCATCCTCCTTAACGTTAAAAATGTTAAAATTAAGAAGATCACCCCTTCTTACTAAATACATTGTAGTCAATATGTCAAGAGGTGATCTCCTTATAGCAAGGACCTTTATCTTCAATAAATGTGGCATAAAAACTACACAAAGAATGATCCATGAGGACATCACACTAGGGATTTAGCATTCTTTAAGCCTGCCTCCTCTGCAGAGGCTTAAAGGGGCATGGTGCAAGTGAGCACGGGCACTGGTTTTTGCGCCTGCTCTCACTTTGCGCAGCTGAAATCCAATAACATGTCATTTAGCCTCTGTAGAGGCTGAGGAGAGAGCTTTAAGTCAAACTAAGGGCGGTTTCCATTTGTCAGAACTGACCGGCAATATGGGGGACTACTCGTAGTCCCCCATTTATCCTCAGGGAAAGTAGAGCGAGCGAAACGCGAGGGCGTGTGAAAATCACCCCACGCGAGAAAAGGCGACATGCGGCGGGGAGAGAGAAAAATCTCTCTCTCCCCGCCGCGTGTCGCCTTTTCTCGCGTGGGGTGATTTTCACGCGCGCTCGCGTTTTGCTAGCTCTACTATCCCTGAGGAAAAATGGGGGACTACTCGTAGTCTAGACCGGCAAGGACGTTCCCTTCATAATGAGAATGTTACTTTTAATGAAAGCTATCCAGCCAGATCAGTCAAATGCTAAATAGTATGCACGAAGGAAATCGTTTTTCATCAAAAACTCTTGGAAAAAGCCTACTTCATTTTCAAAATGAGCGGTGCAGCCATTGTCCGGCCGGCCAGTTATGACTTTTGGAAAGTTGTTTAACTCATCTCGACAGCCAGAAGAGTGATTCAAATTTTATTGTTTGTCTTTATTTTTGTTAACTAGTTTCTGGCTATGAACCATGGTCACCTCTCCATATTGCTGTTCGTCAGGGATATCTTGATTGCGTCAAGTTATTAATCAGGGCGGGGGCTGATGTAAACAGTGTTAATGCGGGCAAACACACCCCGTTACATGAAGCTGCATACGAAGGACGTGATGATATAATGTCAGAACTTCTTCTTCGAGGGGCAGACCCACATGCAGTCAGTCATCAGCAGAGAACACCTTTACATGAAGCTTGTGTGCGAGGTATTTCTATTACACTCTCTACTATTTTCAAGTTTAGGCTTGAAAAAAGTCAGATCTAAAAAAGTCATATCACCTTTATAGAAAGTTTCCCCTTCCTTCTTTCCTTCTCCCTTTGGAGGCTTTGTTGTTGTTCCTAATAAACACGGGCTCACCGCTTTCTTTTGCCTTTGGTTTAAGTCTCTACCGGCGACTTCCCCAAGCTTTGATTTTAACGCAAACTTTTATATTTGATTGTATTCCAGCACGTGCCGGCGGAATCGGCTCATAGTGCTGATAAGATAAAGTTCCTAGAACAAAATATTTGCCTACACCGTTCCATTAAGTTACACGATGCTGGCCGGAGGTTTCAGCTAGTAGTGCCATGGCCATATTAAGTTTGTTTCTTTTGGACCTATACCTGAACTTGTCCGACCCGGCTCGCGTAAATCTAGTAGTGCTGGGGAGATAAGTAAGGCCTTATGGTCACGCTATGGAAGTCGTCCACCACGCCGATCACGGAGCGGTGTTCCCCCCATTAAGCCATACGTTTGTTGTCTTGTTTTATTACACTTTATTGCAAAGCCTAGCTAAAGGAACTGCGACATTAATGAAGCTTGTATGCAAGGTACATGTACTGGTACTCTAATCTTATGACACAATCCTCAATTATTTTACATGTTATAATAAAAAAAGTGATATCACACACACAGAGTCCCATTATAATAAGTAAAACAATAATTGTTTTACTGATTAGTCCTTATTAACCTTTTGCTTTCACAATTCTTCACCTATTTGTTTCCATCTCTGTCATAGTAACAATACCAAAAATTATTCTTGATCTACAAGCGATGATTTCATTAAAAAATAAAAGATTTGAAAGAAAACAAGCAAGACCATTATACGTTGTTGGGAAACTACCCACCTACCCCTCCCCTAAGCCAACATTAACACCTACTTCAAACATAAAGAAAAATGTAAGCTTAGGGGAGGGGTAGGTGGGCAGTTTCCCTGAAACTTATAATGATCAGGCTCAAGATTAGGTATTGTAGTACTGTCATGGTATTAATCTGTTGGTCATCTTACTGTAGGTAAAGTAAGGAGTGCAATTATGCTGTTGGATGTTAACAGCAAGGTCAATGCCAAAGATTTTGGGAGAGACACGCCTCTTCATCTTATACTAAGAGGTCTTTGTCTTCATGACATCAAGGTTCAGTTGACATCTGTTCTTCTCCAGTATGGTGCATCACCAACAGTTCTTGGAGGAGAAGATGACACGCCGCTGGACATAGCTCGACAAACAGGCAGGGAATCCTGTTTGGAATTACTACAAGCTGCTTTAGGTGAGAATTATACAACCCAATGCAAGTTTAAGATGAATCTAAACTGCGTTGAAGCAAAACTGCCGGGGGTTGCCTGAATTTGAAGCATAATTATTTTTGAGAAGCAAAACATTTACATTTGAGCAAAAATAGTGCTCTCACGACTGTCTTTAGTAATTTTGATTTCCAGGCAAATATCATCACTTTTTTTCCCTTATTGTTCTAAAAAAATTCTTGTTCTTTTGTGTGCCAACTAATATAGTTGATTTTCCTTTTTTTTTCAGGAATGCCACAACCACTTACTCAAATGTGTAGGGTTGTTCTGAGAAAACAGTTAGCTTGTCATTGGGACTATATAGCTGAACTTCCATTGCCAATAACATTGAAGAGTTTTCTACAATTTGAAAATGGATTTTAATTGATCATTGTTAAAATAGACAAGTTTAATACCATCTATGCTCTCCAAGCAAAGTGCTGAATTTAATATTTTGCTTTGTCTTTGCCTTGTTGATTGGCCTTTTATGCAAAATTTATTATTACAATAATTTCATTGCATAAAACAAAATTAATGGCATTATGTAAATACCGGTATGTCTAGTAAATTGTTTTTCATAAAAGAAAAAAGGAAGGGTTGCAGGCAATTTGTGAATATATTTATTTTATTGTTTTTATTTTCTTCATGTTATTAAGTAAACATGTCGGAAGTCATTTTCAGTAAATAAATGAAAGAAATTTGTGAATAATGAGGTGGATTTTTGCTACCCAATAGGTGTACTGTGTCATGGAAAGAAACTAGATCTACATGTCACATGACATTTTTACAGTTTGATTTGATTTGATTTTTACAGTTTGATTTTCCTTTATAATATTAATATCAGTGGCATAGGTTGGTTGGTTGGAGGCTCCTTCATGAGTGAGACATTTCTTACTATTAATGTGACTGTGTGATACAGTTAAGCCTTAATGTGTTGCTTGTGATGGACTGTGTGACTGCGAGATGCGGTTCGCAAGTCCAACCCACAAAAATGACCCTTGCTCGCCAATGAGTCCTTAGTAGCTCAGAGGTTAGAGCATCTGACCTAGAACGTGGAGGGTCATGGGTTCGAATCCCATATGGCGCTCAGATTGTTTTCTGTGTCCTCTTATGGTTGATTCTTTACATCTCCCTTAATTTTTTTTCCTTTATAATATTAATATCAGTGGCATAGATTTGAATCTTGTCAGGTTATATATATTTACTTTGTTCACTCTAAGATTAATATTGTCCTTTCCTTGTGTGGAACTCTATCCATTATAATGTGAACATCAAAAATTCAAATTAACTGGTAATTTATACCTTTAAGTGGCTCTCTCTATTTTACTGTACAGTTTTAAATAATTAGCGTAAAAAGTACCTTATTTGTACTTAATTTCGCGGGTCTTAAATTTGACATTTTTTGCGATTTTAAAAAATTCGCGAAATTAAAGAGCCACGAATTTAAATCCCCGCAAAATTTAAACACGTGAAATTTATCACCCATATAGAAAATTCAAAACACGGAAAACTTTATCAACTTCTAATAGCAACAAGATATACAGGATATGTATCGACATATAAACAAGTTGTTTACTGGTACAATATTCCACGTTGTATCTTTAGTTGTGAAATAAGGTTAATTTGCAAAGATTTCACACATTACTTGCTCCAGTTTATCAAGAAATTTTAATAAGTTCAGACTTTTTGAAAGATGAAATGAAGTTGGGAACTTACTTAAATCGCGAAATTTAATGCCCTTTTTTTCATATTTGCCTGTTGAAATCACGAAAATAAAACCTTGCGAAATTAAGTACCAGTTAGGTAGCTTTTAAACTTTCATGAAAAATATTTATTGTTAATAATGTAATTTTTTTTGTGTGAAGTACAATCTAACAAAATAATATTGTTGATGTATATTTAAATAAGTGAGATTCTTTGGAATAAAAGTATGTTTTCATGAAAAATCAATTTGGATTGACATTGTGGAAGAGTTAGAGCAATTTTATCTCAGGTATCACTGTTGATTATTGACCAGGAGTTAATTTATTACTGAGAGTAATTGCGGACAGTTAAGAAGACTCATATCAAAGACAGTGAACTCCTAGACTACGAGTAGTCCCCATTTTCCCTCAGGGATAGGAGAGCGAGCCAACCTCGTCCCCAGGGCTTTTCCCTTGAAAAATGGGTTGGGCGCCCCACCCATTTTTTAAGGGAAAAGCCCTGGGGACGAGGTTGAGAGCGAGCGAAACGCGAGCGCGCTTGAAAATCACCTCACGCGAGAAAGGCGAAACGCGGCGGTGAGAGGGAATGTTCAAGCTCCTGACCAATGGCAGGAGCCCATCAAATTTGATGGGCTCCTGTCAATGGTGATAACCAAGTCGGCTAATAAGTGATCGGGTGACATGGGTACTGGAAAAAAAGGGATTGTAAGCAGTCATGCTTTCCTTCGTATTAACTCAGGCACACCGCCCCCCCAGCCCCCTCCGCGCGCTGCAATGCGGACATCCGCGCTCTCTCGAAATTAGATTTCAACCCCTTACCCCCGGCCCTGAAGACAATTCTAGGCGTGGCTCAAACTTATTGGCCCCTAAATTATAAAGGAAACCTCACTGAAACGGACAACAAAATACCAAACCTATAATCAACACCCAGTTTAGTGAGGGTACGCGACAAGCATCTCGCCGTCTGCACACTTATCGTAGTACGTATCCCATATGCCTTTAGAAAACAGTGGCCTTTTCAGGGGATACTTCCTGGTAGTAGGCTAATGGATATGTGCCGCTGATTGGGGTCGCATTTTCACGACTGTAGTGACTATTATGGGGTTGCGTTTTTATAAGAGTTACTGGAATGGGGTAGCACATTTTCAGGATTTTGGGAGTCAGAAAAATCAGATCTGTAGGGAATTTAAAACAGAAAGATTTACACCATTTTATACCTGCCAACTCTCACGCCTTAGGCGTGAGTCTCACGCTTGCGGGTTGAAAACTTCGATCTCACGCCGGCTCACGCCTGCGGGCCAATTTCTCACGCCTGATTGAAAAATGTGAGTTGTTGCCGTCTTGCTTGACACAATTTCCAAAAATATGTTAACTCAGACTCATGTCAGGAAAGAAAACCATGTGTAAATGAATAAATAACAATACCTTCCTCGCGATCTCTGATTTTGTGGATAAGCGTTTTCTCGATAACTTCGCCTTCGGCAGACTTCGGACGTCTTCGGACTTCTTCGGAAGACTTCGGACTTCTTCGGGAATCTTCGGAAATGATCGTGTCGTCTGCAAAAATCCCAGAACTCCCAGGATAAAAATCTCACGCTTATATCTCAGAAAAAGTTGGCAGGTATACCATTTTAGCAGATGTGTCAGTTCATTTCAGGGTGACCAAGTTAACAGAAAGCGACTACAAAAATTGCTTTTTTTCCCAAAGTGACTGAGATTGGGTCTATAATATGGCCACAGCATAAACTATGGGGTAGGGGTTCTGAGAGGCCAGCGGCACATACCCAGCAAAAATTAACCCAAGTAACCCCCTCCGGGAGTCTGTTACCCCAGATCACGCAAGTGGCTGTTACTTTCGCTTGGCTTGTTTGATTTTCGCTACGTCCCTGATATCTGAGAGCCTGGTGGCACAGACTAAGAATGATGGTTGCTTGGTTTTGTTCTCCCCACATCCCCCTTCAATCCCCAGTCGATCGCGTTAGGTTGGGGACTGGAACGGAGTAAATCGATTTACGTAAATCACTCGGAAATCAAGTCAGATTTATTTTAGGAATTTTCCTCGAAAGTGCTGTTAGAATTTATTACAGATACCATAAGAGTGAGTGGGCATTATTTTTCTTATGCGGACAAGTGCATGCTGACCCCCGTTTGAACTTGATATCAACTGTGGAAACGGTTTAGTGAAGAAACGAAAGTCGATTTTGGCCCTTATCTGTGAAATCATGGTAGATCAATTGGTAGATCGTATCTTCGCTGCAGCTCATCCTCCTCCTCCGCCTCCTCTACCACCACTGCCACCTCCTCGTACTGGAGGAATCGCATTTTTGACGGCTATACGTGAAGGGAAACTGGGTGAAGTAAGAAAACAGATTTTCATAGTGGTGCTGTTATAATATTCAGCTAGCTACAGCTAACTTCTATTTAAAGGAGCTGTGTCACGAAATTCAGCCAAATTAGGTAATTACAAAATGCCCGTTAAAAATAAAACATTAAAGGAAGGGTAAATTAACACAAGAGACACAACAGATGCCGCGGATGGGCAAAACTGAAGAAGATTGAAACGGATTGAAATTAGGGTTTTTGAAAACTTTTCAACCTAACAATTTTTCAAAGTTGAACTCTGCTGTTTGCAACTTCAAAAATAATGCTCAGGAGACATATTTTCAGGAGACATATTTGTTTGTCTCGAATCTCTGCTTGTGTCATTTACGAGTAATTTCTTTGCTTACTTTAAGTTCCATAGCGATTGAGGGCTATAGTGACTGGCAAAATTAAACAAAATCAACTGGACAGTCGTGACACAGCCCCTTTAATATTATTATTAGGCTTAGCTATTGATATTATTTATTCTAGTACTTTGAATCTTTTTATTTATCTAAAAAGGAGGCAGTTTTATCGCTGCCTGTTGAAAATTAAGACCAAGGGATAGTAGAAAAATATATCTTTGCAAACAGGAGAGACTACTGTCAACTCTTTGACACCTTTGAGGCTGGCACGAAATGTCCCTCTTAGAGAAATGACCGTCTTATAGAGAGTCAAATAAAGGGAGTAAAGAAAGGCAAGGACGGACTCCAGGTGTCCATTTTACAGAGGTGTCTGTGTTATAGAGATGTCTGTTAAGAGAGAGTCGCCTTATATATGATTGTCAGGGTGATCGCATGTAGTCCTGAATAAATGTCAAAGTGAATTTGACTCTGAAGATGACTACTGCACAGGTTGTTGAAACATCAGTCTCTGTCATCCACAAAAGTCCTATTCAGGACTTAACTCACTCGGATGATCATATGTTTCACCTACTTATGAAATGACCCCTGGGTTCAAATGTTTCACAGAAACTTATTACCAGGGTGCAAAGAAAGTCAGTTTCACAGTCAGCGCCGTAGCTAGTATGAGGCCAACCGAGGCACTCGCCTCGGTAAAATTTTGACGAATTTCGCCGATCATTTTTATTTTACATAAGCGATCATCGGATATTTTTAACGCATCATGATATTACAAAGAATTCAGCAATTCAGTCAATATACTATGAAAAAATTACCATATCATCGATCTCAAGGGGCTACGTACGTTAACTCAAATTTTTTTTGAACAAATACTGATCAAAACCATTGGCGAGGTTAACGGTCACCCAGATTATGTAGCTTGTTTCTGATTATTGCTTTTTAAATTCCACTTAAATTAATTCAAAAAAAAGTTACCAAAAAGGCCCAGAAAACGCTGCAAATCGCATTTCCGAGAGACTAAAGTTCAAAATTACTCGGGGGGGCATGCCCCTGAACCCCCCTAGCAACTCCCGCCTGCCTCGGTTGGTCGTTTGGTCTGGCTACGGCACTGACAGCCTGCCATTTGGGCAAGCTGTAGCTAGCATGTACTAGCCCACAAGTCATTTCAACTAGTCCCAAAACCCTTTTTGATTAGCAGGATTGATTACAATCCTTCAAAATTTGAATTTCCCCAGAAAACAGCACTTGCCCATCGGGCAAGTTAAGAACAAAAATCACAAGCCCAATAACAAAATCCACTATCCACTATCGGACACAACTTTCTTTGCACGCTGATTACACATAATGTAAGTCAGTAGATAAATGGTGAATAAGCCTAAACAGGAGACAAGTTACAAAATATACTGTCTACATCCCTGATTTAACACTCAAAGGGACACAGCCAATTCCAGGGGCCCCACTCACATATTTTATATGAGGGGGGGGTCCAAAGGATTTTTTTGGGTCTGACATTTTGGCCAAAAGGGATTTTTTTGGGTCTATGAAAGACGCCAGGATTTTTTTGGGTCGCGAAAACAACAGAATATACTTTAAGCGCAATTTATAGTTTTGTTTTTGACCAAAAGCAAAGTTGAAGTTGGCATGTTTTAGCTTTCCAGAAGTTAAATAATAAAATTTGCTGATGCAAAAACACTGAGGGATTTTTTTGGGAAGACAAATTCTGAAGTTGGGATTTTTTGGGGTATAAAATATGAACCTCTGTCGGACCCCCCGTCATTAAAATGTGTGAGTGGGGCCCCTGGGCAGCCAATGGTGTGTATAAAAGATCAGGGTTTGAAGGAACTCCCATCTTAGGCAACTTTACCCCCTCTCTAGATCCTTGCTCTGAGTTATGCTACTTTGGGTTATAATCTGATCTACTCAGACTGATTTCTTTCTGACGTTTTGTAGCACTTAATTAAAATTTTGAATATGTTTGAACATTTACTTAGGCAACAAGGATTTATGACGATGAGAAGGTGGATCCAAATGTTGCAGAACATCAAGGAGAAACTGGTTTGCACCTTGCCGCAAGGGCTGGTTCCTTGGAATTGGTAAAGTTTCTTTTGGAGATTGGAGCTGATGTTAATCGGAAAGGTATATATGATCAAACCAAGGGGTAGAACATTCCTTACTGCCTTGAATAACGAGCATTATGGATAAATTTATTCGTTACGCTGTTATTAATCCTTAATCTTCAATGGTAGTAAAGGTAAAATAAAGCCTGTGTTCCAGCTAGCAGCCTAGGGGTCCATTTGTGTGGCTAGCTAATATCCCAGCTGTTCCCATAGAAGGAAGGTACTAAGAACATTTCTACTTCCTGGATGGGATGCTAACTATGTCCATCTCAGATAAACTGTACCCTCAGCGTGATCCCAAGAAGTGCTCAAACTAGAGCCTTTTGCTCTGAATCCCTTGCAATTACCATATGTTAGGCTACTGCACTTCCAAACCTTTAACCCTTTGAGCCCCAATATCCACATCCAAATTCTCCAAACTTATCTCTATATATTTCCTTAAAGAATGTGCTGAGAATTTGATAAAAGATCATAGCATTTTCTCTTAGGTGATCATTTTATTAATTCTCATAACCTAATCTCTTGGCATTGTATGGATATTGCTAGGAGAAAATTGATGTTGGTCACTATTGAGACTTAAACGGTTAATGGGTGATCAGCATCTAAGTTTCTTAAGACAAACAGTGCTTTTTATTGAAATAAGACGGTTTGAAGAATAAAAGTAGTGTGATCAAGTTAGGAAGGCATTGATTGGAATCATATTCTCCTTAAATATGTGTACCATGGAAATGACTGGAGAAGGTGTTGATAATAAGCATACTGATCTCTCAAATGAGTTGATTTTATAGGAAAATGTGAAAGAAAATATAGGCATAAATGCTTATTCAAGTTTATGTTTGATTTAAACAGTAATGGCCAAAAATTCAGTTTTTAGACTAGTTTTTTTTAATCATTAGTCTTTTTGAACATTTTTTTTATTATATTGTGCAGAAGGACGCCAAAAAGGCGCAATCCATCTAGCTGCATCAGGAGGCCATCTTGATGTGGTGGAAGAGCTTATTAGGGCTGGCTCTACTTTAGATGATGTGGACAAAGTTGGTCGGTCACCACTCATGTGGGCAGTAGCTTGTGGATATGTTGAAATTGTGAAACTGTTGCTGCAGGCAGGAGCATCTGTGGCAACTCAAGGAAAGAGGCATGCCCTTCATGAAGCCTGTAAGAGAGGATTTCATGAGCTGGCTCAACTGTTAATAGATGCAGGAGCACCAGTAAATAACCCACAGCACTGTAAGTTATTACTTTGCATAATTATGTTATTTTAAGTCAAGCCATTATTGTGTTAGCCTGAGGCTGGTCCTGAGAAAACAGCTGACATATCATGATACCACCAGTGGTTTCCCCACAAAATGACGTCTGAGAAACAAGCGCAGAAATGCCATACTGATGATGCATCATCTACCCTGATCTAGGTAGTGCTTCTGATTGGTTGAAGCAAATTAATTCTTAGCCAATCAGCACTACTGAGATCTGGGTAGTGATGCATTATCACTAAGTATTGAATGGAATGTCTGTGCTGGTTTCTTGCATGCCATTTTATGGGGAAACCAGTGGTGGCATGCTGTTTACTCAGGCTATGATTGTGTGAAGTAACTTAGAATACCATTTCGATACTGAACATCAAGAAACTGATGGGGAGAACAGAGGGAAGACGAATGATCTCTCCAATGCTGGGCGTTACAAATTTTGTGGGACATTTTTATTTTCTTAATTAACAGGTTGTATTTTTGAGGCCTTGGATAAGCTGGAATGTAATTGGACAATTGCATCAAAATTGCTGTAAATAGACAAATTATAGTGCCCCTTTCATTAACGCCCATCCTCCTTAATGTTGAAAATGTTAAAATTAAGAAGATCACCCCTTCTTACTAAATAAATTGTAGTCAATATGTCAAGAGCTGATCTCCTTATAGCGAGGACCTTTATCTTCAATAAATGTGGCATAAAAACTACACAAAGAATGATCCATGAGGACATCACACTAGGCCTGCAGAGGCTTAAAGGGGCATGGTGCAAGTGAGCGCGGGCACTGGTTTTTGCGCCTGCTCTCACTTTGCGCAGGTGAAATACAATAACATGTCATTGAGCCTCTGGAGAGGCTGAGGAGAGAGCTTTAAGTCAAACTAAGGGCGGTTTCCATTTGTCAGAACTGACCGGCCAGGACGTTCCCCTCATAATGAGAATGTTACTTTTAATGAAAGCTATCCAGCCAGATCAGACAAATGCTTAATAGTATGCATGAAGGAAATCGTTTTTCATCAAAAACGCTTGGAAAAAGCCTACTTCATTTTCAAAATGAGCGGTGCATGCAGCCATTGTCCGGCCGGCCAGTTCTGACTTTTGGAAAGCGCCCTAAGTTGTTTAACTCATCTCGAAAGCCAGAAGAGTGATTCAAATTTTATTTTTTGTCTTTATTATTGTTAACTAGTTTCTGGCTATGAACCATGGTCACCTCTCCATATTGCTGTTCGTCAGGGATATCTTGATTGCGTCAAGTTATTAATCAGGGCGGGGGCTGATGTAAACAGTGTTAATGCAGGCAAACACACCCCTTTACATGAAGCTGCATACAGAGGATATGATGATATAACATCAGAACTTCTTCTTCGAGGAGCAGACCCACATGCAGCCAGTAATCAGAAGAGAACACCTTTACATGAAGCTTGTAGGCAAGGTATTTTTGTGACACTCTCTATTACCGTATTTATTTGAATAAGTGCCCAACCTCGAATTAGCGCCTACCTTGAATAAGCGCCCATCCTAAAGGCAGAAAAAGTTAATAAGCACCCAGCCTCGAATAAGTGCCCACTCCATTCTCCTCCCAATCAAACTCAAATAAGCGCTCACCCCCACCCCACACACTTGAGTGAATAAATTCTAATAAGAGACTTCCCGAGGACGAAGTTTTCCTCAGGGTATTTTACAGAAACCTTGCTTTGTTACTTCTCCGCGTTTTGTTGTTAGCATTTGTTGTTTTGTTGCAAAATAAGCATACTTCACTTGCTGAAAATGGTGAAAATTTAATAAGCGCCCAGCCTCGAATAAGCGCCCACTCTCAAGGTCCAAAAATTTCATAAGCGCCCAGGGTGGTTAATCAAATAAATATGGTATTTTCAAGTCTAGGCTTAAAAAAAGTCGTATCTAAAAAAGTCATATCACCTTTATATGAAGCTTGTATGTAAGGTACCGGTACTCTAGTCTTATGACACAATCCTCAGTTATTTTACACATTATAATAAAAAATGTGATATTGCACACACAGACTCTAATTATAATAAGTAAAACAATAACTGATTGGTCCTTATTAACCTTTTGCTTTCACAATTCTACACCTATTTGTTTCCATCTCTGTCATAGTAACAATACCAAAAATTATTCTTGATCTGCGAGCGATGATTTCATTAAAAAATAATAGATTTGAAAGAAAACAAGCGAGGCCATTGTACATTTTTAGGAAACTACACACCTACCCCTCCCCTAAGCCAACATTAATGCCTTCTTCAAACTTAGGGAAAAAATGTTGGCTTAGGGGAGGGGTAGGTGAGCAGTTTCCCAGAAACTTATAATGATCTGGCTCAAGATTAGGTATTGTAGTACTATCATAGTATTAATCTGCTGGTCATATTACTGTAGGTAAAGCAAGGAGTGCAATTATGCTGTTGGATGTGAACAGCAAGGTCAATGCCAGAGATTTAGTGAGAGACACGCCTCTTCATCTTGCACTCAGAGCTTATCGTCATGACATCACGGTTCAGTTGACATCTGTTCTTCTCCAGTATGGCGCATCACCAACACTTCTTGGAGGAGAAGATGACACTCCACTGGACATAGCTCGACAAACAGGCAGGGAATCCTGTTTGGAATTACTACAAGCTGCTTTAGGTGAGAATTATTATACAACCCAATGCAAGGTTAAGATGAATCTAAACTGCCTTGAAGCAAAACTGCCGGGTGTTGCTTGAATTTGAAGCATGATTATTTTTGAGAAGCAAAGCATTTATGTTTGAGCCAAAATAGTGCTCTGTCTTTAGTAATTTGGATTTCCAGGAAAATGTCATCACTTTTTCCCTTATTGTTCAAAAAAAATTCTTCTTTTGTGTGCCAACTAATAAGAGTTGATTTTCCTTTTTGTTTTTTCAGAAATACCACAACCACTTACTCATATGTGTAGAGTTCTTCTGAGAAAACAGTTAGCTTGTCATTGGGACTATATAGCTGAACTGCCATTGCCAATAACATTGAAGAGTTTTCTACGATTTGAAAATGGATTTTAATTGATCATTGTTAAAATAGACAAGTTTAATACGATCTGTGCTCTCCAAGCAAAGTGCTGAATTTGATATTCTACTTTGTCTCTGCCTTGTTGATTGGCCTTTTATGCAAAATGTATTATTATGGCTTTTTTGAAAAAGGTCTATTACAATAATTTCATTGCATAAAACTAAATTAACGCAGCTATTATGTAAATATGTCTCGTAATTTATTTTTCATAGAAGAAAAAAGGAAGGGTTGCAGGCAATTTGTCAATATATTTATTTTATTGTTTTTATTTTCTTCATGTTATTAAGTAAACATGTTGCAAGCCATTTTCAGTAAGTAAATGAAAGAAATTTGTGAATAATGAGGTGGATTTTTGCTACCCAATAGGTGTACTGTGTCATGGAAAGAAACTAGATCCACATGTCACATGACATTTTTACAGTTTGATTTGATTTGATTTTTACAGTTTGATTTTCCTTTATAATATTAATATCAGTGGCATAGGTTGGTTGGTTGGAGGCTCCTTCATGAGTGAGACATTTCTTACTATTGATGTGACTGTGTGATACAGTTAAGCCTTAATGTGTTGCTTGTGATGGACTGTGTGACTGCGAGATGCGGTTTCATAAGTCCAAACCACAAAAATGACCCTTGCTCGCCAATGAGTCCTTAGATCTAGAACACGGAGGGTCGTGGGTTTGAATCCCATATGGCGCTCAGATTATTTTCTGTGTCCTCCTATGGTTGATTCTTTACATCTCCCTTAATTTTTTTTCCTTTATAATATTAATATCAGTGGCATAGATTTGAATCTTGTCAGGTTATATTTACTTTGTTCACTCTAAGATTAGTATTGTCCTTTCCTTGTGTTGAACTCTATCCATTATCATGTGACCATCAAAAATTCAAATAATTTAACTGATAATTTATACCTTTAAGTGGCTCTCTCTGTTTTACTATACAGTTTTAAATAATCAGCGTAAAAAGTACCTTATTCGTACTTAATTTTGCAGGTCTTAAATTTCACATTTTTCGCGTTTTTAAAAAATTCGCAAAATTAAATTGACGCGAATTTAAATCTCCGCAAAATTTAAGCACGTGAAATTTATTACCCATATAGAAAATTCAAAACACGGAAAACTTTATCAACATCTAATAGCAACAAGATATACAGGATATGTATCGACAAATCAACAAGTTGTTTAATGGTACATTCCATGTTGTATCTTTAGTTGTGAAATAAGGTTAATTTGCAAAGATTTCACACACTACTTGCTCCAGTTTATCAACAAATTTTAATAAGTTCAGACTTTTTGAAAGATGAAATGAAGTTGAGAACTTACTTAAATCACGAAATTTAATGCCCCTTTTTCATGTTTGCCTGTTAAAATCATGAAAATAAAACCTTGCGAAATTAAGTACCAATTAGGTAGTTTTTAAACTTTCATGAAAAATATTTATTGTTATTTATAATGTAATTATTTACTTTGTTCACTCTAAGATTAATATTGTCCTTTCCTTGTGTGGAACTCTATCCATTATCGTGTGAACATCAAAAATTCTAATTAACTGATAATTTTAACCTTTAATAATTTATACCTTTAAGTGGCTCTCTAACAAATATTGTTGATGTATATTTAAATAAGTGAGATTCTTTGGAATAAAAGTGTGTTTTTATGAAAAATCAATTTGCATTGACCTTGTGGAAGAATTAGAGCAATTTTATCTCGGGTATCACTGTTAATTATTGACCAGGAGTTAAGTTATTACTGAGAGTAATTATTTCTTTTCAAGAAAAGAGGAGCAAAAAAGGCTTGACCTGGCAAATAGCCTACATAGGTAGCGATTTTTTAGGAGTGTTTTTCTGTTGTGGTTCGTATTCAGCCGCTCGAAAACTGTCATCAAGTGTACCCGGAACGTCGTATTTTCAGAAAGAGTATTAGTTTGCTCAATCAGTGTCCTGCTAGTTCCGAGTCCCATGGATCTCCTCTTCTTAGAAGATCACTCGTTGCCCTAGTTCCTAAGTGGCCCTCTATCCTATGCGGTAAGATAAATACCATGACCGATTTCCTAAAGGAGGGGCCGAGGAAGCAAGCTCCTAGGGGAGCCGGAAACTGGAAAAAGAAAACATTTGTCCTGACCATTTTCCAAATTTCAACTTGAAAAGTTCTTTTACTATTATTATTATTATTATTATGAAAAATATGTTTATTATGAAAAAGCGGACCGATTCCCGTAGTGGTGGAAACCGGTGTGGATCAGCGCCTGCGAGTTTTGCTCTCTCTGTTTCTGTTTCTTTTTTTTTCTCGTTTGTTTCCTCTCTCAGTTTCATAGTTGATCCTTGTATTTCGTTCTGGATTTTGAGCGGCTCCAAACCACCATACTCATTAAAGTATCCGTAGAAACATTCATGCCATGCCACGTGTTAACCACGTGTTAACTCCCCACCAGGACCAACCAGGAGCCACCCCGGACGGACTGGAACAGAGTAACCGGATATATTCCATAAAGTGAAATAAACGCCTTGCTACTGCATCAATATTTTGGTTTGGAAGTCAGATCTATTTTTGCAATTTCTTCAGGTACACTAACCAGTAACAACTGAATGAGCAGGCAAAAGTTGACCTAATATGGACAAATACTGAGCCCATTTTTAACTTGAAGTAAACTCTGGATATGGTTTTGTGACGGACAGACGCTTTGCAATCATGGAGGGAGAGGACGATGTAGCCGATCAATTCCTCACACCTCCTCGACGGCCACCTCTTAGAGTTACGCTGGCTAATCCCAGAGAAAGTGGGATAATCGAGTTTTTCACGGCCATACGTGAAGGAAATATTGATGAAGTAAGAGAAAAATGCACAGTGAGGAGTTAAATTCAAAAACAATTTAATGCTAATATATAGATTTAGTCACTGCTAAAAGCGAAGCTCTCTTTAATATTTATAGTTTCCTCAAAGAAAATATAAAATCGAGTAATACTATAGGCAAGGTGAAAACAACGAGAACGGTAAAAAACAACAACAACAGATCTAATTAGCAAAAAAAACAACTTTGCACGTGCAGCACACTTTTTTTCTAATTAGCAAGAAAAACTTTGCACGTGCAGCACACTTTTATTTCTACTGAGCAAAAAAACAACTTTGCACATGCAGCACACTCTCACGGCCGCTATAATTGGTCTTCGTTATTATTTATTTCTTGCTCTAGCTCTTTCCCTGTTGTCCAAGTTAATGTAGATGTTGTGGTTCGACTTTATCCTTGGTTCAAATTTTCTTTTCTTTTGTTTTTGGGTATGGTAATGTATGATAATAACATGATGATGAGTTTGAAACAAAAGAAAAGAAAATTTGAACCAAGGATAAAATTGAACCACAACATAGACATTGAGATCACGCAATTGCCTACAGACTGCATTAGCAGTTATCTGATCTTTGAAGGGAAGAACTATTCTGATTATGTTGCCATAATCAGTTTTCATTTGCTGTAAAACTAAGTCACAATGTTGTGAATGGTGTGCACATAAATACCAGGCTAACTTACGAGCAGTCTGACCCCTCTTTTTTCCTAGCCTGTCAAGGGAAACACGCAAGAGACAAAAATGATTTTGTGAGTGACTGAAGGCGTGAGGTGGGAGAGGCAGAAAAAAGAGAAAATACTAGCAAAGCCGGTTTTGTTTTTCTTAGCCTGCTGCCATTGCTTCTCACATTTCACGGCTTCTAGTGCACACATGCACTCCCCTCACTCAATCTCAAGAAAAAGAGAGACTACTCGCAGTCCAATACCAGGCTGAAGCCAGTAACAGTTTGGTTCTGTAATGGAATATTTCATGGGTAAATGATCCTTTTTCACACTGTACCCTGCCTCTCTTTTGAAAGTTCAGGCTGTAACATTAATTCAGCTGGTAGAAGAGTGGTGCTCGCTCACCTTCTAAATATTTTTTAATTTATATGTTGTGTAATAGGCCAAGATGATTTATGATGCTAAGAAACTGGATCCTGATGTTGTGACAACAGTATCAATAGGTGAAACTGGTTTGCACCTTGCAGCGAGGGCTGGTTACTTGGAATTTGTAAAGTTTCTTTTGGAGGCTGGAGCTAATGTTAATAAAAAAGGTACATAAAAATCGAATGTCTTTTTAAAATTCAAGTCTCACATTTGTCCCCACAAAACAGTTCTCTGACATGCATTTCTTAAAACAAAGTTTAAGGATTGTTTATTGTGAAAAGTACACTAAGTCTTTATAGTAACCCAGCTTGTTTCCACTCAGATGATCAGAAAAAAATAATTCAAATACAAAATAACAGGATTAAAATACCCCAACTGGCAGGAGGCAACTAGTGTCCATTTTTAGAATTATAAGTGTGGCCAAGGATAAATTGAAACTTGGGATGGCCAAAAACAACTGCACAGCCCTAGGATTTCAAAGAAGTGATCGTTTCTAGTACCATGTAATTACTGTGGTCTTAGAATAACGGAACTGAAGAATACCTTCCCGAGTGACATTTTCAGGCTTAGGGGTCAATTTACAGAAATTCGCTATTTTCCCACTCAGATTCTTAACTACTAAGAGCAATTCTTTAGTTATGTCTCGGCTTATACATGACTGTATAAAAAACTAAAACGTTGCTTAGCATCTATCAGTTTTCTTTGTCTGCCACCTTGAATTGTTCCCAAAGTGCATTGCATGTTACGGTGTTATGGCTTCAAGTGCCAAGAAAAAATTAAATATGTGACTTTGAAAAATTGAAAACATTTAGGAGGTGGTTTCCATTGTTTTCTCTTTGCTTACAAATAACTATAATTCAATTATCTGGCACAGATAAAAAGGGAAAAGCTGCAATTCATCTAGCTGCTTCAGGAGGCCATGTTGACGTGGTTGAAGTGCTTGTTAAGGCCAGTTGTACTCTAGATGATGTGGACAAATTTGGTCGGTCACCACTAATGTGGGCAACAGCTTGTGGACATGCTGAAGTTGTGAAGCTGTTACTTAAGGCAGGGGCATCAGTTACAACTCAAGGAAACTGGCATGCCCTTCATGAAGCCTGTAAGAAAGGATTGATTGAGCTGGCTCAACTGTTAATAGACGCTGGAGCACCAGTAAATAACCCAAGGCAATGTGAGTCAATGCTTTTCAGCGGCACCCAACAAGCATATAGTTCAAAATCAATTTAAAAACATAGTATTGTTAAACGTATTTAGTATTTAAACGGTAGATATAGGCATATTTTAATTATCCCATAAAACTTTTTCATCTGCTCGGATTTCCTAGCTGAAAGTCTAGTGACCCGAAAATTATGGGGATCAAAACTGACCTTTTCGAAAATTTCAGCCAGAAAAAAGGCTCCCGAAAATTGCAGGTGGCCTTTTTAGGGTAAAAATCCGTTAGAAATGGCCAATTATACCGCTTTTTAGATGTTAAAAAATCCTAGGAGAGGCTGGCAAGCAAGAAATTTGACAACAAATGTTCCGAAAATTCTAGATCTCAAATTGTGTTCCAAACAGATATTTTCCTAGGGCCCACCCCCGCCTCCCCCCTTATCTCAGGGTCTGGATGACCAGGCCTCCCCTTATCTGAAGGCCTGGAACCACCACTGGTAGCACATCCACTATAATATTGGTTCTTTAAATCTTCCTGATTCTTGGTTGAAAAGGAATTGGAAATGTTGGTTTTTGAGGAGAGGGGTAAACCCGCGTACCCGCAGAAAAACCTCTCATTGGAGCAGAGGGAACAAACATCAAAGTAAATTAAACCACATATAGCCATTACTGCTGGGATGATGCCAGGATTGGTGGGATACGGAGGCGAGTGTTCTCAATCATCTACTTCTTAGTTTATGTCGTGTTTTTGTTTATTTATCGTCGATGATTAGATTCTGGCTGCACACCCTGGTCACCTCTTCATATTGCTGTTCGTCAGGGTCACCTTGATTGTGTCAAGTTATTAATCAGGGCGGGAGCTGATGTAAACAGTGTTAATGCAGGCAAACACACGCCTTTACATGAAGCTGCATACAGAGGATATGATGATATAATGTTGGAGCTTCTTCGTCAAGGTGCAGACCCACATGCGGCAAGTAATCAGAAGAGAACACCTTTACATGAAGCTTGTATGCAAGGTATTTTTATGACACTCCTTATTAATTTTCATGTCTAGGCTGAAAAATGTATGCAGAGTACAAAGCAGACCTAGGCAAGCAGATTTTTTTAGCCCTCTACATTCCAATAAAGTTATAAATGATGTAGAAAGGAATAATAAAATGTTAAAATAGCTCCTAAAAGGTCTCATTAGAATCCTCTCAAAAATTCTAGATTTGGTAACTGAATTGGACACTACAATATTATACTTAGAAAGGTTCCAAAAGTAGTGCTTTTTTTAGTTTGAAGATGTGATCACTTTGAGGAGTGGACTTTTTACAGGAGGGGATCACACATAGGGTGCGGTCCTATTATTATTTCTCATGGAAGTCCGAGAAAATAAGTGTCAAATTTCACCAGAATTGTGAAAACACAAGTAAAATTCTGAAAATTTCATGTATAAGGTGTCATTTTGTGAAATTTGACGCTTATTTTCTGAGGCTGTCATAAGAAATTTTCTTTGGTGTTTAATTATCGGTAGATAACTAACTTATTACATCTATAACCCCATGCGATATTGTTTAAATTATTCTGGTACTAGGTTTTTCTGTCCACTGAAAATTATAATTAATTAATTTCCTGATGGATTCCGTATTAATCCTTTTCCAAGGTGGATTTTGTCATTTCCTCTGATGTTCTATGATCTAAGTGATATTGGATCACCAATCCTGATATGGATTGTCCCAATGAAATACACCCGTAGAGTTTCGATTGTAAATTCGTTATATATCATCCTTAGCTTCAATCAAATCATGAGTTTTAGCTGCTGTAAATTTGTAGCAATGAATGATCCACAATTAAATAGCATTCAGCACTCATGTGATCTACTTTGTGCATCTTCATTTTTATGTAGGTAAAGTAAAGAGTGCAGTTATGCTGTTGGATCTCAACAGCAAGGTCAATGCCAGAGATTTAGTGAGAGACACGCCTCTTCATTTGACGCTGAGAGCTGATCATGCCTATGACATTGCGGTTCAGTTAACATCTGTTCTTCTCCAGTATGGGGCATCAACAACACTTCTTGGACGAGAAGATGACATGCCATTGGACATAGCTCGCCAAACAGGCCAGGGATACTGTTTGGAATTACTACAAGCTGCTTTAGGTGAGAAGTAAGGCTAGGTTATGTCCATTGAAACGAAAGAAATTAGCCTCATCACTTTGATTTGGTTAATTGGAAGCAAAATGTTACTTGCTAATTTGAGATAGCTAGCGTCCTATTTCTTGAATCCTTACTAAGTATCTGTATCTGCTGATAATTCAATATTGTGTGCCAGTGTCTCATTGAGACCCTGATTTTACCAAATTGTCAGCGTCTCAAGAAACCTGGGTTTTCTGGCAAAAATTGCTGACAGTGTTTTATACACATCTTTACTCTGGCTCTAACTTGTGTTGATAACCTTAATTTTTTTTGTTTCAGAAATGCCACAGCCACTTACACAAATGTGTAAGGTTCGTCTTAGGAAACAGTTAGCTTGTCATTGGGACTATATACCTGAACTGCCATTACCACTAACATTAAAGAGGTTTCTTCAAAGTGGATTTTAAAATGATTGTTTACAGTAAACATGTTTAAGATGCTTCCCCAAGAAAGTGCTAGATTGATTCTGCTGTCTTCGTGATAGTGACTGCTCAATATGTATAATTGAGGCAAAAATTATTTAGTCAACACCAGCACTTATTGGTATTAAAATTTATACATGTTAAATATAATAATTTATTCTTAAATATTATTATAATAGTTAGTTATTTTGTTATAGAAAAGCAAAGGGTTGCTTTGTCCATTTTTATGTTCCTTGCAAGTAATTTTATAAAGTGAAGGAATATAAAGGAAGTGAAATTATTGATGGAAAGACATGGAAGTTTTTAGAAGCCTTCTGAAATTCATCCTCAAAGTAAAAGAACTTTATCTGCATGCTACACAAACTTTTCATGTTGAGATTTGTATGTTCGCTCTAGTACTGGATGATGTTCCGTCAAAAAGTTCTCGTAAGCGACTCCCTTGGAAATGCAAAAAGGTGGTTGTAACTAGAACTGGTCACTTAAATATGAGAATGAGCCCTAATGACTTTGAACTTTCACAATAATACTGCTCTGAACAAGATCTTTATCAATGAACCATTAGCTTAGTGTGCAGTTTCATTAAAGTGTTGATAAATATGAATAAGACTCTAAGTGGTTGCTTATGAGAGCTTATAAACAAAGGAAAACTCCAGTTGGGTAATCACAAAAGAGGTTGTGGTCACTTGCGGGAGCAGTCACTCATGAGAGCTTTTCTCAGTGACTTTAAAAAATCACTGTTCAGTCCAGCACTAAGTGTCCTTCTTAAAGAGATGCCTTGCCTAGTCCCTATAGGCCTCATTATTTTGCGTGGCCGATGCGTTTCGCGTCATGAGGTCCAGCCGTTTGTCTCGGATATGTCACTAAAGTGCATTGACCGAGAAGGCCTGGAAAGACACCGTACAGGGACTAGGCAAAGAGATGCCCATCTTACAGAGAGTCAAATCTGGGGAGAAAAGAAAGACAGGGACCATTCAAGGTGTCCTTTTTTCCGAGGTGTCTGTCTTATAGAGCAGGGTTTTCACTAATAATTCTAGTGGCAGGAAAAAAAGAGAACATGATCACAGAAGAATATTTTGAAAGAGGCTCCACATCTGAATAAAAATAGTCATAGGCTTCCCAATGTTAGCTGGAGAATTCAGCGTTAGTAAACGGAGAATTCTCTGATCTCTGATGCCCAATGAATACCCTGATACAGGTGTATGTTAAGAGAGAGTTAACTGTGGTTTTCAAACTTTTATGAGAAATGTTTCTTAAAGACTGTGTAAATATTTAAATCATGCTAATAATAATATTATTGTCAATGTACTCGGTAAGCCAATAAAAATGACTTAAAAATATATTTTTAATTTTTTAGAAAATCAGTGTAGTCAATCTTAGCTACACAGGCTCTATTTTGATTTTGCTAACAAAAATAAGAATTTAGTACAACCACATGAGAATGAGTGATTGTATGAGAGGTGCAAAAAAATTGCCTGATTTTAGGTTGCTTTAGTAAACCCAGTTTGCTGCAGAATCAGATTCAAATTTATTTTTTGCTCAATTTTCATTTTTGTAGTTTATTTTTGTACAAAGTATTTATATCAATGAGTATAATACAAAGAAAATAAAAAATTACACCAAGTATAAAATTGACACATAGATGGAGAAGGAGCAATACAGTAAGGAATATTTTAGTTTGATTTTTCATATCTTGATTTCTTGTCCAGAGTGTTTTTTTGCAAGTCTTTTGTACTTCTCTGCTTCTTGTGGGTTTTTCTCAACACCATCACCAATGGCATACATTCTACTAATGTTAGCACAAGCCCATGGATGCATCATGTTACAGCTTTTCTGTGAAAGCTCAAAAGCTTTGGGTAAATCTTTTGGAATTCCATCTTTCCCAGTTAGGTAAATCACACTCAAGTTAAAGCAGCCATTTGGATGTCCTAGTTCGCAAGACTTTGAAAACATCTCTATAGCTTTATAGATGTCCTTTTGTATTGTTGATCCTTTGATTCCATTTTGATATGTTAATCCCGCATTATTACATGCTCCTGGAGAGCCCTTGTCGCATGCTCTGTGAAACAAACTGACTGCCTTCTCAGGATCTTTGTGTTCTGGAAGGAAGGTGATGGAGATACTGTAAAATTAATGATCTAATGGATTCATGGGGCATTTATTTGAATTTCAGGGTCCAGGAGGGGGCTTTTTAATAGATAGGAGGCATTTATTCTCATAACTATATAATAAGCTCAAAAAAACTAACATGCTTTAAGCAAAAATATCAAAAGAGTATTTAATATAGCGGAATATCCACTCCATCAATCTAGGCCATCTAGGCCGTCTAGAGATCCACGTCACTTTTTTAAATCTCGACATCAGTGTCACGATCCTCACTCAGGGTCTTTGAGTTGTCATTTAGAGTCTATTCTTACTTTGAACTTGACAAGGAAGAAGATTCAATAGGTAAACCATTGTTAATCAAGAAAGAAAATATATTGAACGACTTTGCTCCTTTTTGATAAATCCTACTATCTTGGAGTAATTGTCATTGGGGGGGGGGTCTATTAGACAGGAGGCATTTATTTGAGAGGGGTGTCCAATACAAACTTAACATATTAGAGGGGGTGTTAACTTGGCATTTATTTAGAATGGGTCTCTATTGGATCATTTACAGTATTGAATTTGACACGGTATCAACGAGGAAAGGCACCATGCTTGAACTAATCAAATTGAACATTTGTCCATTTCTTCCCTGTAGCAAGAACAAGTTTGTATAAAGCATTGTTCAGATAAGAGGGCTCATAAGTTTTGTTCTTAAACAATAACATTACCTATTCTTTTGAAACAATTTTATGAGTTCCTGTAACCATAATGTGCCTTATGCAACCTGGTCCAGGCCATCATCAGTACATTGGTAGAGTATCAGTTTGCTTAGTGCCAGGTCATATAATTTTGACTCTTGGCTGAACCAAACCTCACGGTTTCAAATAATCTACAAGCTTGATGAAACCAACAGCAAATAGTACTTTTACCCCTTCAACCCTATTTCTTAACTTGACCCAGTTTAAGTGAAACGTAAGTCGCCTAAAATGTCACATCAAATATTATACTGACAAAAAAATTAATATATATTTTCATATAGTCCTATTCTCACTCAGGTTTGACAAATTATACTGTATAATAGTTAATACTGGTAACCCTACTTTTTTGAGTAAGATAAAGGTTTCCTAATGCAAAGCAACTTTCAGGGAGGTCAAGTTCATAACAAGTGTAGTGGTAAAGTTCCTTTGCTTTTGTTATGTTCCGTTCGACTGACATGTAAAACTCTGCTAGCGTGTGGCAAGCTAAAAAGAAGCAAAAAAAGGAAAACATGAATAGAGCAATACAAACAGACAGATCTCTTGTTTTTGTATTGAGCCACTTTCAGGAGTGGGGGGAAGGTTTTATAAAATGTACAAAAATTATCTTACATTCTTTTTTCTGAGTTCCATAACACTCATGTTTGTAAATTTCATGGAGTTGTTCGGCATATTCTTCAGCAGCTTTAGAAGCCTTTTCATCAGAAACTAAATTAAACGACATCACCGACAATTGCAAGTTAAAAGAAAGAAAATCAGATCCTGTTTTGGAAATCGTGTGCAGAAAAGAAGCAATATTCCAGGCGTTCCATAACCGTCGCGTCTGGCAATTTGTGATCCACCACTGGCTCATTTTTCTGCGGGTTCAAATTGTCAGTATGCGTGACGTCACGGAGTAGTACATTCTCCCAGTCGACTGCTATGGAAGAGAGCGTTCGAAGTATGAATCGAGACTTCCTTGCTCACAAAAATGGGGTGAATAGGTTAAAATCGTAGTATATGATCGAGACGTTCGTCTCCTGTGGTAAGGATGAGTTCAGGCTGGGCTCGGTTCAAGGTTCTTCACAGTTTTGAACCCCGTGATCGAAGAGACATTGCAATTCACGAAGGGGATATAATGATTGTAGCAAGGCCTGTTTTGGATTATTCAGACTGGTTAACCGGAGAAAACACAAGGACTGGCGAGGTAGGGGAGTTTCCAGGAACCTATGTAGAATATATTGGTGATATAGAAGACCTTCCTCAAGAAAAGAACGATACGCCGCCTGTTCCTCCACCTCGACCTCCCAGAATCAGCAAGGTAACAGCTCCAGGTATGTACACAACAAGTTAAGTTGTGACTTCTAACCTGCTGAGTTTATACGAGCTGTTTTATGAACGAGGCTTAACATTGTACTTCATTTTTTTTGAAAGAATCTAAAACAATAATTGCTCCTTTGCAATAAACAGGAAAAAAACAAGTCTTTCATCGCTCCGATTTCGAGAAAATATTCAAAACTGCAGCATGTTCATTTTAAAACAAGGTAAAGTAGAATGATAGCTTCCTTGAAGCATCTTTACACAGGAAGTCACTGACATCGTACTTAGAGAAGGTCTTTGTTTTCTTGAATTGCCTTTGTTCTGTTATTTACAATCTTTGGTGTTTTTAAGGGTTATTAAAACAGCAATTAAACAGGGTTTTTTAATATTATGCATGGATTTATATATTAATTTTGTTAGCATACTTTTACATAATCTAAATTCTGTGCATAGAATACACATACTATGCTGGGCTCACACTCATCCTTCAAGATGTTTCTGAGTGTATATGATTAAAATAATGCCTTTCAAATTAGTGTTAAATGAATGTAGTGTACAGCTGTAAGTTTTGGCAATGATTTTGAACATTATTAAAGATGATTATAACAGTTCAAGACTTCTTAGTGCACAGAGCAGATCAGAAATGATGGTATTTTGTGTATCAATCAATTTTTGCAGTTCTTTCGCAGCATTCACTTGCCAATGGTGACTTACTTTTTATACCTTTGTTCCGGGAAGCCTAAATTCATACACTGTAAAAATTATATAAATCAACTAAGAACCATTTGGGCTCCCTATAATTTGTCATAGATCACAGCCTTTGTTAAGCTTTATGTAGCGGCATCAGCTCCAGTGTCGGAGAGATCTGTGAAACTAATAGAAACTAAGCGACTCACAGGTTCCACAAGGCTGGGGTTTATTGTGCCAACTTTTACAGCGATCCCGTTGTAGGAAGTGTTGGGGCGAACGCTCTAGTAGGTTCTGAGTTCAACAGCAATAAAGATGTTTCTTGACATGGTTACCCATCGAATTTCTGTGAGCCTTAAGAAAACTACGCACGTGTAGTGATATTTAAGCTAAGGTCACGTGACGGGTAGTGGAAAATCATTGTGACGTAAAATGTGGTTACAATAAAGAAAAGAGCTAAAAATACAACAAAACTAAACTAAGACACATGGGTGCCATTACATTTATGTCCAGTGACGAGCACCTAATTTCTCCTTACATTGTCGCCGCTTAATTTAACAGAAAGGTTGTGAAAATAAAAGAAATGATCATCAAAGATAGGGCATAGATATCCATGATAATAATGGACGCTTGTTTATATAAGGAGGTAATGGTGACATTGGAGAGTATTCCATGAGATATCCATGCGCAGATGAGATAAAGCATTTGTAAAGATTGGGTGTAAGAGTTTCACAGTGGTAGACCCAGGTCGATTCAGCAGAGCAGCACTCAGGGTGGTAAAGTAACTGAGGAAAATGTGTTGCCTTTCTTCTAGCATCTACAAATGGTTGCACCTTTTAGTGTCTTCTTAGAAAAGGACAATAAACAGTAGGCTCCACTTTGCAACACTTTTGCTGATGTAACTATTGTGGGATGCAGAAGAACCATACTGGCATGCTACTGTTCAAAGAGAGTAGAGGTCTTAGACCCTGGTGGCATTGTCAGCCTTTAGCTTGGGTTTTTCTAGCTTTGGCAGTTGCCCTTCAGCTTTCAAGCTGCCTATTTTGTAAACATGTATAACCGCTTTTGTCAAGTGAAAGGACCATGATAAAGTATGAGACACATATATAGCTTAGGAACGGTTAGAGGCTCTAGAATTGATTTACTACATTTAGTGGATTACAGTGGAACCCCGTTCATTCAGTCAACAATGGGCCCAAAAAATTGGCCGTATTAACAGGTGACCAAATTAATGAGGGTTTGGCTGGGCGGCAAAAAAAAGTGGCCGTAATAATGACGTAACCATATTACCGAGGTGGTCGTAAGGCGGGGTTCCACTGTATCATCAGAACCATAATAATGAGCTTAAAATGTTGTATTCAAGCATTTTTTAAAATGTTTACTGTATCTGTGCTCTTTTTTGTAGATGAGCATTCTTTGGCTGAAACTCCCGCATTAACACCAGCTTGGTGTTATCAGTGTAAGTGTTCATAAAAGGTTTTAAAGTCTTAAAAAATGACAAACATTTGAAACTTGAACAATCAATCTGCACCTTGCACTGACCGCAGCAGGATTCGCTCAGTTGGTAGAGTGCTTGACTGCATCAGATTGGGAGGCTTCAGGCTGCATTCCTAGGACTAAACCAATTCTTAGAGTCTTAGAATAACTGAAGGTACTGCTGCTAGCACCTTTATGTGGCTCAGATGGCCACGTAAAAAGCAGTCCCTTCTCAAATACGGGACATAAAAATAGTGGCTCCAGTTAGCTTTTTTGTAATAATAATAACAGTAATAATAATAATAATAATAATAATAATAATAACAGTAATAATAATAATAATAATAAAACTTATATAGTGCGGATGTCAATATTGCTATTTTCATCGGTGCTTTTGTGCTAAATATATTGATATGTACTTGCAGAAAGTGCCTGTTGGGAAAGCAGTGATAAGGGTTAGGGTTAGAGTTAGGTTTATTCAATTTAAAGTCCCAATTTTGGCCCCTTTATCTACCTTTGGAGGGGATATTTTGTCATGGAGCCCTTTAGTTATATTTTACATTCATCTAGGGTGAAGATTAATGGTGGATGCCACTGTAACATACCTTTATGTCTGAGTTTCATTGTTGAGAAACTGTTGTCTTATTTTCAGGTGAGGATTTTATTTGGGGAGTTGAAGACAAGGTTTCCAGATGCTTAAGTAAGTTTTTGTTTCTATAACAGGCTGGCTGACCACCTGTTGAAAAACACAATTTTGAGATTCTTACAAATGTATATTTCCACTTTCATGTAACACATTCATTTATCAGGAATAAATATATTCAGGAACAGCTGAAACCACGGTGTAAATAGTCTGGGAATACAGCCAACACTTCACGATGTCACAACAACTCGTTTCTCCGCAAAATGTCCTCTGAGAAATGAGTGTAGAAATTCCATACTGATGGCATGTCACCACCCAGATCTGGGTAGTGCTTTTGATTGATTGTGCTATGAGGAAAATTTGCTTCAACCAGACAGAAGTATTACCCAGATCTGGGTAGTAACATGTCATCAGTTTAGAATTTCTGTGCTTGTTCGTCAGATCTCAATTCATGGGGTAATGTTGGCTGTTTTCTGAGGCTAGGATTTCAAGAATTTAACGTTTGGTAATAACTTGTATTTTCATACAGGATGTGATTTGTCATGGCACTGCAAATGTCCAGTAGAACTGTCAAGGTTTCCTTGTGAAGTTCTTAAGAACCTAAGCCAGGAAGATGAGGAGGATGATGATGCCTATATTCATTTTTCCACGGTAAGTTAGCTGTCATTGGAGGAAAGGATGTTTTGTTTTTTGGCTGGTGCCACTAAGCGGCAGGATGAAAAAAATCTTATCTTCTGATTTGTTGTCCGAGAGGGAAAGTTGGCCCTAACTTTCCTGCTCAGAATTGCTTACTTAGCTGTTCTTACACACACACAAAATATAATACATCCTCGATACACCACTTCCTCTACTGAACTAGCTGGCTAGGTATTGGCCTCAGTCTTTGAGGCTAGAAGTTGTCGCAGGCCATAGAAATTAAAACGGAAGGTTCTTCGCGAATCTCCTGCCATCTTGAGTATTTTGAGGCCTTTTTTTTCACTGCTCTCTACTACCCTCCTTTTTTAGTTTCTATATTACATCCCTTTCCCTGTCTCAATGGTTACCCATAGCATTTTATTAGGTTTTATTAGTAACGTAAAGCAAACCTCTCCTTGATGGGAGCTTTGGCGTTATCACTGAACATTTAAGTAGAGCAGTGTCAGACCAGGAGCGTGACATAAACAGGGGGCCCACCCTCTTGCTGAAACAAATTATCTCATCAACTTGGCCTTGTGGTCCTTGGTTTTTGTCTAAGCATAAGAGGAGGGGGTGCCATGGATGGTGTGTGGAACCCCCACACCCCTCCCCTAGATTTGCCATTGTAGAGTCTCTACCACTCAGATGGCTTTTCTGACCCTAGTGCAGAGGATACACTTGATAACAAATCACGTTTCCCTCTACAGGACCCTGAAGAGTGGCAATTGGATGATGTATTACTGTGGCTAGCTGCGACTAATAATTACTTGTATGCAGAGGTGTTTAGAGAATGTGAAATTACTGGGGCTAAGCTGCGGGAAATGACAGACGTGAAACTTGCTCAGATGAACATTTCAGATAGCACTCACAAACAGTCCCTTTTGCTTGCTATTCAAGAGCTCTTCACTGGACTGTCAGAAACTGTGAGTAGAGCTTTCAACTGTGGTATGTTCTCACTGGCACCATCCACAAACAATACCTGTAATGCTAATGAAATTTGGGATACTCAGCCCGAGGCAGTAGTAGTGGGTAGCTCCTGGAGGAGAGATAGTTCATCGCCGCGGGCAGGTGGTAGGATGCCTAAAGAAGTGTACTAAGCACCGAAAAGACGGAGCACTCTATTAGGGAGAGAAACTGACCTTAAATAAGAAATCATGCAAAGTCTCCAATAGGATAGCCCTGGGCTATACACGGTGTGCAAGTGTTACACAATAGAGTTTAAGGCTATTTTATTGCGGAGTCTCCAGGGAGAATGAAAGCTGTGTTTACACTTACAAAAAATTAGCTAGCTAGAGCTTTATGCAGGTAGATATACTTCTGTTGTTATTGGTGCAACTGTTTTCTTTTTGGGAAGAACTGCATCGGCCGTCATCTGCTAAAGTTCTAACAAAGTAAGAATGGATCTCATAGCTGGGTTGGATAAATAAAGTTTTACCCTATATTATTTTCTTACTACCAACAGAGAAAACCAGGAATGTTTGGCAGTCTTCAGTCGGCAAAGCCTGGTTAGTTTGCATTTTGCTTTCATTCAAAATCAAATGAAATCATGTATAATCAAGTAAAGGAACTTTTATTTGCTGCCTTAATCAGGAGTTGTTATCACTTCTGCATAGGAATACCTGAAAGTTTGTTATTCCATCCCATCCCTTCCATTCAATTCCATCCATTCCATCCCATTATCCCACAAAATAAAGTTCAACAACCCGGTTTGGATTGGGAATGTTTTGGCAGTCTACAAGATCAGTTCGTTTGTTGAAGGAATTAATAACTTCAGGGTTGAAGCTAAAAATACTTAGGATGGAGTTTATACTGCCTTTGTCATGTAAATGAGTAGAACTTCATTTGGCATAAATGATCACATATCCACCAGCTGTAGGGGAAAGAGTAACTATAACCTTGTTCAACATTAGTGAACTTGAAATCCTGAAATATACCAACCATTACAGTCAAACCGGCAAAACCATGAACACTTGAAACATTTCAGGAATGTTTATTAATAATTGTGTGAACTACAAAACCACACACTAAATATTTATGTTCTTGCGTGCAGCTTGCAGTTTAGTTTCTTACTCCCAGGTTTGCTTTTTCCTTGCAAGACAATAACATTCCAGAAATATTATTTTCTGGTGTTCAGTAATTCACAGCATTTCACTTTATTTCACCAAACCACTTGTCCACCTGTGGGCTGGTAGGCCTGTGGTATATAAGTTACGCTCAGAGTGGATTGACCACTGATACTTTATTCCTCTTTCACTACTAGGTACAAAAGGTAGTCATTTATTTAAAGAACAATCATTTCGTACACTGCAGTGGTGTGACAAGTGCGGCAAGTGTCTGTGGGGACTGTTCCGACAGGGGATGCAGTGTTCGGAATGTGGGTTCCAATGCCACAAGAAGTGTATGTTTGACAGCATTGTCGTGTGTCCAAGGAGACGTTTGAGAAAAAGAAGAGAGAGTGATGCTGAGGGTGAGCATCGCGAACTTACCAACTATCTGCCCTGGTCTTAACATCTTGTAAAACTTTGGTAATAGAAGTCAGATGTAGTGTTACAAGAAGTAAGGTTTGCGGGAGTCCGTGAATGATCTTTGGCTGCACAGAGCTGCAAACATCAGTCTGTCACTGGACAGTGTGTGACTAAAATTGGGCCATGTCTTATACAATCTTAACTGTGATATGATACCTGCACAAAATTTAATACAGTCTACTCTCTTTTAACGGACACCTCTATAAGACGGACACCTCTGTAAAATGGACACTCAGAGTTGGTCCCTGCCTTTCTTTACTCCCTTTATTTGACTCTCTATAAGACGGACATCTCTCTAAGACGGACACATACTGCAGGTCCCCAAGGTGTCCGTCTTAACAAGAGTTGACTGTAGTAACCAAAGATCGTCGCTGATGAACAAAATTTTACCTGGAGTGCAGTGACATGCTGCACCAATTGAATTGACAGTGCATCGAATAAATGGTAGAAATCAGTCTAACTGGAAATTCCATGTCTACCATTCACAGATGTACAATGTATTCTTGATTGAGTCCAACAAAATTTTTGTCTTGTCTTTCCAAAATACTGATTTGGCTTGACATATTCAAGTCCTTTGGAGAAAGGAAAATTATTTGCAGCTTTGCTATAAATTCCAGAAAAGGCCAAATGTTTTCAATGTTCTCATCCTCCAGACAAATTTAATGGGTTCTGATATGAGAAAATCTGATACAAATTTACAAGAATTTGATTTTGTGGGTGAATTACATGTAGTCATCCCTGTTTAGGACTACAATGATGGCAATGATGATGTTGATGATGAGAGAAAAATTGTAATAGAGTTTCAAGCGATTATTTTGTTTATTTATATATATATATCTATATGTATTTTTTACTTCTTTCTTTTTCTTTTTAGTCCCTGTTTTTGGAGCAGAACTTGGATTTCAGTTTCGTCCAGCAGAAAGGCCAGCACCAATTGTGGTTATGAAATGTATCCAGGCGCTTGATAAAGGAGGGTTACAAACATTGGGAATCCACAGCATTATACCTACAGGAAGTGAAAAGAATGCACTCAGAACTGCCTTGAATCAAAGTAATAATCATTAATCTCCCAATAGTTTTTGTATTTTTTTGACAGACCTTTTTTCTTATTACTTTAACAAGACTCCTTAAGCATTTCTTACTGTAGAGTCTGTTGAGAAAATCCTGGGAACTGAGCATTACGTGATCTGGGCTAGCATTACACAGAGCTTGGCTATTAGGCCAGGGCTCGAAACTGTATCCGAGCAACAAGCAGCACGTGTTCAACAAAGTTCTTATTCAGTTACTATGCCCATACTCTGGCGGGAGTTGATGTAAGACTTGAATAGTAATTTCTAACAGAAGTTTTCATGATTTATTGTAACAATTAACAACTTTTCTGATTTGTCCAACAGTGACCTTTCTTAAGGGAAAAATATGTGCAGGCTTGAAAATTCTTTTTACATAATAGTTCTTCTTGTTTTTTCTTTATTAGGTGCAAAGAATGTGAACATGGAAGATGAAGAATGGAAGAATCCCCATTGCATTTCATCTGTTCTTAAGATGTATCTAAATGAGCTTCCCACGTGTGTATTTACGGAAGAAAAATATTTCTCTTTTGTTAAAACTTTTAAAGGTAAAATTAATTTTGGATTCTTTCTATTTGAGGGTGGCATTTATACCAAAATCATATCTTCTAATTTACTGACCACAATAATAGTATGGTAAATCACTTGATTATATTCATACAAAACAGAGGCATGTTTTATGTTTCAATGACTTGCTTTTTTTTTTTTTTTGGTGAGATAGAATTGGAGTTGTCTGGCTTGTGATATTTGAAGGAATTGTTGTTGTTGTCTTTTCTTTTTCTTACAAGGTTAAACAGTAAAGGCGCACACAATCCAAAAGCCCAAAGGGCCAAAGGTTATACCGGTTTCCTTAGCATGAAGCATGCTTAGGAGTATTGCTACTACCCCAAGGATGGGATACTATAGTAGTCTATTGCAGGTTACCCCCCCAGCAGTATGTCGCCAGTTCCCATTTACACATCTGGGTGAAGAAAGATAAAGTGGAGTAAAGTTTCTTGCGTATAGAAGACAGGAGAGGTTTGAACCCCGGAGTTCGAGGTGTTAACCGCTCAGCCACTCACGCCTCCACTTTCTCTTACAAATTATACTCAAATAAATGCTTTTTTCTTCTGATTGGGTGCGGCATTTATTCTAGGGTCATTTTTTGTTGTAATTTTGCTTCATCCCGTGGCATTTAATTAAGTAAAAACAATATTGTTAGAAGATGGCTCATGGATGTATGTTACAATCTCCCATAACAAATTATTGCAATGGTTTACTTCTTTTAAAGATGGAAGCAGAGAATCCGTTGGAGCCAGACTGCAAGAACTGGTGGAAAGTCTTCCAGAAGAAAACAAGTCCCTCCTCAAATATATCTTAGAACATTTATACAGGTCAGAAAAGTTACAGTATATACGCTCTCTATGAGGGCCTCTGTTGCACCTTGCTTTAACCTACAGGGGAGGATCTAGAAAATTCAGAAAGGGCTGGGACTTGAGGTAGAATTTAACAAACATCTCTCACGTCGTTTTTGATGTTTTAGTTTTAGGAACAAAAAAGCCAGTTGCTATTTGTTGAGGTGTTGTGCTCAAAATGTACATTATGGAGCATTTCTTTTAGACAATCCATTTTCTGTTTGAGGTAATCCAATGCTAACAGCAGTCTGCAATCTTTTTGTAGTGTAAAGTTGAATTTTTGATTGAAAGATCTGTATTAAGTTTGGCTACCTTTAATGCAGAAGCATGTTTCTCACGTTTTTGAAAGGACTAACGAGTAACATATATCTTAAGTTGAAATTTAAATGTAAGTAAGGAATTATAATTTATTATTTGAAGAGTTGATTACAAGGTAACAGCCGTGTTTTTTTTTTCAGAGTCAGCCAGAATGTTGAGTGGAATGACATGTCATCGATGAAACTAGCTCGGATATTTGCTCCTCTTTTGTTACGACCAGAAAGAAAGAATATAATGTAAGTTGATTCTGTAGTGTTTTTGCGTAACCGATTTATTTTGCTCCTTGGCATTCTTGGGACTTACCATCACAACAAAAGAAATTAAAAACAATGCCTATGCAAAATTTTGGAGGGACAACAAAGAGTATTCTGGTATTTTTGAAAAAGGCCTATTTAAGAAACAACTTCCATTTAGGCAACTTTACAATATCCCATTGAGGATGAGCCCAAAAGTTATTCCTTTTTCCAACGAGTTTGTTAACTGAAGCACGTAAATATCTGAGGGTAAAATTCATGTTATTGTCTTACAGGGCATTAATTAAAAACCATGAAGTAACGGTCGAAATAGTAGACCACCTGACGAAAACTGGGGAGTGGACAGAAACAAAACCGCCAGGTAAAATGTTTGGATCCATTTACGGAGATCTAAGATTTAAGATGTTCTAGCTTGCGTTCAATCGGTCGTTTCTCCCTTTTTTTACGTTCATTTGCCGACGTTCGTGCTCCAGAAAAAAAAAGAATGAATGAACGCCTGATCGCATGCTAAAGCCCCGTGCAAACGGGCACGACATTCTGGCCAAGAACTCCCAACATTGTTGGGAGTTGTTGCGTCCGTTTGCACGTAACTTAAAGATTGAACAGTTTCAAACTGTACGCAGTAACTCTCAACAACACGCAACAACATGCAACAGGGTGTGCAAACGGACGAAACATGTAACATCAGATAAAACACTCCTTCCCGTGTTCCAAATGTTACTAGCCAGTGATTGGGTATTGGATGACTCACGCCTTTTCGTTTTTTTTTTTTTATCACTTCCCAGTGTTTGTATATCAGACGAAACACTCCCTCTCGTGTTTAATATTTTGCTTCTCGGTGTTTGAATATCAGATAAAACACTCCTTCCCGTGTTTGATATTTTACCTCTATGCGTTAAAGTATGAGATAAAACACTCCTTCTCGTGTTTAAAATATCACTCCAGAAAAAAATGAAAACCATGTAAACTTACTTTGGCTTGAGCTGTGGCATTCTGTTCGTGCTTAAGTTTCTGCGATCGCTTTGTATTTTTCAGTACCTCCAAGAAGACCTCGATCGTCAGCAGCTGAGCCTTTGGAGAGATTACAAGATTGTCCCTGGTACTGGGGAGACATTAACAAGTGAGAGTCAATTATTATTAACCGTCTTACCACAACGATGGCAACGAGAGCATGAACAATAAAACAGCAATGGGATAAAGGAAAACAAAGCAATAACTTTGCATTCTTTAATACTAAAAAGTTTTTTTTTTTCATTTTATAGAGAAACAGTCAGTGAGAGATTAAAAGACCAGCCCGATGGCACTTTTATTGTTCGAGACTCCAGACGGTATCCTGGCGAATATACTTTGACACTAAGGTAGATTTGCTGTCCTTTATTTGTTCCGTTTTGCCCATCTTTAAGTCTCTTGGAAAAACATACGCGGAGAGGCACTCTTTTCCATTTTTCGACGTGATTGTGTGACGCCCGGCTCTCAAAAACTTCACTCTATTTCAGACAAAAATACGCCACATTGTATACTTGTTTCCACACCTGGTTTCATAGTGTTAATTAGGGGTTTGCCATACTTAGTAGGTTTCATCGAAGCAGTAAATTCCACGTTACCGTGGCAAATTACCCTCTCATTCAAGTTTTCAAATTTTCAAGTTTTCCTGAATGCATTAATCGGCTGTTGTTGTTGTTTCCTTAGAGCGGTTTTCACTTGACTGTCGTAAAACCAAAACCAAAGTAAATACACTAGCCAACCAAAGGGCGTAGTAAAACCAAAACCAAAACCAAAACCAATCCCTTTCGACAGTCAAGTTAAAACCGCTCTAAAACTTTAAAACTCATTTGCGGTCCAGAGTGGCTTACTTTGCCTTTCGAGTGGCCCGTTCCTTTATAGCTAATGATATAGCGGAATACCCTCGGTGGTTTGTAAATGGTGTGATTGAAAGGTGGGGTTTCGGTTCCACTGTACTTAAGCGTTCGCTTGCACTTTATAATTCAATAAGGTCGGTTTACATTTCAGGAAAGGAGGAGTGAACAAGCTTATTCGAATCTTATACAAAGAAGGCCACTATGGTTTTTCAGAGCCGTTGACTTTTTCCTCTGTGGTAGAGCTCATAAATTATTACAAAACAAGATCTCTGGCTTCCTACAACCCCAAGTTAGATGTGAAACTCGAGATTCCACTACATAAATTTGAACAGGTAAGTCAGTGCTCAAGTAAACTATACTCGGAACAAGTAGTCTGTTGTGATATTTTCGCTTGTTCCACTGGTTCGCTTTTGAGGCAATCCTGAAGCTATGTTCACACTATAAGAAAAGCTAGAGCGATTTTCGTATGACCTTGAAAAATGGTTTCGGTAAATGTTCGTTATTTGTTTTATCAGTCAACGGATGAAAAGATCAAAACATGGACTCTTCATTTTCGCGCAAAGAAAACCCTAATATGGAGAAGGTATTGTTCGATTGGCCAATCGTGTTGCAGTATGACGTCAAAGGGAAGTATCGGTTGATTTCTAGAAAGTTCGCGTGCATGAAGTTTTTTCAGCCGAGCGTTCGCTTAACCAACCGAAAGCCACGCTCGTTTGTATCCGTTCGACAAACCAATCAAATCGCTTTATTTCCGTTCGTTTCTTGTTTCTGTTTTGTTCGTGCGTTTTTATTTCAATGTCATACGAAAACTGTTCACACACAAGTCGTTCACACACATCGAACATCGTGCCAGATCGTGCCGGAGCAGTTGGTCCAGAGGATTTGGCCGGGTGAACTAAATCCCAGTCCTCACTCCTGAATATGTTTTCCGTCTCAGTGGATTCCAGTCCTCACTCCTACTTATTCACTTCCACTACCATTCATTCACACTTCACCAAAGTGTGGTACAAAACCTATACGTGACTCTCCGCTTTCGAGATCTGCGCGGTGCAGCTTCGCTCCGCTACAGAAGTCGCGCCGAAATGACCGTTTGTATGTGTAAATGGAAGCCCTACCCGGCGTAGTTTTTGTGCCGACGTAAGATCTATCCGGTATCATAGTGTGAATTAGGGAGCTTTAGCATCGATGACGGCATCGGCAGCGAAAACGTCAGTTTTAAAATGAATTTCCGTTTTTTCAATCTTTGTTGTGTTTATTCCAATTTGCTGAAAATGGCAAGTGGAGGCGAATTTCCCTGGAGTTGATTACTTGAGGACCGCAGTCAAGTTTAGAGAGAGAAAAAGAGATTCGTCGCCGCTTCTTTACATCCTCCAAAAAACTTGTAATTAGGCATTTTCACGTCGTAGTCGTGCATAGCCTCCCACGCAGGCGTTTTTAGGGGAGCTCGTATTTACGAGCTCCCCTAAAAACGCCTACGTGGGAGGCTAAGTCGGGGGACGGTCAAAAAATGTACAAAAAAGCGTGATGCACGTGCAAAGTTGTTGTTTTGCTAATATAAACCTATTGCTTTTTGACGTCCTCGTTGCTGTCGCCGTCGTCGTTCCTAAAGCTCCCTAATAACCTGAGTGACTGCCAGCATTCCGCAGCATGTGTAGGTTTAATTTACACATACCACTTTTCATGGCTTGTCACACGACAGTTAATAAAAGTGAAAAGGACTCGAAGCAACGACACGAATTTACCCTTTTGTTGTCAAGTTGTTTGAAAAGTCGATGTTGCCTGCTCGCAACATATTTAAACATTCGAGACGATTTTAATGATTGTTTCATTTCATATGCCTCGTTTTTTCAAATAATAATTTCCTCACTTGTCTCATGACACGCGTGCGTGATTGGGTGCGTGTCATGAGACACTCGTGTCTCGCAGAACGCTCTACGATACAAAAGTCTTGTATCAGAAACTCTAGCAACAACAGCAATTTTTGATAAACCATTTCAATATTGCGATGTGAAAGTACTGCTGAAGACTTAAATGATCTCGCCAAAGAAATATTAGACCAATTTCTGTAGTTTAATGTTCGTACTTCCTCCGAGGCCTGGGGGAATAATAAAAAAAGAAATCGCCTTTAAGTTTGGAATGAATGATTCATTTCTTTTGTTTTATTTCCTCAATTATTGGCACCAAGTATCAATTTTAATATATCAGAATTGGTCTAATTTTAATTGAGCTGGGTAAAGAAGCGCGTATCCTTTCGTGACACGCATTACTTTATATGAGAGTCCCCCATAGCGTTCTCCAATCCCGCAATCCCGACCCTAAATTTCGAGCAATCCCGTAATCCCGATGGTTATTTTCGGCATCCCACCTCCCGCGATACTTTCAATCCCGAATCTCGCCCGGATTTTGCTTTCAAATCCTGAATCCCGAGGTTCAGTTAAGATAAAGGAAATCCCGGATCCCGAAAAACCCACTGGGGACCCTATGATATGTCACAGCACGCGAGTCCACGTATTCATCACTAGTTTACTTCAAATCCCATTGAAGGACAAATATGCCATTCATCAATTTCTTGGTATTCATTGTAACGGAGCCTGCTGGTTACTTTTCGCAGGATGAGGACGAGGAGGGAGGCCAAGGGCCTGGTACTGGAGACGATAAAGATTTGTACATAGAAAGACTCAGACGAGTTCATCAGGAATTTGTTCAGAAATCAGACGATTATGAGAAAATTCATGAGCAATTTGTTCAATCAGAACAGGTTAGTAAGAAGACTCTAAGCACGCAACTTTGTAGTTGTCTCAAATGAATGCTTTGTGACGAATTATGGGCACAAATTTAGGTCCCGTAGCCTACAGTGAAGGCATATTCTGGTGCGCGCGAGTGTGCAATTTTCCTTATGTAACCGCCATCTTGAACGCTTTTTCGATCAAGGGGGTGGGTGTTAGGCTGAAGAATGAAGTGGGAGAGGGTGGGGCAAGAAAATGTTCTCTTCGGTCTTTCCCACCCCCTTTGTTGCCTTCTTTGGCTTTCCCCAGCCCCCTCAGGTTTTAGGGAATTCATCGTAGTGGGTAGATAGACAAAAACGGGTTGAATTTTAATGCTTACACGACTCAAGAGAACGCGAATGAATTACAAAGTAGCACTTTTCCTAAGTGACAAGCATAACTATTGATATTCATTCAAAATATTTCTCCATTTCTGATTGCCGAATTCTTTATAACCAGCTGGCGTTTGCTGTCATTTCATAATTTAAGTCAATAAGAATTGTAAAATGAAATACTGAAACAGAGACGACTGACTTTACTCAAAGACAGCGGAGTGGAAGCTCAGCTTTTTGGGCGAGAAAATGGCGGAAGATTTTACAAGTTATGCGAGACGAAATAGACCTCTTAACTTGTATGTATTGTTTTCCCAATAGAGGTCCCAAGGGAAATTAACCCTTTTTATTATATGGAGGAGAGTGTTTTACTGGGAACTAAACCACTCGTAGATTCCATACGCCACTTCATCCGGGACCCGAGAGGCGTATTTTCCGTATGTTACCTTTGTGAGTGTCGTATCGTTCAATGACGTCACGATTCCCGCCTTTTGCTTTTGTTGAATTGGTTTCTCCATATAAAAAAGAACATTACACGTTAGCTCCGATATGGACCCAAGAATGGTTTATTTCGCTTCGCTCACTCGTGAGATATTGTTCTTGCCACTCGAACATAAAATTCATATCTTCTCGCCACCGTGTAATATCCTCTATTTATTATATAGACACGAGTGTTTTACTGGAAAATATACCACTCGTAAAATTCATAAAAACTACATCCGGGACCCGAGTGGTTTATTTTCCATAATCTCACTCGTGAGTTTACTCATTTACTCATTTTTCAAAGCTTTGGTTACATTTTGTCATTGTAGAGCCCTATTCAGCTCAGTGTTATGGCTCAAGATTATTGTAAGCAATGTCTTATATTGCTGTATTCTAAATTTGAGCCGTAACAATTACGTTTTGGCGAATAAAAATCTATTACTTTATCGATGTCTTTCTCGTGGCAAAAACAATATTTTACTCACTCGCTCCGCTCGTTCGTAAAATATTGTTTTGCCACTCGAAAATAAAATTCATATCTTCGCGCCACCGTGTAATATCTTCTCTGTCTTTTCATAATTTATGCGTAGATATGTACGTGAATGAGACGAAATTTGAAAGAAACAGTTCTCTAGAGTATTATCACATGACCTGTAATGGGAAGACAAAACATACAAGCTAAAACGGTCTATACTGAATAACTGCCCCAAAAAGTTAGCAAGTATGTAAGTAAACCGTATGCTAGTTCAACCCTGTTCCACGTGTTTAGAAGTAAAACTTACGCTAGTTTAAGCCTGTTCAGCACGTTCGGAAGTAAAACTTAAGCTAGTTTAAGCCTGTTCCATGCGCTCTGATAGTGGGTAGAACCCTATAATGGTGAAGATTTCTCCTTGTTCTTCCCTTCAAAATGAGGTAAGTGCCTAAGACGGGCTGACTTAAATTTGAAACGTGTTGTTGCAGGACATAACTGACTGTCACGAAGAACTTGATGCTCACCGTGAAATCATGAAAATGATTGATGACCAGATCACGCTGCATGAGCATTTCCAGAGAGAAGCCCCTCCGCAAAACAGAGCAATGTAAGTAGCTATCACGATATGTTCCCTTGATTTTTGCCACTTTAGAAACGAGGAGGACGCTGGGCTTAGAACACTTTCGCAAAGACACCTGGGACTGTTCCACTTTTGGTAAACTTCAAGATCAAGAATGCGCTTTCATAGTATTGCAGAACAGTTGGTTTTAGGTTTAAACGGTTTAAATTTCCTTCCCTTCTTTTAGCCTTCGCCAAAACTATGAGTTACTGAGGCACAAGAAACAAGAGGCAAATGCGCGGTTGATGACACTTGAACGTGAAGTTAACAATAAGATGGAAGAGACACGCACCCTTACCAAGCGCATGAATAGCATCAAACCAGATATAATCAAGCTACAGAGAAGCAAGCAACAGTATTACCTGTAAGTACAAACAGATTCAGATCGCACTCTAGGCTTTCGGATAGTGCAGACCTTTGTTTTTAAGACGAGGACGACAAGATGTTTCTTAATCACTAAATCATGCGCGCGCGTGAACGAGCTTCATTTTGGCGGAAAAACGTGATAGCCGTCGTCATTCTACCACAGGTTTTAGCGAGATTGTTGTAGTATCGGACACAAGGTGAATGAATAAATTTTCTCGGTCCTGCAAGGTTTCTCATTTACAGCACTAAGGAACTTTTGTCAAGAAAGTCTTTTTTGTTCTGGGTTTTGGCCCTATAGAAGAAGGTTGAAAACGGGGTAACTTTATTTTACAACAACTACCATAACCAGGGTTCTATCTAGGGTATTTGAGGGGTAGAAGCTTCCCTCCCAAAATGCCCAGCTTCCCCCCAAAAAATATTGTTATCATTACAGTATATAAGTAACTATATCGGAAAAATCATCCAGACGCGACAAAATTGGGTCTCAAAATGCACCAGATTGCATCTCAGCGCATATTCATTTCAAGAAATTTCCGGGGGAGCATGCCCCCGGACCCCCCTAGGAAGCTCGTGGCCGTCGGCTACTCGGGACTTCTCCCCCAAACGATAAATCCTAGATAGAACCCTGATAATTCTTTTCGTTATTCCAGTGGTAATTATTGTGATCCTCGTGATGTTTATTAGGAACAACATTTTGAAGTTGCACAATAGTCAGGAAATGAAGGATCCGAGATGTTTCAGTTAAAATAACGTCGTGGCAATGAAAACCTGTTGTATATTTTTTCTGGTTCCTCTGTTCTGTAGGGTTCTTACAACTGCAAAGAAAATGGAGATCGAAGAGGTCAAGGCAGCGATTGGCGAAGAGTAAGTCAAAGTCTTCAACCAGCGAATGTGTTCACTATAATTATGATAGTTCGTGGCCGGAAATGATTAATTTGAGACCTAACTGTACCTTAGCTTACAAATCTGATTAACAGTAAATTCGGAAAGAACTGCCATTATCTTCCATTTAAATGTTGGCACCTAGTATCAGTCATTCACGCACTGTAAAATTCGAAACGCCTTTAATTATAACCATTGATACAATTTACTTAAATTTGGTTGATGCATTGACTGCTATATTTTTCACTAATTATTACGTAGTGTAATCGGACAGTTAGCTGTAATCAGACACTTTTAATCGGACAGTTACATCAGCTAATCATATTGAGTGCACACAGCTAAATCCACCAATCTCAGAATTTATCACAATAACCATACCAACAAACACTTACCCTACCAAACTGGGGATTTCCCAAAATGGACGAAGTTGTAACATGAGACTGTGTCTGTGCTTGTGATACTTTCCCTAAGTTTGGATTTTTGGAATTAAAAGCTTTTTCACAAAAAAAGATTGCATTTGTTTTCTTGGAAATTGTAACGGTTTTGATTAATTTGTAACAGGACTTCGTGTCGTCCATTTCTGTCTGTTATCATGCCCGTCATTGACAAATCGGACTTCCGCGTTAATCACTCGTATGATTACAGACAGAATTGGACTCCACTTAGTCCTATTACCATTTTAAGCTGATCAGAAACAGATTAACATAATGGTCTGCTGGAAGATGATGACTCGACCTCGTTCATTATTTACCTCTTATGTTACTTTTTTCTTTCTCTTTTTTGCAGAGGAAGTGAAACTTCTGCGTAAGTTATGCATTTCATTATGAATTAATTATACCACAGGCTACCCATGTTGACAGTAAGTGCAGAGACACGGGAAAACAGACTATGAGTCAAAGTGAGCCAATTATGTGGACAGTCTGGGGCTGTTTACATGGAGGGACGAAAATCCTAGAAGGCGGATCATCCTAGCGCCATATGTTTTCTGAGTTTACATGCAAAAGGTTGCACTTGTCCTTAGTGCTAGGATCTTCCCGGTACAAGCATCTTCCTAGCCGAGGGGTAGGATGATTCTAGTACTAGGAAGATCCTGGCATCATGTAAAAAAGGAAGATTTTAGTAATAGGAACAAACCAGACAAAAATAGCGGCGGTTCGTTTAGTGGGTAATCACGGAAATAAAGGCCGATCATTTTGTTTGACGTTACCACGAGCTGAATGTCGTCTGTCATTTTTAATTCCTGCTCTACTTGAGAACCACACAGACCGAAATTTCTGCATGTAAATCCAAAGTAGAGTTGTTCCACTTTCTAGGATTTTCCTGCTTCCACGTAAACAGCCCCGTAGACTTGCGTACCGTTTATCTTTTCTTTCTACAGTCTACTCGATGGCAATATTCAAGAGGACATCTATGATCAGTAAGAGCTCTTTAATTTTCAGAATGACTTGTTTTGTTGCTGCTGTTAGAGTCGAATGTACTGTAACCTTCTCAAGATCTAATCTGACAGTTCCTTTTAAAAAAGGCATTATGAAAACACCCTTCCGTTTGTCTGCATTTCGCGAGTTTGCTTGGCGTTCAAGCTTTGGATAATTTAAGGGTTGCTGTGGTGACTTGTCTGCATGTAACAAAAGTTAAAAATTGACATTTCACTTTGTTTTTTTTTTCTCATTTGTAGGCCTCATATCGATCTCTCTGCATCAAGATGGCTACGTGGAAAACTAAGCAAGTACGTCACGCTGTTTTGCTACCAATCTGCTGTGGTCTTAAGCTTTATTCAATGGGGGTTGAGATCCCAGATGCCCAAAAATTCCAATTTTTGTGGTAAAATACTCGAAAATAAATACTACTATGAAAAGGTTCTGCTAAAGAGGTTTCATTTGAATGACAACACCATTGAATTTCGCTTAGAGGCTCAAAAGTTAGAACTACATAATAAAAAAACAGTACCTTGTGAAAGTACTGCTGAAGAGGTTTCGTTTGAATGGTAACACCATAGGATTTCATCCACAGACTCAAACGTTACTACGTACTAAATGAATAGTACCATGTGAGAGTCCTGCTCAGTAGCTTTCATTTGAATGTTAACACCATAGGATTTCATCCACAGACTCAAAAGTTCGGACTACATACTAAATAAATAGTACCATGTGAGAGTACTGCTCAGTAGCTTTCATTTGAATGGTAACACCATAGGGATTCATCCACAGACTCAAAAGTTAGAACTACATACTAAATAAATAGTACCATGTGAAAGTACTGCTAAAGAGGTTTAATTTGAATGGTAACACCATAGGATTTCATCCACAGACTCAAAAGTTACTACCTACTAAATAAATAGTACCATGTGAGAGTACTGCTCAGTAGCTTTCATTTGAATGGTAACACCATAGGATTTCATCCACAGACTCAAAAGTTAGAGTTACATACAAAACAAATAGTACCATGTGAAAGTACTGCCGAAGAGATTTCATTTGAATGGCAACACCATTGAATTTCGTCGAGAGGCCAAAAGCCGGTTGAAGAGATAAAACTTCCAGAACTTGGTCTGGGTGTAAAGTAACGCTCCTTTACACATTAGGGAGGTTAAGATGACACTACGGCGAGGGCAACGAGAACGTCAAAAAAGCAATAGGTTTGGATTAGCAAAACAACAACTCTGCACGTGTACCACGCTTTTCTGTACATTTCTTTGCCGTCACTGCACGACTACGAAGTGAATTGCCAAATTTCGGGTTTCATCGACAACTTGAACATACGACGACCAATTTCGCTTTCTCTCCCTAAACTTGAATTTCTTAAGAATTCAACTCCGGGAAAGTTTGCCTGCATTGGATAAAGTGAGCGAGTTGTGATAGTCGCACTGAAGTTTCAAAGAACGCGAATTCACTTTTTGAGGGACGTTTTCGCCGCCGTCGCCTTTGTGGTATCTTAAACTCCCTATTGATGTCTGTGGTGCAGAATATGTTACCCTGATGGACTAGGGGGGTCTGGGTGCAAGAGCGGGAATTATTGTAGCTGTAGAATCGTAAAAAGAGTGTTGAGTGTACCCCTGTTGTGTACAAGGATGTGATCCAGTCTGATTGTTTTCTCAAAGTTGCTCTATCAAAAAGTTTATGGATGCTGCACTCATCAACGCCAATGGCAAAGGCTTTAAAGAATACTTTCAGAGTCATCAACTTTGTTACCAAAGCTTTTCTTTCACTTTTACTTAGGGATGAAGCTAAAGAACTTTTAGAAAACAAAGAAAATGGTTCTTTCTTGATCAGGGAAAGCGTGGTCAGAGCTGGCGAATACGCCCTTGCCCTAAAGTAAGTTCATTGTTAGTTTTAATGTAAAAACAAAAAAAAAACAAAACAAATTTTTATTGAAAATTGGAAAATAACTAATTACATTACTTTCCCACCCGCAAATAGCTTATGAACTAATCGAGGCGGGGGGAGCTATGTACATTTATTGTATATATATATATATACATATATACAATAAATCTTCTATTAAGCTCCCCATCTCAACTGAGCCCCCTCTCCCTAATAACCCCCCCCCTCCTTTCAGGGAAAGAAAGTTAATAAGTCCCCCTCTCTTTTTTTTTTGTTCATGGTTGGTTATGTCATTTTAAAGGACTGTTCATACCTGTTTGGCGCGAAATTCCGCACCGATCGAAAATTCCACTGTGACGTCACGATAATGGACCAATAGGACAATGAGTGATATTTCACGCCGCTCCCGACGCAGCTTATGCCTGCGTGAATGTATAATATGATTCAAATCCATTCAGGCGAAACAAGTCGACCTTTTAAGAACGAAATTATGAGAGGTCGACTTGTAGCAAGTCCAGTACTTAACTTGGACGTTCATTGTCCTGTTGACGGAAGCATGATCATATAAGTTTTCTTAAACCCTGTGTAGATTGGTCTCGCCGGGGATTGAATTCGGGCCTTTCCCTCAGAAAACCTATGGGCAACTTTGTCCTATCTCATGGTTATTTAAGTCAGACGTACGCTGCTGATCTTGCACTTTAACCGGTCCCTCCCCTGTTAGTTTCGTCGATATGGGCCATTTGTTAGGATGTGCGTTGTTAACAACGAGCCCTGACTTTAGTTTCACAAGAAATTGGTTGATGGACCTAAACTATGCGTTTTACTGTGATAACATCAGGCTGATTTAGCAACAAAACGGGAACGTCAGTTGACGACGGCGCGCGCAAATCAAACAACTGGCTTGACCGATGGCAGAGCGGCAAATTGAGCACCGGAAGTCGTGTTTAATCCTTTCCGCGCGCTTTCCCGTCGTCAACTGACATTCCCGTCCTGTTGCTAAATCTACTGGTGGGAAATAGGTGTTAAACCCTTTAACCATTAACAGTGACCAAAAAATAAGCTCTCCTTACGGTAACATTGCTTAGTCAAAAAAGGCCACAAGAAAAAAGGAAATAATCAAAGGGTAAAGAAGGTCCTGATAGCTGAACAATCATAGGAAATGTATGGAGACTACTTTAGAGAATATACATGTTGATATTGGGATGTTTCTCTCTCTTTTTTCGTTTCTAGGCACAGAGACTGTGTAAAACACATTGCTATTAATCGAGGACCCAACCGTGGCTATGGATTTGCGTCAAATTATACCACTCACGTGACATTAGAAGACCTTGTGCGTCACTACAACACAACATCTTTACAAATTCACAATAGTGAACTCGATACTACCCTGATGTACCCAGTGGGGGACGATAACTAGTCTCTTTAAAGGATAGGTACTTTAAAAAAAACTAATTCCACGCTGCTCCCTGAAGATAACTAGCCTTCGTTCACTTTATTTCAAAATTAAGACCCAGAATTTTAAGATGTGATAAATTTTGACTAGATCAAAGCTAGAAAATAAGCCCTTTCTAGAAGACGAAATATTAATTTTTATTACGGTAAAACTGTTTAAGGTGTATGAAAAAAACAGACTATGCCTTAGGCGTTATTGACCAAGGAAGTTTGTTCTCCATATCCATGTGCTTCCACCTTTTAAGAAGCTTTTAAGATCTTACGCTTAGAGTATTCGTCTTGTAAACTTCTGTTTCTAGTTAATCGCAATGTGCTTAAGGTTTTAAATTTATTTCTGCAAAAACTGGTTGGTCCTAATGAAAGGCTTTTCTATTTTGGCCATGGGGTGGGTGTGGTGGGGGGGGGGGCTAATTAGAACTATTTTTGAAAGCTTTCTAGGGTTACTTTAGGTGCACGTATGTGACGAAATTGCTTGAGAAATTAGACTGCATTCTTGTAAAAAAATACGTTTCAGTTGTTTCATTGTTGTCCGTTGTCAGTTAAAAAGTCTTTGCTTTTTATACAGGACTGATCTGGTCCAGCAGCTGGAAGGTCAGTTAGTTCCGAAATAAAAAAATTAACCTGCGACTGGGTTTACTTTTTCAGTTTATAGACTGTTTTGACTTTAACCTCGGGTTAACCCAACAAAGTTTTAGAGAAAGGCTTAAGTATTTTCTAATTTCCAATTGCACTGTTTGTAGACGAAAAACTCTGTTTTTAATTTCGTAGTTGACCGTTTCCCGACCATCCTGGACCTGTTATGTTGTAGGTTTTTTAAAACCTACAACATAACAGATTTAAAAATCTGTATAAAGCAAAGTGGTACATGAAAGTCTGTTGTCGCAGGATAGCCGGGCCAGAGAGAGTATCCTTCGACAATTTTGCTCCTTATTAGTAACTTATTGTAAGTTTTGTGCGTAGTTGTATTTTTTCTAGTTGTAAGTTACTGAATATAGAAGATACAATAATTGTTTGGTTTTTACTTAAAAGTCGCCCGTGAAGCTTGCTTGTCGAACGTCCCGATACTTATCGGGCCTTGAACTTGCTGTTGTTGCGGTATATTCAAGTTCGAGGTTTCAATAGTTCTGCAGATAACAGGATAAAATTGGACAATTACCACAACAAAATGGACTTGTTTGTTGGCTAGGGCCAGCGAATTTGTTTTTTAGATTTTTATTTGAATAATTTGATTTCGGGCCCGAAAACAAAACTGGGACTTTCGAGAATCGGGCTCCAGTTAAGAATGGGGAGCGTTACGTGTTTGAAAACTATTTCTTTGAACACACGAGACGTGAGTATTTAACTTAACGGAAAATGACTACGGAATGACTAATGTAGCTATGAGTTTTATTAAATTTTGTCTAGAAAGGTTCCTGATATTTTATAGCATCGCTGTTGTTGTTTGCAATTCTGTCTTTCTTCTGATTTGTCCTACTTTTGAGTGGCGTAATGCTTTAATAACGTTTACGCGTGCGTGGAAAACTTGAGCGCTTGCTTCTTTGAATTATTTGCTCTCATTGGCTGGGATAACAGCAAGAGCTTTTTAGTATTTGCAGCCTAAAAGGCCTGTTAAATTAGTATGAAGTTTCGTCCTTTAGGGGTAATCTATTGTGCAAAAGTTGTGTGAATGGATGTTTATAAAGTTTCCCGTCTCGGTCGTTGCAGAGATTTCAAGTCTCTCTAGACGATCTTTATTACGATAAATGATTCTGCAGTATTTTGTGGATGTTAGGATTTCGAATTCTTTAATGAGATTAAAGTTTATGGTTTAAAGAGATCTGTTTATAGTGTTTTGCTTCGGTCTGTAGCCGTATACTGGGTAGAAAATGTGCAAAAGGGAATATTGTGGTGGGATTTTTTTTGCGTCGCCTTAATTCGGCTTACCTGTTATTTTCACTCCCGACTCGTCCCTAGCCTTCTCTTATCATTTGTAGCGGTCCTGGGTAGGTCAAGGGTGACTAGCACGGCATTTCGACGAAGAGAACGACGGCCGACGGGAAGGAAGGAAAGAAAAAGGGCTAGAGAGTCTTCTCCTCTTGCACCTTCGCATCACCCCTTGCGGGTCTCGTTATCCCGCACTGACTCCCGTTCGTTCTCCTTACCCTCTCTCCCCAACCCCCCTCCTTTTCCCCCATACTTCCCGCCCCTACCCCTGTTGACGCCTGCTACGCAAGCTAGCTCTCCTTATAAAAAACGACTCGAAAACCTCAGGGTACGGTATTTTTAGACACTACTGTAGGCGTTTCCGTATTAGTAACTTGTATTTTGTTTCCCTAGTTATTTAACCTATTTCTGAATCTTGTAACAAAATATATATGTATTTGCTTTGTACGTTGCAAATGTAAGGTTAAATAAAATGTATTTTGTTGTATTCTAATAGATAAATGTAAACCATAAAAGTAATCTATATATTACAACTTATTCAACAGAAAATAGTCATCTAAAAAGTAACACAGTATAAATTACTGATATTTACATTTAATATTTACAAACAAAAATTCAAAAACATCTCAAAGTTATAAACACTATGTTGAACCAACATTAGCGATCCGTTTGAACAGGCTAAAGAATTTAATAGTCGTACGGTGTTAGAATGTTATTTACACATAAAAATTCAAAAGCATCTCAAAGTTCCAAACACTAATAAACTTGTTGAATCAACATTAGGGACCCGTTTGAGCAGGCTAAAGAATTTAATAGTCGTACGGTGTTACAATGTATTTCTGGCCCCTATGTAATGAAAAAAAAAATGATTAAAATCAATTTCAAAGTAAATAGAATACTTTTTTTTTGTAAACTTTCCAGGCGATGGTTAGTTTTGAACACGTAGTAATGGAACAATATTGGAAAACTTTTGTCTTCGCCACACGTCTTCACATTAAATTAAGATAGTAAAAAAGCTCCATTCATATTGTGAATAAATTAATAAAAGTGCTTCTTTTCTCTATCCCGTTGCCTAGCAAAGCATTCCAATCTCCGGCAGTGCAGAAGTCCTTTCCAGATGTGTCAGCGTATTTCCTGTTGCGGAAGGTTGCGGAAGCCAATCGAGTGCTTACAGGCGTTCAGACGTGTGGTGCGTTTTGATTGGTTTGCTAGCGTCACATGGTGCAGATGCACCAATCACTGCACACCACGCAGAAGGCCGGTGAAACCGTATTCATTCACATGGTTGCTTGTCACAGCTACAAATTTCATTTCTTAGTTTTGCTAGACCTGAAATTGGTTGAGTTTTTTCCTTTATAAATTATGGCGTTGGGCCGCTTAGTTTTCTTAGCCTTAGTCTCTTGCATTTTAGCAGAAGACGCAAAGGTCTACTTTGTAGAGAAATTTGAAGGTGAACTATAGTTGATTTCTTCGTACCTTGATCTTCTCGCAGCATGGACTGATTTTTCTCTGTCTTTCTCAGACGAAAGTTACACGGATAGATGGGTCGAATCAACTTTTAAAGGAAGTGATGCTGGGAAATTCAAGTGGACCGCCGGAAAATTCTACAACGACGCCGATCTAGACAAAGGTAAAAATATATATTTCTAAACTGTTACTTTATGGATTTATAAGCTTACTCCGAAATCTACTTGCTCAGCTGTGAACTGTTGATTAATTATTTTTGTAAATGCCAGCAGAAACAGCAATTTTCTCACCATGCAGACAGTATAACAAGAATATTTTGATTGTGAACAGGTATTCAAACAAGCGAGGACGCTAAATTTTACGGTATTTCTGCCAAGTTCGAGGAGGCCTTTTCAAATGAAGGGAAAACTCTCGTCATTCAGTTTCAAGTTAAACACGAACAAAACATAGATTGTGGTGGAGGCTACGTCAAGGTGTGTTTTCTGATAGAAAGTTTTGATAATTCCTCTTTCAAAATGTTGTTTTCTTGTTACGTTGTACATATTGTTTAACAAAATTAATGATAGTGTGTTATTTTACTTTCAAGTTAACAGAATTTAAACTATTGAAATATAAACATGCTGGTTAGTGGTCAGGACCTTCTCAAGAACTTGTTTATTGACTTCCTGATTTTGGCTTTTTATCTTACTTTTTCAGATTTATGACAGCAAAGTCGATCAGAAACAAATTCATGGAGATACACCCTACCATATCATGTTTGGTAAGTTGGCTTTATGTTGTTATTGGATCTAAGATTATTTTTAATGCTTATTGTTTCGTTGAAAGTAGCCATTCACATGCTAATTAATGTTGCTTGTTGTCGATTCTCTTGTTAGGACCTGATATCTGCGGCCCAGGTACCAAAAAAGTCCATGTGATCTTCACCTATAAAGGAAAGAACTTACTTACCAAGAAAGACATCAGGTGCAAGGTGAAGATTTAGAAAAAATATAGAAGGGAAACATTTTAGGAGAGAGAAAAAGTCATGAGATGTTTAAACTCCTGACTTTTCAATAAGCTCTTTCAGAGAATTGAAGTTTTCTCAGGCTCTTAGTGGAGACAAAAGCAAGGGAGATCTCATAAAACCAAGTATCAAGTTCGTAATAATTGCTCATGACCACTCTGTTTAATAAAGCAGTGATAAAACAAGGAGAATTTTAATACTGATCATTCTTAGGACTTTAGGAGTTAACAGGTGTTCAGAAGTTTAGTGGACCCTGGATCCTACAAACCTATTCTTTATAAAAAAAACCCTGTTAGGATTTGACAGATTTACCTGAATTTTGTGGCTCCATGCCTGCGCGAAATATCGGAAGCCCTGCTAAAGGTAAAGGGAAAAAGGACTGCCTGATTGCTGGTTAACCCAACATTAGTTCCTTTGATATTAAGGTCAAGAAACTAAAAAGCTTGACAGGGCTGTGCTCTAGCAGAGCCTGGTGGCCCTTGGCGCCTAACTTTTGTCCTCGGGTGACTAGCAAATCTCAGATTTTTCACACAAATCACATGGCGCGCACCCTAGATTTTACAGTTTCAGAGCACTGGGCTCCCTTCAATTTTTGTTGGGGCACAGCCTTGCTTGACTTTGATATTATGGATGAAATTAAGTTGTGTTTTTTACTAACACAATGCTTCATTTTAGGATGATGAATTCACCCATCTCTACACACTGATTGTCAAACCCGATAACACTTATGAAGTGCGTATTGATGGCTCCAAAGTGGAGAGTGGTGATCTTGAAGCTGACTGGGACTTCCTGCCACCAAAGAAGATCAAGGACCCTGAGGCTAAGAAACCTGAAGATTGGGACGACAAAAAGAAAATTGATGATCCTGAAGACAAGAAGCCTGAGGTGTGATTTTAATGTGACCATTTAGTACAACTACAGTAATCTTTTTGTCGGGATAGTAGGGAATTGGAGTGAGGCAAATAGGTTAAATTTTGTTTCATCCCAGGAAGTTCTCAAGGTGGCTTCAGTTCCAAGTTGCCCGTAGATAAGGTGTGAGTTTAGTACAATCCTGTCCCATGACTTAGAGGTGGGAACGAAATTGGTCATTGCCCTCTTAAATATGCCCTTTGAGCGACAAAATTTAGTAACTGTAGTCAAACATGATGACCTGGCAGCACAAATATATAAGGCTACTATTTTGTAGGTAAAGATTTCTATAGTACTGCAAGCCTCGCAACTTCGATAACCCTGACTAAAATGGTCACCTGGTCAGACCTATCTCCTTTGTAAAATCTTAAAGAAAAATTATCTGCAGTTCTGAAACTGCAACAAGTTCTCCTTTTAGACTTGTAATTTCTGTTGCTTGGAAATCTGTAGGACTGGGATAAACCTCAAAACATTCCTGACCCTGACGCGAAGAAACCAGATGACTGGGATGATGAAATTGATGGTGAATGGGAACCACCAATGATCGACAACCCAGACTACAAGGTTGGTAGAAACTGTCTTCAACAAAGTGTGACAAAATAATCAGTATTCCTTTCATTTTGTTTACCATCTAAAGAGTTTCTAGTGGGTAATATACACGATAACTGAACTAAAAGAATATACTGCAGTGTGGATGTGCTGTCTTGGTTCAAATTCCATTTAATTTTCACAACAGAAGTAAAATTTATGTTTTCTTTGCCATGTTTGTCTGCCCTCTTACAGGTAACTGCCAACTTAGATTGTTTACATGTTATTTTAAAAGAACTGTTACTTTTACAACATTAAGTTCATTAAAGAATTTAGGGAAAAGGGAGGCTTGTACTCTTCTATGCCATGAATACCAATGGCTCCTGTAACAAAAAGCCCCAGTGGTTTGTGTCACATCAGAGTGTCAGGGTTAGATGGAATAAGTGTCACCAAAGAACAAGAAAATCATTTATGACACTTTAGACTGTTATTGATCAAGTATCATCTTCTCTTGCATAACATTTCTTTTTTATTAATTTTAGGGAGAATGGAAACCTAAGCAAATTGACAATCCCAACTACAAAGGAGAATGGATTCATCCAGAAATAGATAACCCTGAGTATGAAGCAGATGATGCACTCTATAAATATGATGATATTGGTGCCATTGGTTTTGATCTTTGGCAGGTAAGAACAAGAAAACCACATTACACCTTCCCTTTTCTCATAGAAAATTCTGTTTTGTACAATTTCAAGTCATATAGCTTGGGAACTACACAAGTGTTAAACCTAATGCCAGTGAGGCAAATCGTTTCTTCTTGCTCAATAGCATTAGGTTCAACACATGTGAAGTTTGACATTTGACCCTGGCTTAAGTGATTTTGTGATCCTACGTACAATTGTCCTTTTGTTTTGCAAGTAAACACGAGGCAGTTTGAAAGTGAATCTTAAACTTAGGTTATTACAAGTCACTAGTGAGGCTGTTTCTATGTGCTTCTTCAATATTGTCATATGGCTACAAGGCTTTGAAAGTAAAGTGTGTGTGTGTGTGTGTGTGATGGGTAGGGGGGGTGGGTGATTTTCCCATTAATGCAAGATGAGCAGAAATCTAATGAGCCTCCCATGCAGACACTCTTAGAGCCTCGTCACACATTCTTTATTCGTAGGAAAGGAACGTTTGATGAAGCCTTCAGAACACTGCAACGGAGGCTAAAATCCCCACTCAAATTTGAGAAAAGGATCTTTCTGTATGTACCATCACAAACCAATGACAGTTAGCCCTCCTGGGAGCAGTACTGTGTTGATTCTGTTGTTTTGCATAATTTTTTGAAGTACATACAGACAGAACAATGTATATACATCCTCCCTTTCTCACGACAAAATTATGTGTAATAAAAGTCTTAACCTGGCTTACATTGAGCAGTACCTGGCCTCTGTTTGATATAACTCCAATTATTCCATCGTTTACTTACATTTGCTTTGTTTTTTTTTAACAGGTTAAATCAGGAACTATTTTTGACAACATTCTAGTAACAGATTCAGTTGAGCATGCTGAGAGTTTTGCGAAGGAAACTTTTGACAAAACCAAAGAAGGTGAAAAGAAAATGAAGGATGAGCAAGATGAGAAAGAACGCAAAGAACGGGAAGAAGAAGAAAAGAAACAGAAGGAGGAAGAAGCGAAAAAGAAAGCTGAGGAGGAGGATGAGGAAGAGGAGGAAGAAGAAGAGGTGAGAATAACAAAATTAGCGTTATTAAAACTTTAAGCAAGAATTCAGTGAATGACATGGCCACTGTCAGGAAAGGTTTGCATTTAACTCTTACACACCCAGAAGAGGTTTAAGTGAAACATGGCAAAATGTTCAAATCTCATTTTGCAAAATGCTGGGAAACTAATAGTACCATGTGAAAATACAGCGAAAGAGAAGTAATTTGAATGGTCGCATCATAGGATTTCATCCAGAGACTGGAAACTTAGAACCAGATGGTTAAGATGAATTTCAAGTAGGGATACATGGAGTTCCAGACAATGTTTTGGATAAAATAGTTTCCACCAAAATGAACATCTTTTCTTAGTGATAACCAGTAATTGTGTTGAACACCTTCAACATTGCATATCAATTTTAAGAGGCAGATAGATAGCCTGAATTTCAGACATAATCTTCAAATCATCTGAAATTCAGACTAGGGGATAGAATGTGCCTGTAAAATTAATTATGTGCATAAACATTAGAGTTTGGGCCTGGTTGTTAGACAGTGTGATGTTTAGGCCTCATTATCTTTATAGCAAACCTACTACCTAACAAGTCTAAAGTAATAGTTAGCCTGTACTGAGATAATATTATATCATTTTTACAAGGACGAAGAAGGCAAGGATACTGAAGAGAAGACAGAGGAGGAAGCTAAAGAGGAAGAAAAGCCATCTGAAGAAACTGCCACCGAAGAAGAGGAAGAAGATAAAACAACAGAAGAAGCAACACCCAAAGATGAACTTTAATCAAATTGATGCAGCTAGGCATTTTTAATGAAAACAAAAGACTTTCTCTATAGAACACTTCACATCATACAGCATTTGACCTTGTTAACGTGATATAAGGATATTATTATTGCTCAAATGGCTGGAATAACGTGAAAGATGTAGGCCTTTCTCATAAGAAACATTTTAATCTGGGTTTTAGAATAAACACTTTTGTGTTTATTACGTTGCTATTTAATTATCGTAACTCTCTCTAATGCTCTATTTTATCTTAGAGATAAGGTCCTGCCATCCACATTTTGTTTCTCAATGTAGTCCTTCAAGCAAAAGACTTTGTTCGCTAGTGCTAATTTAATTTTTCTCTTTAGTAAAAAAAGAATAATAAACCACTCTTTTTGTAACTCTTGTAGTTTGTATCTGTTGACATCATTTTTTAATAGTGGTGGGCAATGGTTTAATGTCACCACCCATGGTGTTGTGGTTTAATCAAAGTTATTATAGATTACCATACCCAGAAACAAGGGAAGATAAAAATAGCAACCAAGGTTTGAATTGGTCTTCATAACCTTATTTTTATCGATTCTAAGAAGGCTGTATAATAATCCATACACAGAAGAGAGGTCCTTTTTGGGTAAAGCGACATGGCCTTGTAACAGCGACATTCGACTAGATGAGGTGGTGACAAGACTAGTGATGTAAAGACGGGTTTAATACCAACAGAGACATTACCTCCTCAAAACACGAAACAAACTCGTTTTGATATTCATTTTAGAAGGCCTATATGAGCCAGGGGCTATTTCTGTAATATAGTATTATTTAGAATGCAGAATCCTTAAAATAATGAAAGTTAATTTTGTCAAAAATGCATTTCCCCTCCTCTTAATATTTAGCACAAACTTTTCCATAGTCTTGGTGGTGTAAATGACAAATCATACGATTCAATTTGGCAATTCCTCTTTGGCAATGTCCGACACACTCTCTACAAATTTAAAGTAGTTATACTTGATATCATATTCCATATCATACCAAAAGTTTATAGCAATACATCCATGTGACTGTTGTACATGGTGAAACCATAAGGAGGGTAGATAAAGCATCTCGCCGGCATTCACTGTGCACGTCACAGGTGAAGTATTACCATACATAGGATACTTCTCAAGATCGGGATTTAAGGGATCAATAGCGATCCATGGCACTTTGGCCAAAGGCGGAAGTTCTGTAAAGTGATTTTCAGAACTTTCGTCAACGATCTCAAAATTGCCATTATCTGTTTCTTTGAATCTAGCAGGTGTGTAAAGTTCATATGGAATCATTGGAAGGTCAGTTGGAGGCAATAGTGTAAATGTCTTGCTACCTGAAATCACGCAGTATAAGTTCTCATAGTGATCTTTATGCATTGAAGTGATGGCTCTTTTGTCTCCCATCCAAAAATTTACAGCATCAGGACTTTTACCAAAAGCTTCCGTTGCCCAGGGAATATCGGAAGCTGCTTCAGCGCACAATTCCTGAAATTCGTCAGTCAAATTAGAATTTTGTTTCTGAACGTAAAAGATCCCTCGATCTTGAATTTTCCCTTCTAGGATGTCCAAGAATTTGGAAAACTTCGTCTCGCGTTCCTCTGGCATAACGAACTTGTCTCCTACAACAGCATCAGCATAGCCATTTGGTGTCACGGAGACGGTCACCGTTCTGTGCCCTATTTTCTGTCGTAAGTAATCGTTATTCCATTTCTCAATCGCTGGCCAATCGTTGAACGCGTTCTGGATTATTACGGGAATATTTGGGTTTACCCAATTTCTCAAAAACTCTAATGGACTAGGAGCTTTTTGAAGCCTTGGCACCTTCGAACTCAGATAAAGTTCTCTTGCCTCGAAAGATAAAGTTTCAAGAGCTTCCAACAAGGTATTTGCAGAGGTCATTTTTCCACGAAAAGTATGAAAAGTTTCGTTAAAATCGGCTATCGCACAGCTGATATCCTTCCTGTTTGGCCGCCATATTGGTTTTTAACAGCGCGCGGCTGCTAAGCCTAGTACCCAGGAACGCTCTTTTTTGCAGTACTTGTTTCCTACGGTACTTCGGAAATAGTTAACTTCGGTGAACTTCGGGGCGGTCTTGTTTGCAATTTCGCTAAGTTTCAACATGCTTTTGATTCTGTCTGAAGAGCAAAAGGAACATTTAAAGTTCCTAGTATCTTTAGAAATCGATGTCGTCCTTGAATTTGCACGGATCTCTCTGGATTCTATTCTGAAAGGCTCAACGAATCCAAAGCTTTTCCAAACCGCTGCCCAAAAACTTGGGGTAGAGGCGAGTACTGTGAAGAATGGTATCAACGGCTTGCAGCATGTTTTTACAGAAAGTTCTCGCTTAATGATTGGTGAAATAGACTTTCAAGATTCCATTATGACCCTGGGTTTTTCAGAAGAAGTGATCGGAGCCTTGTTGAAGATGTACCTGGCAAACCGGAAGGAGATAAGAAACATTCTAGGGGAAATGAGTCTCGGAATTCCCCACTATCATGATCTGGAGTGGAGATTTGATGTAGAGTTGGCCAGTCGATCTCTACAACATCAAACGAATCCTGTTGTGATAATGAGACTGCATACAAAGGAAGGAGAGAAGAAGTCTGCTGATATTTTACAGACCGACCCTGTCAATTTAATTCACCTTACTTCAGAGCTGGAAAATGCAATGCAGGAAATGAAGACTGCCCACTGCAGAAGAATTGTCAGGAATATAAAGTAAACAGACATAAGTGTAGATACATACAAGCTTTTGACTTTGTGACGATGATGATGTTGAGATGATGATGATGATGATGATGATGATAACAATGATGATGATAATGATGTTGATGGTGGTAGTACCAAGGATGTTGATGATAATGATGATAGTGATGAAAGAGCTGGTAATGTTGATGACCATGACAAAGGCAATGAGGATGGTGATGTACCCTATTCTGGGAACGAAGCCTTTTGGGACCAGTGAAATAGCAGTTGTACAAAGGAAAAATTTTGCTAGTGGAAAGAAAAGAGGGGATACCCACAGAAAGATGGGATACCCGCGAGAGGGATATTTTTTTTTTTTTATCATCATATACCTTGCACAGCCTATTATCACCCCCCTTAGGAAAACACTTTGAACAGCCGAATAACAGTGATGTCGATACTGCTGATAACCATAATTATTATTGTTAGGCTTCGGTCGTAATGATGTTGATACTGCTTTTGACTTCATGTTAAAATGGGAATAGAAATGACATTTTCAATGAAATTTCTTTAGTTATCTTTATTCTGAAATAGTTAAAACCACCTTGTACAGCTAGGTAAACAGCACCATACAAAAAAGCGTGATCCAACAATAGAAACCTATCCGTGTACGTCATCTGTATCTGGTACACAAAGTTTTGACCCTACAACTTGGCAGTAAAATATAAATGAGACTAGCATTTCTTTAGTCAACCATATTAACCCTTTAAGTCCCAATGGTGACCAACATCAATTTTCTCCTAACAATATCCATACAATGTCAAGAGATATGGTTATGAGAATTGATAAAATGATCACCAAAGTGAAATTGCATAGATCTTTTATAAAATTCTCTCAACACATTCTTTAAAGAAATGTATGGAGGTTAGTTTGGAGAATTTGTATGTGGATATTGGGGCTTAAAGGGTTAAGACCTTAAATTTCATACTTAAAAATATTTTATGTACATAGGTTTTCCTTTCTGTCAAGAATAATGCTGAAACTTAGCAAACCACTGTTCTTTATTCATCCCGCATAAAGAAACATTACTGATAGTAAAGCACAAAATAGGGACACAGACCAAAGCAAAATAATTTCTCTTATCTTGCTTCACATTTGCCTGGTGCTTGATCACATCCTACGCTTAGAACTTGGCTCAATAATATTTTTGTTACACAGGCTATGGGAATATTTATTGATACTATGATTAGATTTGGGGGCAAGAAATTTGTCTTTGTACCCTGAAAAGTGAGTAGCCTGTAATCACTTTTCAATTTCTGGATTATACTATTACCATTGTTAATTGTCTTACAGCTTGTACTTTGTTTATTACCTAGACCTAGAGGAATCAAAATATAGAGAAAATAGTTTAAAAAGAAGTACACAAAATTAAATAATTGAAATCCACATGAAGTCAAACTCCAAGCAGTGTGTATAAATTCATTAGTGTGCTATTTTGGAAACTCCCATGTAGGATTCAATAAATTGCACTTAAAGTTAGTTACAATAAAACGCAACATTAATATTTTATATTACATTCTGTGTGGTACAGAGTGTAGGCACATCGAAGAGACAAGGCAAGCATTTCTCCTTCAGGTTCAATACTCTGTTTTGTAAGAAAGGGATCCCAGGGTTGTCCAGAAAAATTTAAGTAGAAAGAAAAAGCATTAAGTTGGCAGCAACTAAGGTGCATCTTTCACATCGCACAACTGTGTTTCTAAGTGACTACCACAGTCGTTAACTGCTGAAAATACAGTCAGCCACCTTAAACTATTTTTACACCAAGCTTATGTTAATAGCAATTTGCTTTTTTGCTAAATACCCTTGCAAAATGGAACTTGACCTTTCACAACCTTTATTTATAAAATAACTGAGATAGTGCATGCATTCTAACTGGTTAAAAACCTATAGTTTATTCTGCCGGTAAACTCATAGAAAACTTAAAGTTATTTTATAAAAGCAATAGACCACACTTCCTATGGGTTTACTGGCGTGATAACCCACTTGGGATGTTGGAAGAACACTCCAAAAACTTGTAAATCACGAGCCGAATCCCGAGTGGGTCATCACGCCAGCAAACCTATAGAAAGTGTGGTCTATTGCTTAAATAAAGGACAGTAACAATGCCCCTCCCTTTAGGGTCTGCTCCTCATACAATGGCTAACTTTAACCAATGGGTTTTTTTAAGGAGCAAGTGACTGAAGATTAGAAAGCAATATTGAGCCTTGACTCCAAGATACAGTTTTGATGACTCAAAATGATTATCTAATCAACTTGAGGGAAGTTAAATAAAGTCGTGGATGGAAATTAAAATTCTGAACAAGCACTAATCGACCTGTCACAAACCCAGGGTTCTCAATAGATTTTTAAGTAGGAGGTGATCATTGATAAAGTAGGAGGCTCTTCAGCAAAGCCAGAGGTGTCAAAACAAAGCAAAGAAAAGCGACTTAAACATAAAGTAAGCGGCTATAAATCCCAAAGTAAGCGGCGATCAATCGCCGGGTGCCGCCTTCTATTGAGAACCCTGCAAAGCACACCTAGCAAAACCTCTACACAGCAGGAAGATAAGGAAAGCCTCCTGCATGACCCTTATTAGTTTCTTCACGTATTTTTCACTTTAAACAAGAACACTCTTACAGCAGCAGTCACTCTTGCTTAGAGATTAGATCGAAAAATGAGGAGGAGATTAATTCTACTCGAAACAGGAGGTTTTTTACTTCCTACTTAACCTATGTTCATACTTTTTATTTGTTTATGAATTGATTTAGTATGCATGTTAGTGACGACTGGAAATACTTCTGCAGTCGCACGCTATACATATTAAATACACGAAAATTCAAGGGCCTCGATTGTAGACGAATTACCATCATTGCCAGAGATCAAAAAGTGATTTACATGGCTCGTCATTTCAATCATTGCCGAAAATAAACAGCATGCTCCTCACAAGACTCATTTGCATACAATGAAAGTTTACAACACCTGACCATCGCAGATTTGCTAATTAAGATTCTTCTTCTTTTTTTTTTTTTCTGACCACTCAATGGTGTTCACTTGATCCAAAATAATCAACACTTTGAAGTGACAGAATTCCTGGACCGACAGGTTTTGGAAAAGCTCTAAATTTAATCTTTCCTAAGCTTTCTTCGTAAAACATGCATGGCTTCAATTACGCAATGATTGTTACTCCCAGTTTCCACAGTCTCCGCAAGGAACATCTGGCACAATGACCCCCCTTTTGTGTCCTAATTAATATGACTAAAAACACATTGCAGATTACGAGTCTTGCTGCTTATGCAAGCGAGGCTAAAAACAGAGAAGGACAAACTGCGAATAAGCCCATTTAAACTTGACTTGACTGATTACACCCTCACATGCTAGTAACAGTTGTTCTTTTTAGTGATTTAGTCACTTTCTTCACCTGACTTCTCATCCATTTCCATGCTCACATCATTATCCTGTTTCACTTCTACACGTGCAGCCTCTAATGTAAGCTGTTCAAGAGTTTCACCAAGCATGTGAACACTAAAAGTGTCCTCTCGCTGAATGCCAACTGCCTTGTGAAAGTAGCCGATAGCTTCATGATGATTTCCCAGAAGACTATAAACAAATCCTATAGCAGAGTAGGTGGATGCTTTGTTTGGAACTAAAATGAGAGCCTGTTTATGATACCGCAAAGCTTCTTGGTATCGCTCCAGTTTGCGGCAAACATGGCCCAGGTTATTGAGCAAAGTTTCCCAGGTTTCTGCCAGGGCTTCTCCACTGTTACCCTGTGCTTTCTGGAGAGCTTCTTTGAAATACTTCTCAGCAGCAACATAATCTCCGTTTTGGAAAGCAATCACTCCCATTTCCTGTTTAACAAATGGATCATCTGGTGAAAGAGCTAAAGCCTGCAGAAAGAACCTCTCAGCCAGCTTAGCATTATTGGTCTTGCCATACTCAAGGCCAATGTACAGAAGTGGCAGATGACATCGAGGCATCAACTTAGAGGCAATGAAGTATGCTGCCATTGCCTGGTCATGCTCACCTTCCGCAGCAAAAGAATGACCGAATGCAAGCCATGCTGGGCCATAAACCCGTTCCAGACTTGTAGCTTTGCTAAAATACCTGCGTGCCTGTTCGTATTTTTCAATGACATAGTAATAGCAGCCCACGGCATACCAAGCTACTGCCCTCTGTGGATAGTTGTCGACCAGTTTGTGTCCTAGGAAGAACAGCTCATTCGTTTTCTTCAACTCCACCAGGCATGTAATATGAATGGGTAAGCAGGCCTCGTGATAAGGATCTGAACGGAGGACGGCAGAGGTCATCTTGAATGAAAGACTGTAACTGTAGTTGTAAAAGTGCCGCTCTGCCATTGCAGTGACTATGTCGAGGTTGTCATTCAGACTTTCCAGGCCAGATGGAAGCTTGGGATCAATTGGCTTGTTATACTTCTTTGTTTTGCTCTCATATAAGAATTTTAGGAGGTCAACTTCTTCAGGCATGCACTGTTCTGAGAAGGGAAGAGAACTCAAAAGCGATCTTTCTTCCTTTTCAGTTAGCATGTGATGTGAAACAAGGAGATCAAACGCTTCAAAGCAATGCACGTCACTTCTTAGAGCGTCTTTATAAGACTCTGTAGCCAAACTTCGGTTATCCATTGCTTCATAAACCGTGCCTTTTAGCAAGAAAACAGCACTTTCCAGTTTTTTTGTTCCTCCAACAAAGCTCAACTCTGTCGGAAGTTCTTTATCCCCCGACTCTTTTTGCTCCGTTTCTAGGATCTCTAACGCTTCTTGCCACTGCTTCAGCTCAGCATGACATTTTGCAGCCAGATAACGACAGGCCAAGTTCGTCTGTACAACTCCTCTGCTCCTCAAGGAATGAGCGGCTCTTTGGAACTGGCCAGTCAAAAACAGTGTTTGGGCGAACCAGTAGACGTCTTGTATGTTTCCATTAGATAAGGAAACGGCTTTATCTGCCCAAAATAATGCTGTTTTATACAGATGTAGGTCGATATATTGACGAACGAGGTTTCGAAGCTGAGAAATATCAACCTTCCCGCCAGACGCCATCTTGGATTTTGTAAGAAAACCGCTTTCCTGTTAGGTGCTGGGTGCAAAACATAATCTTGGGGGAGTAGGGTAAGATATCAAAATTTAATTTAAAAAACGAGGAAGTTTTTATCGGGTTGTTTTATAGACCTCGAAGCTTATGATATTGATTCTTCTTGGAAAATATGATATCATATAATATTTACGTCATATTATTCGTCAGATTTGTTTTCCAAAGAAATGAAAGTTAGCGCCGGATATGATTCCGCCCCTCCCCAGACGGTAATTGCATTATATCCGACACCCGCGAGAAGTGGCAAAATGGCCGATTATTGATATCTGATGCAGCGCGTGTTTAGAAGTCTTTCCTCTATTTTTCTGTATTACTTGGTCGGAAGCCTTCTTGCAAGACTCGTGTTGTTTGAGTACGGCCTAGAGATGTAGTTGCCTTGGACGTTTTTTAACTTGCACGCAACATTTCTGCAAACATGTCTTCGGGAGCAGACAAGGCAGTGAAGAGCAAGGGTAAAGCGCCAGCAAAACCCCCAAAAACTAAATCAACGAAAGGTCGGTACAACTCAACTTTTTAATGTTTGATTTGATTTCTTTTGTTTTCAGACGATAATAAACTAGGCCATTTTCGGGTTAGAATATAGCTTGATTTATCTTAGAGACCTTTTTCCTCTTTTGTTTTATCAAATATTTTATCAAAAGATTGTCCTGCATATTTCCACTCGAACCATTGATATGCTTATTTCAAGTACGAAATCGATTTGTTTGTTCATTGTCTCAGGTCAAAACTGTTGCCTTTTTGTTCTATTATCTAGTTAACAATTGAAGCTTTTTATTTTTGCCTTCATTATGTTCAGCAAAGGAAGTTTCGACGAACGATCAGCGATTTCGTGGGGATGGTGTAAAGTTTAAGTGCAAGGTATGTTCCCTGTTATAAGACTTGACCTGAGATCTTCCTTATTTTTTAAGTATGTATTATCTCCTTCCCTATGCTCTTAAGTTCCCGTAGTTTGTTTTTGTTTATTTGGAGGTAGATTGAATTTTTTAACAGACATCAAAAGCATGTTTTGAAAAATAATGAGAACTGTATAAACATCACACCACCTTCATGGTGTAATGTAAGCTGACGTTTCCAAGGACGTTATTACTTTCAAAGACCTGTTCCGTATGGTTTGTTCTCCAGATTGTCGGAACCGCAGATGTGGCTAGTGCGAGGGGGGACTCCATGTGTGCGGAAGCAATCAAGAGACTTAAGGTACGTCGCCGGTAATTACTTTTCAATAAAACGCCACTAAAACGTGTTTATAAAACAAGAGACGGGTGTTAAACAGATGCTTTTTTTCATGGTGTGATTTACGGTTAGGTTGGTAACAGCAAATCACACGTTCCTTATGAAAACAAATATAGATATTTCATCCTCTATGACCCTGTCTCTTTGACATATTGGATAATAGGATTTGGTTTAAGTACTAACTGTAAAATGTTAGCTTTTTAGCCAGGGAAAGAGGCTTAAATATGGAGACGAGTGCTCAGTTTTACTCTATAGTCAAAGACTGAGAAAGTAGTTATTTTATTCTGAACTGTCTGTAAACATAAATGAATAATAACGTAATGTACGTGAACTTCCCAATTCTTTAACAGATACATATTTAAATTAATGCAATTTATTTTCTTCAATAACTTGCACTTAAGGTAGGAGTCTTAATATTAATATTAACTCTAATCCAAGTTGCCCTCTTTCTGCTGGTTTTATAGGGGATGGGGATAGGCATGGCTTGAATCAAAACAACAATCATTCATCTTATATCTGTACTTTTTTCAAAACATTTTTTTTTCCCAGGCACAAGCATTAAAGTCACACAAAGAGAGTGGAGAACACAAGCAGAAGATTATTTTGTACATCAATGTGAAAGGGATCAGAATAATGGATGAGAGAACGCTGGTAAATTAAAGTGCTTCAATGTTTAAGTGTGCAAATATCCTAGGGGTACCCCTTTCTCTCTCTTCATGACCAGTGATTTTGTTATCTCTGTGTCCTGTGTCCTTCACACTTTAAAATCTCCCAAGATGCAAAATAATTCATGGCATGTGTCCCATAGGATGCAAAGAATGGTTGATCAATTTGAAAATTTATTGGGAGAATATCCTGTTCATGTGATTTCTGTGGCTTTTGTTTAAAGATGCATATTTATTTAGTCTTTTTTGTGCTTTAAATATATAGAAGGACTATATTTTGATTTTAGTAAACTGTAATAAAGAGTTTTGGCATCTATGTCCAGATTAACAGTTAATCTGGAGATAGATGTCTGGTTACATAAATTAGGCCCAAGCATGACTCCTTGTAATTTTGAACTGGGACCCATTTGTTCTGGACTGAGAGTCATGATTTTTCACAAGGTGAGTCCCAGGACTCACCATAACTATTTGTAACAAAATCACTGCATGACCCAGTCCTCAGCCCCCTGCATGGGGAATCTGTCAACTCATTACTCAAGTCTTTGCTTTACCAGTGGACTGTGGTATTGTTTCAATTTACTTGTGTTCTTGGGTACCCATTGAATCCTCATATTTTTTTAGTAAATATACATGCTGGATTTCATAGGTTATAGCTTCTGAACAATGCTGCCCAATGGATAATCTCTATCCAGCAGATAACACAATAATGGTTTTCGTAATACTCATGCCCTGAATAGTGATTTAACCATTAGATATTACTATCCAATTTTTGAACAACCACGTGGTTGAGGTAAAGACTCAAATATCTTCGTATTTAAGGGAGATGTTTAAAAAAGAGTTGGCTGTCATTGATTAAAAGTGTTTATGAAGTCATTTGTGTATTGTTATGTATGATCTCTTATAGAAAGTGCAGTATGAACATCCCATCAATAAGATATCATTCATAACCCATGACCCAGAGGACAAAAGGATATTTGGTTATGTTTGCAGTCAACCTTGTACCACTGGACACAAGATATATGCCATTAAATCTGAAAAACCTGTAAGTAAATAGATACCTCTGTGAATAGACCCGTTGTAGCTAGCCATTCACGTGGTGCAAAACCGCCATGCTGGAGAGCAAAAGTCGCACTGGGACAATTAAAGACAAATAAAAGACATACATTTATTTTAAATGATAATTTCCTTTGTTTGTCTTGTCCCATTTACTTTTGCTCTCCAGCATGGTGGTTTTGTACCATGTAAATGGCTAGCTGCAACAGGTCTATTTCTTTGTGGTTTTTTTCTTTCACACCATCAAAAACTAAAGTGAAAACCAATCCAATACAATGAATGGCACTGAAGCCAAAAACAGGCCAGTTCCATGTTCCAAAACCTTCACTTTCCATATGAGGCCAAGTAGAATAACCTTCTTGTGAAAATGATTTTCTTAGTTGAATGTGATCAGGAATTATTTTCATATCAAAGACTTTGTACTTTCCCTTAGAGATGTGAACAACATTTCTAAGTCTTTGGTGTGTACAGTTTACCACTGTCAAGTTATTGGGATGTAAAAATATCTCTATGAAATTTGAGATGCTGTAATTTTGTCCCCCTATGAGGGGTACTTTTGATAGCAGTCAAAAAAAAATATTCTGCCAGGTGTTTTTTTTTGTGAAGTGCAATCTTTTTCCTTTCAGTTTCAAAAGGTGCATAACCAACCAGGGCTGTCATCAAGGGTTGGGGACCAGAGATTTTCCCTAGAGGCTATTATGAACATGACCCTGCCTACTTTAGTAGGAAAATAGAAGAAAAATAGAACCAAACAATATTCCTAGCAGTTTTATTCCCTGCCTACTTGTATCATTTACCTGGCAACTTGAAAGTTTAATGACAGCCATGCCAACTAAACTCCATTTGTTAGAGTTTTCTTTGATTCACATGTAATTCCAGAAAATATCCAAACCCACCCCCGCTGAGGGTAACTGAAAACTCCAAGGGGACTTATGGGGTCAGGGTTAGGGTTAGGGTTAGGGGTTAGGGTCAGGTTAGCCAAAATTTTGTAAAGTAAAGTATAAATGCAAAACAGAATTTTTTAGGGGTAAGGTTAGGGTGGTTAGCATGCTGGACGTACAATCAGAGGACCCCAAGTTTAAGCTCCGCCCTGAGTTAGTAATAGCTGGATATGTTTTTGGTAGTTCCAAGTTCAAAGCCCTGCTTGTAATAGCCAACTTCTTTGGCTCAGAGGTTTCATTAAAAGCTGGGACCCGGGTACCAGCAGCAGTTTACTCTAAGCACAGTACCTACCTTCAAGCCAAATAAGAGTAAATTCTTAAAATTACTCTCCAACTTTCCCCTCCTACTCAACCTTTTGCACCCTTGTAGTTTTGAAAAAAAGTAAAATCCTGGCCTCAGGCCAGTTAGAAATCCTTACTTGTTCTGTTGATCTCAGTTATTGTTTGTTTGCTGTGCTGTAATTTTCTGTATTATTAGCAGTAAACGATTAACATTGTAAAGTCAATTTTTTAACCTTCCGTGGGTGAGTATGGATATTTCCTGATGAATTATTGTATGATCTGACTGTGCAGGCTGGAGCTGTAACAGGAACCTTGTATGAACTGTTCCAAATTGTATTCAAAATGAGACAAGAAGCTGGAATATCCAGGAAGGTTCAAAATGCAGCCAATAATTCATCCCAGATGTCAAATGGTAAGGAATTATCCATGATCTTGGGGTGCAGTACATTGTCATAAATTCAAAGGGAAAATCTTGATGCAGGCAAGACTGCTCAGGGATTGCCTTTTCAGCCAGCAACTGGCGACTTTTGCCACATGTGAAGAGGCCAGTCGCCAGTAACTAAGCAAAGCCTTGCAGTCTTTGGCACTTAAATGGTCCTCGTGCACAAAGATTGTCTCCTCCTGCAAAAGGAAATTCACCTGCTGCTCAATTTGAAAAGGAAAACTGTGCTGCCTCCCATTTACAAAAACCATCCAGTTAAAAATCTGAAGCATAAACATTTATTTACAATGTTTTAATATTTATTGGCCTTGTGAGAGAAGGACAATCTACAGAGTTTATCCAAGCCAGCTGGAGAGATGCAGTGCCTCAAACACAAGGCTGTGTTCTGGCAGAGCTCGGTGACCCCTGGTGCCTAACTTTTGTTCTCGGGGGACTAGAAAATCTTAAGCTTTTTCATAGAAATCATATGCTGGGCACCCTGGATTTCACAAGTTCACAGCACTGGGCTCCCTTCAATTTTTCTTAGAGCACAGCCTTGAAACAAAAGACATATTTTATGAATTTTCCAAATAGAATGGTGTGGAACATTCAATTTTCCATATTTCATTTCTGGTAATACCTGAGTTTGAAATCAGGAGGTCCTTCAAAGGTGGGTAATCCTATAAATAAAGCTTTCATATAGAAATATTTACTCCTGTGCAGTCAAGTCTGTTAAAGGGTGAAGAAATTTCAGACCTCTAGCAGGGCATTAATGAACTGTGTGGAAAAATAAGCATGTGTGAAAGGAGCCAAGGGTGTACAAAGATGGTGGGTATAGGGTAAAGGTTTCAACGTCACAAGCACTGACGGCAAAACATAATGAAATTGATAATCTATGAAATGAATTAACTTCAATCCAAACTCTGATTAGATTGATTTTTTGTCTTTTCTGTTAAATATAGGTCCACAGCCTCGCAACTCTCCTGGTTCTGATGGAATCTATGAGGTAAGTATCTATATTATTGGAATTTTTTTAACCTGATGAAAAAATAGAAGGAAGAATTTCATTGTTGGCTTAAGTCAGGAGAAAAAGTTCATTTGTTCAAAAACTTGACTTCTTGCTGTTACTGTAAATTGAATAAAAATGAAGAAATGATCGTCGCAGTGAACGCAATTTATGCAATTGCATAAGGAAGCCTGAAAAAATTCAGGACTTCAACTGGGTTTGAACCCGTGACCTCGCAATTACCGGTGTGATACTCTACCAACTGAGCTATGAAGCCACTGACGTTGGGAGCAGGTCAGTTGTGGGTTCATATGTTCCCGTGAAAGAAATGAGTGTTAATGATATATGAAATAAATCTTAATAGTGGTGTAAAGGTCATTCCATTAGTACAAATAGTGAAAACCATCCTTATGTCTAATTTGTCTTGATTTTAGGTGCCATATAAAAATGGAAAAAACAAACATGAGAAAACTAGCCCTCAACTTGATCATGAATATGCTGAGCCAGTACAACCCACTTCAAGAAAACATCCTCATTATAAAGTAAGAAAATTATTTTAATGCTCTGGATGTGCTCTTTGATCTATTGGAAGTCAGAATTAAACAAAATTTCCAAATTTCATTTTGAATAATGCTGAAAAACAAACAGTACAGTATGAAAGTACTGCTGTCATGTTGTGCTGATACATCACCTCTGCAATAAATGCAGGTACATGCAAGGGGCTCCTAGATAATAAATTTATACCTGTGTACCTATTTTTAAGGGTTAAAAATTTTTCCCAAGACCATCAGGATTTTTTAGAGGAGTCAGCCATATCCAAAGATGTCCGAAGATTTCTGATGACTCTTGAAGTTCTCAGTTTCAGTTTATTTTCCATCTAAAATCAGAGATTTAAGGGAAAATACAATCACATGATCACATGATCTTTTCCTTTCTCACAATGGTTTGAGTTAATTTTACCAAGCTGTCACTAAGGACTAGAGCCTAGGGATTTTCCCCAGCAGTTTGTACAGGAAACAATGATTATTCCAAAAGAACGTCCTAGTGATTTAATTCCCCACTTACTGATTATGTATACCCAGCAAATTGAAATCTTAGTAACAGCCTTGACTTAACTTTTAATTTTGTTTTGAAAATGTGTCTGGTAAAGGTGTTATAGCTTTCCACTAGCCATGAGCTTGATGTGCTAACATTACTCCTTTAAGTGTAACTGCTCGGAAGTATATCCTTGATTGCTTCTTCTTCTGTTTAATATCAAGCAAATGTTCTTTGATTAGGTTCCAAACAGTCCGCCTCTACCAGCTACACCATCTTCTCAGACCAAACAAAACAGCAGAGAAGATGTAGAGGAGAAAGAGATGACAGCATCAACGCATGTCTCCAATCAATCTACCCATTTAAGCCAATCAAAAAGCTTTGACAAGGTTTGCTTCTATGTTTTGTACATCTACGTGAATGTATGCCCTTGGGATTTTACTTCCTGGTACTTTCCCAGGTGTTTGCTGAAGTCAGCTTATTTCATTCTCATTACAATAAAAGTCAGTGTGGATCAGTGTAAGAGAGTTTTTATTGTGAGTGGCCACACAATAGATTTGTGCCAAATTGAAATTTAAAACTTCTGTTACCTGTTATCTCTATAATTTTATTGACTCTGGGGTTGGTGGTTATTGCTTACAGGAGCCAGATCAAGTGTCACAAGCATCCATTCCAGACTCACCATTCCCAAGACATGACAGCACTTCCAACACGGCATTCTTTGGATCTTCAGTTTTTGAGGCCACTCTAGGCGAATCAGGAATGGCAGACACTGTGTCGGTAGCATCGTCAGCTGATGTATCAATGATTAGGACTGGGTCTGTCTCATCTGGATCGTCAGAGACTCAGAGTGTGCACTCCCGCAGTGATTCCATGGTAAACCAAGCAGCAAACAATGAAGGGACTCAAGTTGGGTTTGCCACCTCCTTTGACAGCAACAGTGATGCTGGGTCTGCCTCGGACATGAAGACTACTGATGAGGGTTCAGCCCAGACCCAAACTCAAGGAAATTTCTCCATTTCTTTTCCATCATTTGGGGACAAAGAAAAATCAGAGATATCAACAGATCAAGAGACATCTTTTAGTCATGCTGACCCATTTGCATCATCAGCTGCAGACAGTGAAAGAACTCAACCAGTCACTGGTGGAGGTTTCTTCACAGAGTCGTTTGCATCGTTTGATACAGCATTTGGTAACTTCGAGACCAAGGATGATGATGTGGAGAAACAGAAAGGCAGTGAATCTTCAAGTGATCCCTTTGCACCATCAGGTGGCACCCAAGAAAAGGACAACGTTTATGAAAATGTGGAGATTTTTGCTTCGGAAACCAATTTTGAGGCAGCATTTTCTTCAGAGCCATTTTCTGTGTCAAAGGAAAGCACTGATGTTGTTTCAGATGTCAGTGAAGTTGCCGCAGATGAAAAACCCTTTGACGAAAAAAGTCAGTCGGCTGCAAACACTGCTGTGAGTTTCTCGTGGGATAATGCATTCACAGAGGTGGAAAACAAACCAAAACCAGATGCAACACAGAGTTCTGCCTCATCAGAGCAACAGTTTTCATGGGCAGAAGATTTTGCTGCAGATGATGGAGATATTAAAGTTAAAACAGATCCAAATACTGCAGCATCATTTTCTTGGGACGATGCTTTTGGAGGGGCCGCTCTGGCAGATAAAGAATCTACATGGGATGTTGCTTTTGGTGGAAAAACAAAAGAGGGCAGTAACTCTCTGTTTGACTCATCACCATTTGGTGATACGTTTACGTCATCAACAGAAGATTCATCTGGTAATAAGCAGAGAGGTTCTGGAGATAATCTGCAATCAGTGCCAGAGTCAACTAATCCCGATAATTCGTCATTTTTTGATGATTCATCATTTGCTCCTTCCTTGTCTCCTCAAAGTAATGAAGGTAATGCCGGTGATTTACCTAATGAAAAAATCAAGGAAGATCTTGCATTTTCAAATGACCCATTTGAAGAGTTCAACATTGGCACGCAGCCTGTGGCAGATCTCAAGGAGATTGCACCAGAGGAGAATACTATTAGTTTTGAGTCAGAAGTAAACACTCCTGATCAGGATTCTGCTGTAAAGGAAGTTGTATCAAACATAGGATCTTTTGAAATAAATCCAAAAGAAACAGTTGTTGCTGTGGGCACGAGTGAAACAGTAATACAGTTAAATAATCAAGTTCCTGTGTCTGTTATCGAAGATAACTTGTCAGAAGAAGGTGACGATGATCAAATGAATGAGGAAAAACCATCCGATCTCCAGGTTCTAGAGGCAAAGCTATCACTATCTCAGAGGCCTATTTCACCAAGCTCACCACCCCCTCTTCCACCACGCCCTGTTGTCTCTGCACCCCCCCTCCCAGCCAGACCACCAAGCTCCAATTCTACAGGAATGTCTCCTATGAGCCCATGCATGTCCACAGGGTCCCCAACACCAAACTCTCCACAGCAAGGAAAGACAGGGAGTGCTAAGAAAAAGCCACCTCCGCCTCCACCAAGAGTGGATTTAAATGAACAATCTTCAGTAGATCCTTCCAATCAGAAAGGAGCTTTTCCTGATCCTTTTGGTTCAGATTTGTTTGATGATAAATTTGACAAGGGCATGGAGACAGCTGGACAAGAGAGTTCTGACTGGATGGCCTCATGGCCAAGTGCGCCAGAACTACCCCAGAAAGAGAAAACTAAGGACCCATTCAATGACAGCTTTTTTACAGACTTTGATTTCCCACAAAATACAGCAAATAACACATCATCCAAAGATAACTTGGATCCCTTTGCAACAACAGATCCAACCTCTGAGCCATTTCCATCAGGCTTTGGAAATGAGGACTTGTTTGCAGCATTTACACCTGCAAAAGTGGAAACCGCTTTTGACATTGGGGATCCATTTCAAAATGATATGTCCAATTCCTTTGCAGCATTTACATCAGATGATCCCTTTAGTGATATCAGTGATCCATTTGCCGACAGAGGAATTTTAAGTGATGATCCATTTGCCGACAGTCCAAGTAAACTTCAAGCTGGAGAATCTCTGACTCTAAATGAGGTTTGTATTGTACAACTACTGTTGATTAACATCCCTGCGAGTAACCTGTTTTCTCTTAAAAAAGTTACAACAATTGTTCTTATATTTCTCATCCTCAGTGACCCGGCGGCAGTGAGTCGGGTCAAGAATAGGGCCAGCAAAAGTTTTCAACATGTGAGAGAGCTCTCTTGTCCTTGTATTTCCACAATCCTGGTCAAAAAACAGTGTCAAAGGGAGGTACTATATTAATTCACTCTTTTATCCACAGGCTCAAACATTATTTTGATCCACTCTGAAGAACATGATTAATAGCAGCACTAATTTTGGAGGACTGAGCGTATTTCATTTTTGTCACTTGGGAGGGGGCAGGAGGTGGCTCCGAACAGTAATTGTGTGGGGTGTGGGGCAGGGTGTATAAAGGAAGCTGAGACAAAGGAAAAACTCCAAGTGTCAGATCCTTGCGCAGAGTTGTCATCTGAAATAATTATCACATTTTATTTTATTATAAAATTTATTATTATCATTGTTAAAAAAAACTAACTAAACAGATATTACCACACAATAAGTACTGCAAGAGAGTTGTCATGTAAGTGGTCACATTACAACATATATTTCTTTTCCATAATGGTATTAATGGCTTGGGAGTGATTGAGGTGATTGGAAGACCAACACCCACATTCCAGTATTATATATTCTTCACTATTGCTTAGTTTAGTCTCAGCACTTGTGTTCGTTATGGAGTGCTTCTGAAATGAGAAATCAACCTTTGATCCCTACTGGTTTGTTCTGTTTTGCAGAGCTTAGTTGCATCAGACGATGCTGATTCATTTGCCTAAAATAAGAATAGTATTTAATAGGTATGTAAAACTTTATTTATTATTGTTCTAAAAGTACAGCTCTAAGGTATTCCTCCATTTTCAAATTTTCGCATTCTTTTCTTAACAGTCTAAGTGATACTAAAACCCATAATAATTTTACACCCCTTTTAAGACGACAAACAACCCTGCCCTTTTCACATTATAGTCCTTTCCCTGAGGACATTATATCTATGAGCATTATTTAATGGTTTTTTAGTGATTGGTTTGACAAAAATTTGAAACTTTCAGGCAAGAAATTAACAACTATTATCTTTATGTAGACAATTATTAGAACATTTTCTAATAAAAACTGAAGCAGTGAACTTTATTTTTAGGATTAAGAGGCTGCAAGATGGTTAAACTTCAGATCTACTGATAAAAGTAAAAGCAAAACTGGCTCTTATTATTGTCAAGTCATAACATAACTTATCCCTAATCAGATGGTATAATGCTCCATGATCTACTCGACAGTGACTGGAAGTTTGAATTAATAACCAGCTGTCTACATCATTCTTCTGGGTGGAACAATGCAGGCACTCAATAGTTACTCTAGAGTGAGGTGTATTATTATTTTACACTTGTCAAAATCATCATAGTACCCACCTGGCTAAAAAAACATTCCTCAGTAATGGTTTGACTGTGTTTGTTGCACACAACTTTGTTCTAATGAGAAGTTGTGATGTGTTTGGAAGAGATTCATTATAATAACAAATATGAACTGTTTCAACGTTTTTTTCTGGGATTAGTCATTTGACATGCTCTTGCAGTTTTGTTGAATGAACAGGCGCAAAATCAGAATAGAGAGAAAACACCAACATCTGAGTCACCTATTGGACGTTTGTTGGAGAGGTGTTGCCCAAGGAGTACTGTTATATATTAAGCAAGCATTTAATACCGTATGTGGGTACTGTGAAAAATAGGCTTTTCAAGGACAAACTGTTTAGTCTGGGATATAGAAAATAATATGGGTAGTTTGGTCTAGAAAAGTGAATAATTCTTAATGGGAAATAATTTGACCAGTAGAATGAAAAATTGTAACTTTCATGACAGTATCATTTCTAGTGGAAAGCTGCAGCTGGGCATTAAAGTAAAAGAGTTCCCAAAGTTCCTGGCAGGCTTTTAAAGCTGTCTAGTCTGGGATGTAGAAATTGGATGACTTATGTAGAAAAATGTATAATGTTTACAAAAAATTAACAAGGAAATGGAACTTTCATATTTGGCATTATTTTTAGTAGAAATCAGGCCATGAAAATTATGGAGTTCCTTGTTAATAGTACTGTTATTCTGGGATCGGGTGGGATCATGCCTATTGTAGAGAAGGATTACAAACTATGTAAAGCTGAACATGGGTCTACTGGCGTAAACTTTAGGTTCAGGGTCACGGTGGCGCACAATGACTCCAAATTGTCAAATAGTTTGCCCCTCATGCGAGATGTGATGACTATTTGACTCAGTATATTCTCAACATCTCTTGACAGTAAGTAGACAATGTTGAGAACATTTGGCTACAAGGGCTAAATAGCAAATCTATCTCATGGCAGGGATGTGGGCGTGGTCATTATATGCAAAAAAATCGAGTATTTGCAAAATAATAACAATGAGGGAGTTTTTGTTGATGAGTCCCTCTAGAGTAAATTCTGACAAGCAAACATTACCTGGTAACTGCAGTCTCTTGAGGCAGATAGAAAACAACCATCAACACAAAGATAGATTGAAACTGTGACAGCAACAAAGACAAGTGCAGTCACAAGTGCAGGCTTCCTCTTCAATACTTTAAAACTGGCCTCTTTTTTAAGACTGTTGACAAACCAGAAGACTTAACAACAGTAACTTAGTTATATCTAGGAATTTTGTGGGAGGAAGGTTGATGTTGAACAAAACAAATTTGTTCTTATGGTAAAGATTTTTTCCATTTTTGATATAAGTATTGTAAAGAAGTGAACTCTCTTTACTCATAGTCATGAAAATTTATCGGAGGCTGCACAAGAGTAGAAAGTGAAACAAACTAATTTTTAGCCCCTTTTGTTCTGTAGTAATTTGAATCATTTCATCGACTGGAAAGAAAGTTGATTTTTCCTCTTAAGAGGACATAGATTCCGATTATAAAAAATTATCAACAGTAAAACAGGATGTTGTAAATATGAGTACATTTAGTGATAAAAATGTGACAACTTCCAAGCAGTGTATTATCCAGGTCCCAGTTGAGCAAAAGTTGGATAGTGCTATCCACTAAAGAAATTGCCATTGCAGTGGTGAGGAACTATAGACAAGTTGTGTTTCTGGGAAATTGCCCACCTACCCCTCCCCTAAGCCAACATGTTGCCCTAAGTGAGAGTTAAGTGTTAATATTAACTTAGGGGAGGGGTACATGGTCAGTAATTCCCAGAAACTTATATTGTTTGTTGCCCTATCTGTTGGATGGTGATTTATCTGGAATATAGCTCTATCCACCTTTTGAACAACCGGGACCTGCTAGTAAGGAAATGTGGCATATTATTAAACTAAAACTTGCAACTGAAAATGTATGGCTCAGGATCTTTGATTCTTTATTAAGTGTTCATCTTGACGTACCCCATGTTTACCGGATTTATCACGCTGATTTACGTCATCAGTATGAAATTTCTTTCGCCGAGGCGCAGATGTTCCTCCTGGCAAAATGTCCCTAGCAGTGAGGAGCAAGGAGAAAGGGCTTTATTCCCAGGCTACACATTCAAACGCTACTTGCAAAAGATAGGGCTATACCTCGTGCTTTGTTCAAAGAGCAGAGACGTTTCTTGCATACTGTGGGAGGGGAGTTACTCACCTATGGAGAACGACAAGGTACTTGGCAGTCAAAAACGTAAAAAATGCCCCTTAAAGGTACCAAAACCTCTGCCTTATGGGCGTGGCTCAAACCCCGAAATGTACCTAACAATCAGTTGAGTGACAAGTAGTTTCCATCATTTTGTAGCTCATCACCCGGGTTAAGGTTAAGGTTGAGGCCTAATCCCGGTTGTTAAGCATGAATCTCCTAGGAGTATTGCTACCCCCCCCCCCCCTGCCCCAGCAGATATCACCATTACCCATATATAAACCTGCAATGTGGGTAAAGAAAGACAAAGTAAGGGAAAGTTACTTGGAAAAGAGCACGTGTTAACTACTCGATCTCCACAGAGCTTGACACCTTGAAAGGCTCCTAAATTAAAGGTACTTTGACGGTACAACTCCCAAGACAGCCCCATAAAAATAATCATTTTTGCTGGAAAGAACCCTCCCCCAGGTCCACATTTTACTGTCAACTAGTGTGAACATAACCTCCAGGAATTTTGTCTTCTCATGTAAGAGCAGCTTACGTGCAGACGTCTCCTATTTTCTTTGTTCCAGAAATAGGAGACAACTGCATACACGCTAGCGTAATAGGGGTTTCATGACACATCAAAATGTTGTCGCTGTAGAGGGCTCTGAGGCAGGGCCCTTCACAACAACTGTCTGGGGATCCAACCTACAGAAGCCTGTGTGAGTGATGTCTTTTGTAATATGGCTGCATTAACAATAGCCTCCCTCGCAGAGGTTCCTGTGGGGGAGGCTACATAGTGACAAGCTATCTTTACAGAGACATGCTGCACAAGACTTGATTAACAGACTCAAAGATAAGGTAAGAAGTTTAGTCGTAGCTTTTGAATGATTTAATTATTTAACAATTGTTTCACTATCATTTTCTTGTTGTTCTATGTACAATGTATGAATTTTTTTCTTTTTTTTTGTAGAACTTTTAGTTTACTATTATGTGACAGGATAGACAACTGGATTTATGTACACTGTTTATAGTATAATCTACTTTGCACCTCTCAAGACAGAGAACAGAGTGCAACTCAATAAACTTAATGGGGCTAGGTCATAAAGTGAAAGGCAAAAATACCAATACTAACTCCACTCTACAAATATTAGTAATCAAACTGACTGAAACATCAAGAGAAATACCACAAAGCCCATACTGGGACATGTCATAACAGGAAAATGTTAAAACAGAACAAACTCTTGTAAAGTTCAAACTGTTCAGCCAAACTTTTGGAAGTTTTTGGTAGTCTAAGCACCCCAGATTTGCACAGTCATATGATTTTGAATGCAGACTGCTTCACAGTCTCATCAATTCTCGCTAACTGCACAGTATGTTTAGTTGACCTGTACATGCGCAGCAAAGACTCCAATACAACTAAAGCCAAGCGACTGGTGCGGGGTCCTGACCCGTAAATTTTAGAGTGAAATTGAAAAGTGAAAGGTCAAGATAAAGATAATGTAAAAGTTAAAGGCCAATGGCGTGCTCATTACACCCCTCTCTTGATTAGTGTACATTTTACAGATATTATTTAAAGCTACTTACTGCTACACAGAAAGGAACAAGGATTTCATGTCACACCAAGGAATCAAACTTGGGTTCTATTATGAGGCAGGCCACACACTAACTGTGTCAATTTTTCAAGCTCCTAATACTGGGGTCATTGTAACAAAGGGGTTCACTATATCAGGTTTCTAGAGAGAGGGATATAGGACCTCACTTTAAGAGGATGTAAAAAAGTACTTAAGTTCACACAAACAGAAAGTGTTTATTAGCAAAGAAATTGAGCTCTCAAGATACTCCTTCCTGCTCCTCCAGTTCTGACACAAGCAAAACTACACAATAATGGGATTTGTAACACAATTTCATTTAAGGAAATATACATCTTCTTAATTCTATTCAAGTATCACATAAGGAAGGACTTGCAATGCGCCATCAGAAGAAGGCATCGCTTCTGTCCAGTCATACCATGTGCCGTCAGTCCCATAACGACCGGTAATACCATTTGCTTCTACATGTACATCTAATACTAATTCCTTTGGAGTTGGTGATGTTGGAGTGTCTTGATCTCCCAGCACTTCTTGTGGGAGTACTTCCTCTGTGCCAGATATATTTCCATCAGTCTTTGACTCAACATTTGATTCACTGGTCATGTCTGCAGTTGGAGATTTAGAATTCCATCTGGTGTCTGTGAAATCATTTTTAGAGTCCTGCGAAATGTCTACTTTTGTACTGCTTGACTGGCAATTATTTAATTCAGATTTAACACTAGCTGACTGGTTTTCTTTATCAAATTCCTCTGTTATGCTGACACTTGACTGTGAACTAATTCCAGAATCTACAGAAATACTATTATTTTCAGTACTTTGTGAGTCTGTCATCTGTGGCACTGATGATAAATGTTCTTTGTTTTTGTCCCCTTCCTGGAACATTTGTGACTGGGTTAACTGTGACGAAGAAAATGCACTTTCTGTGTCTCCATCCTGAGATGACTCTGGCAAAGGAGATGAACTAATTTTCTCTTTGTCTAACTGCAAATCGGGAAATGAAGTGGACAAACTACTTGTATGGCCACCCAGTGCTGTTTCTTGACCAGAATTTGGAGTCCCAGGGTGGCTTTCAGAATCATCTGATTTCAAAAGAACACTTGGTGAATTTTCATTACTTGAACAGCTATTACGTTTCCGTTTGACTCCTCTCTTTTTTCCTTCAAGGATTTTAGATTTTCCTGCTCTTTCGACTGATGGAGATGCTGGTTTTTCACCGTCCCTGATAGTTCCATTAATTTGCGGCGATGACAATCTCCCCCCATTGATTGGAGAATCTGTATTACGTAGCGTCTCAAGATGATTAATTACAAGTTTTTGCCATTTTTTAACAAGTCCTTTGGCCCTTTTAGCTAGTTCTTCATTAGTTGTTTTTTTCCGTAGAAGATTTATTGTTTTTCCTATACGTGTTTTCTGTGGAGAAAGAAGATTGCAATGACTATTTAACTGCTAGCAAAATAACAATTACTCTAAAATGCCAATATAGAAAGGAAAACTGACTTAATAGACATTGCAATATCTCTTGCTTCTAGACCGAGACAATTAAATCTGCTATACTGAGAACAACACAGTAAACCTTAATCAAGAGTGCAGGGTTAATTTACCTACAAGAGGCATTAAAAAAGACTACATTTAGTCTCCTTGTAACAGGTTCTAAATTCAATACACAGGCAAGGTGAAGAGAGACAACATGTGGAAACATTAAAGAAAGAGAACCTCACCGGTACCTTGAAAAAGGTGAAGCAAATTTGTGCGTTGTAATTGACACATTCACTATCGTCGAAATATAAATCTGAGAGGGGCGCTAGGAATATACTAAAATTATTTTCGCGTCTCCTTTTTTTAACATTTTAAAAGAGAACTATTTGGCCAGATGTACGAGAAGTGTGTAACTTGCATAATTTTACGAAATCAATTCTACGAAAGGCCTACAGTACAAACAAACCTATTATATCAACAGTTATTTTTCAGCTTTAAAAATATGCACCAAGTGGTAGAACTTTTGATTTTTCAAGCTGAACCATATTTCTATAAAAACGATACTAAAATAAGAAAGGAAACACTGTTATGGAAAAGGTCAGCACAGGGAGTACATTTCCCGGAATTCGACAATGTTAATTTCACTTTTGCCACTCGACAACGCGAAACACTTGAAAAAAATATCATTTTATGAAGGGCAGCTTTCTATCGAGGAGATTTTTACTAACGATCGTGAGTGCAAAAATTTATATTTTTTCCCTTTACTCCAATAACAAGACAAAGTTTATTGCGCTTAAGAGAGTCAGGAACAGTCTGCCACTTTTTAAATTTTGTCACAGAAGAAAGTTGCTCCGAAACTAACTTAATCACTCTTCTTGTCGGTTCAAAATTTCAAACCCACAAAACAACACGCTATTTCAATAAAGTCGTGAGTAATTTCAGAACTAAGATCCACCTTCCTCAAAAGCTAATAAAAAGAAAAACCCGCACGAACTACATGTAGAATCCTTTCACATGCGCTTTTAGATCGTGAACATTGTCAGACCATCCACCTTTAAACGACTGAAGTAATTATATTTTTTCACGCACTGGAAAAATATTAAACAAAAAAGTCGTTACACGAAGGGAAAATCGTCTGCAATTCACCTCAAGAGCCTCCTTGGTGATAGGAAGACGCTCTAAGATCGTGACTACCTCCAAAACGGCCGCCATGTCCAAAACCTGAAAACAACAACGGATGCAAAAAACCGTTAATTTCTTCACAACTGACACGTCAAATGTCCTGAAAATTAGCTCACATTTCCATCAGCGTCTACAACACGTTCTAGGGTGGTTTTGATTTCTTGTGGCGAGTGCTGCATGGAGTTTCCAAGCGAGACCTTTCAAAGCCCTGCCGTTCGCCATGCAAGGCAAACCAAGACATGACGACCGACCGACAAGAACACTCAATATATTATGGGATGCTTGACGTCACACCGCGCAACTATTTATACTCGGGGAAAGAAACATCGCGGGCTCGTCTTCTATTTCGCTCGTTTCAGATCTCTTTCTGTTAATCTTTACCGAGGAGACCAAAGCCAGGTTGTTGAAAGCTGGGTTAAGATAACCCAGAGTTAGTGCGAAATTTGAATTCAGATACGAAAGGTTAAAACGTAAATTCAGTTTAATTCCGTTTTGTCAGCAAGTTGATGATTAAATGCTCTTAAAAATAACAGAGAAAGTTATCCGAGAAAATGTTTTTGAGGAAAAGAAAAACAAACCGGAGTTAAATTTAACCCTGGGTTAAGCGCTAATCGGCCTTCGAACAACTGGGCCCAGGGAATTCTGAGAGTTGGTAAAAGAATTTACTTAGGGGCGTGAAGTCTGAGATGAAAATAAAAAACCAAACTGTCAGTAAAATGTGCAACCCCTATGGTTAACCAAGTTATTTTAAAAAATCATCTTTTTATAATTCTGTGTCTGCCTGATTTTATTCAACATTCTATCTACTTCATTTTATTACTTCCTCTCACTTTCCTGCTTCTCCTAAAATAACCGATCGGGTGACTGCAAAATAGCCGCCCCTAACGACATCCACCGCTCTCACGAGTCCGGTCTCCTCCGAGCAGTGTGGGCTTATTTTCCAGAACAGAAGTTTGGTAATCGAGCCCAGCAAGAGATCATGAAAGGAGAGAGAGGGAGTTAGGGCTTGTATTTTTAGAAACAATGACGACTTTGCCCAAACAGTTTCCGGTGACCTGGCTGACTTCCGGAAGACTCGCTTTCATTGTTCTATTACGATTTCTTGAGCCTAGAGATTTCCGGGACGCTTCCAGGAATTTGTTTCCGGTTCCAGACCTTAATCAAAGTATTATGGCAAAAGATAATTTATAGTAAAACGTAGCAGCATAATTAACTTCTGCACTTTTTGCTAAAATGAGCATAATTTACAAAAACTAGGATAACTGTTGGTATAATTTTAACAACATGCTAGCACTGGTAGAAGCATATTATGCTACTTTTGCGAGCACAATCTATCAAAACCTAGAAGCGTGAGGTCAAGTTGGCTAGTTCTTTCGGGGGGTTTCGTGGAACGAAACGAAGGATGTATGGGTCTTGGTTTGATATCCACCACTAAAAAGTGAAAGTGTGAATATCAGAATAAGTGAATGAATAAGTGTCTTTGAACGTCGAAACATCGTCGTTTTTACCTTTTTAAACTAATTACATGCAAATGACAAAAATCAGAGATCCGTGACAAACAAATATGTCTCCTGAGCATTATTTTTTGAAGTTGCAAGCAGCAGGGATATCAACTTTGAAAAACTGTTAGGCTGAACAGTTTTTCAAAAACCCTAATTTCAATCCGTTTCAATCTTCTTCAGTTTTGCCCACCCATGGCATCTGTTGTTTCTGTTATGTAACCTTCCCTTAAAGTTTTAAGCGGTTATTTTTATGTTTCTCTTAATTTAACGGGCATTTTGTAATTTCCTAATTTGGCTGAATTTCGGGACACAGCTCCTTTAAGCAAATATATAGTTTTATCAAGATCTTGTAAGGCGAGAGAACATGGTGAAGTTAATAATTATAAGGTGATCGCCGTTCCTTTTGTTTTGTGATATATGGAAATGAAGTCGGATGAAGTTATCTGTCTAATTATCGTATTTTTTACAATGCAAGTGTTGTTCGTCTCCGTTACGGTTTCTGTTGCAAACTAAGCATTTCTTTCCATGCGTTAATGGATAATCAATCTTATTGTCAGGATCAAAAGTTGTGAAAACATAACAAGCCAGTGTCTAACTAACAAGACGAATCAACCGCCCCTCCATTCGTCTAAATTAACCGTTCGGGATGATATGGTCGTACGCCGTCGTGGGGACGTCGTTATTTTAGACTCAGTGTCTAGCCATAGGAAGAGGGTCTGGATGGGGTTAACTGACAAGTGACAAATAGCCTAAAATTTAACTGACAACTGACAAAGGACCTGATTGTGCCTTATTTTCTATAAAACCCGTTTTTAAGGCCTTAAATAGCATTGTTCCGGACATTCTTTTCTTCAGACAAAATGATCAAATGTGCGTTTTAGGGGTAACCTAGCAGCAAGACGCTTAAGTGTCATATTTCTTTAACGATTTACTGCCAGTGAAAGGGTCTGTAAAACCGCTGAGTGTCATGTACCATCTGTTGTAAATGACGTATAATATCATCTCAAATTTACGCTCCTCTGAAAACGCGCCAGCATACGAGGGCTGCTAATGAGGGCATTACAAAAGCAATTGTAAGTTTTTACTGAGATGATTCAGATACGGTCTTTTTGGTCTTTCCTGCGATCATCTACGTCCCCTGAATATTCTGAAGGTATGAATTTTGATTGGCTTAACGGTTGGAAATGTTGGATGACTCTAGCCAGCAAAAACCTTGGAATGGAGGAGAGTAACACAAGACTTGCGAAATGGAGGGCCACTTAAAATGCTCACAATAGCAAAACTGATAAAAATTAAGGTACTATTGCGTCAGTTTTCGAATTTAATGTTTTTAAGTTTACATTATAGGTGCCTGTTAAACTAAATTTCGCATTTAAAATATACAATAAGTTTCATAGTTAATCATTAATAATCATTTGACTAACAACTGACAAATGGCCAAAATTTCAATACGTAAATCATGAACATAACAAATGAATCTTGTCGTTCAGTTTCCGCCTGGCCGATTCTGTCGGCAGGGTTAAAAACACCTTGCCAGGGCTTATTATTTTGCTCATCACTTTTACCGCACTAAAAACTAATTAAAGAACAAAATGCTATTGATACTTTAAGAAAAAATAAAAGAAAGAAAAAGAAGACAACTGACATGACAAAGATGTTTCACTATCACCACCATCTGAATCCCAGGGCAGTCCCAAACTTTTTGATGCCGAACAACTCGTACCCCTTTATACTTCACACCTCATACACACTGAGATGCAGACATATATCATCGCCCTTGATGGTTACTGTTATTAGGGCCTGTTTACATGAAGGTGGGGTACCCCAGGTAGGTGAGGTAACATGTGGCGGGCTACTATACCCCACCTATCATGTAAATGTGATCACATTAAGGGCCTGTTTACATGGAGTAGGGGACCGCGGTCTAGTGGGGTTGGTTTCTTTTGTTTTCACGCTCTGGGGGACACAAAACAAAAGAAACCTACCCCACTAGACCGGGGTCCCCCACTCCATGTAAACAGGCCCTAAAATGAGGTATTATATGGACAGGCCGGTTACCCCACCTAAGCGGGTCACCTCACCTATCTGGGGTACCCCACCTCCATGTAAACAGGCCCTTAGAGTGATTTTACTTAACCCGTGAAATAGGTAGTAGAATACTACGCACTATTATGCATTAATTCTATTCTCTTCTTTTGTTTATTTGTACGCTGTGGCTAGCTATGTTTTGCACTTGTTGTTATTATATGATCTGTTTTACGGTTCAAGTAAAATTACTCTTTGATTTAAACGGCAACTTTACGATCCCTTAATAATCATCATTTCTCTCTCACGGGGTGGTCGAAGTGGAAATGGCTGGTCGCTTATAAGACTGTTATTCATGAGCCAAACGTATAAATTTATGACAAAGTTTTCTTAGGTGTGCACTTGAACGAGACAAGTGCATGAATTGAACAAAGTGTGTGAAATATTTTCACTGCCGTCCTGAGGGCAACCGTCACCCCCGCAGACTAAAGTTCAAAAAGAAAGATAACAAATAAAAAATAATAATAATAATAATAGAACAAGTGAATCGCAATCGGTGTGAATCGTGACTCAGGGTCAATCATTGAGTTCATGGAACAAAAAAGCATTTAGTTCAGCTCGGTTGACTCTGTCGATTTAGCATAACAAACATCCGCATGTTATTTCCTAGGTCATGTCTTGCTAGAAGTCTTGCTAAGCGCATGAAAAATAAACCAAGAGAGTAAAACGAACGTTCGGCCAAGGTAAGTTCCGAAACATTTTTATAACTAACAGCATTTCTTTACGTTATTCCTTGACCACAGGTGATAACTATATTCGCTCCTTTCGCCTTAGAACCATTAAGATCTTTTAGTACTTTATGGTCTCTCTATCAAGAGACTAAACTAGAAATGTAGTCGCATGGGATTATTTTATAATTCAAGAAATTGTAAACTTTAAGCCCGATTTAATGTACAGGCAAAATTTTGTTAGGTCTTGGGGTGAATTAAGGAATTAATTATCCTTTTTTTTAACAAAAGAGCATGAGATCTGACCGTGATTGAAAATCAGCCGGACAAAATTATCCGATGGAAAATTGTAAACTGCGTGAACAATCCTTTTCTCACTCCCTCCCTCTCTCTCCCTCCCTCTTTGCTTGTTTTTGTCGTTGGCGCGAATACAACAGAGGAAAACACAAAAATTAACGTATTTTTTTTATCTGAGGAAAGTGCACCGGGCATTTCAAAATCGGTTCAACTAAATTAGTTACCTTCCTTGAGGCTGTTTCACCGTTGTGAAAGTTTTTTAAACTTTCAATCGTTTTGAGTCTGTGTATGAAATCATATCATGATCAGATACATACTGTGTGTTTATAATGAAAGCTATCTACATAGCAGTGACTTCATCCATTAGTTACAATGTTGTTGAGGTTATAGCTACGGAGATTGTTTTTTAGTTCATTAATATTCGTGATTCTGTTCACGAAAACCTCAAATGAAGCCCTCATTGATCTGAAACGAAGGTTTGGAGCATGGCTTGTTACGTAATGCTTATGGCACTGTTTGTGCGATGAAAAGAAATAAGTTTTCAGAATTTTTATACTTAGATTTTCGTATTTTGTTATTGAGTCATTATATATCAACATCCTAACACCTCAGTAATCGTCTCCGGTACTTGAATCATCATCATTCCTTATATTTGTCGTTTTATGACGGTAATGATCAATCATATCACCCAACGTCTTTGTGAGGCGTATAAGTATATAATATTAAGTAAAAATTCCATTGAAACTAATATACAAAAAATACTTATTTAGTCGTAAAACATTTTTCATTACTTCGATCATATTCCGAGGATATATCCACTCGAGTCTGTTTTCTATGAATTGTGCGAATGCACGCACAAACCTGGACGTTTTACAAGTACCCTAACGAAGGTGGGTTACGTACGTCACATGAGGACAAAACTGAAAACCACACAAATTTTGTAAGAGGCACGCACTCTCGGCTTTAAGACATATCCTAATAGTTGAGGGTACTCTAATAACATGTCGCCATTGATTGTTGATCTTTAGACAAGGTATTCCCAGTTCAATTATTGCAGTTATTTTCAGTTCAGAAGAAGTCGTCGTAGTACAAGATAGTGTTATTCAGCTATTTCCTGAAACCAAAAAAACAAAACAAAACAAAACAGTTTTCATGGCATTGAAATGCCAAGAAATTTCGATTAAGGTTTACGAGGGGTTTACATTGGAGGAATTTTGCAAACTATCGAAAATTCAACGAAACTGACTTAGCTTTAGCCTGCGAAAACAGCCGTTTCTCCTCGCTCAACCTAGCGGCGATGAGCGAAGAGCGAGGAGAAATGGCTGTTTTCGCAAGCTTACTTTTCTGTTTGTAGGACTTTGAAAAAACCTTAAAATACTTCTCTCTCATATCCTTCGATTTGCTGAAAAATGGGAGGATTCAAGACAATGAAAATTAATTCGCTTCACCAAGTTTTCGATTAAAATCTTGATTCTTAGCGAAAATTTTGATAACACGATTTTAGCTCCATCATTTCAAGAATTGTAATGGGGGCACCAGAGTTTATTTCATCTGTTTGTGTCACAGGAGTAAAAAGATTTCACTCTTTTCATGGTTATTTCATGCACTACAATCAACGGGTGTTAAACATTTATCTATTGCTCTATAGGCGTCAGTGCCTATCAGTTGATCAGCTTTGCCTCGAGGCCAGCTAAAACTGATTGAGGAATTAAGTCCACAGAACAGTACAGTGATGCAAGACCTCTAATTAGCGTAATTTCAGGATAACACTAATACTTTAAAAGACGGCTGAGTGCTATCTCAATGTTGAAACTGTGAAAAAATTGTGGTAAGAAGTCCAACGTTATATATGGAGCGGGGGATGCGGCGGAGCCAGATGTCAAGTTTCATTTGCGCGAGTTTGTTGTTTTGAGAGAGTAAAAATGCAAACAAATGCAAATTTGTCCCAAGGCTTTCGTCCATATGATTTGTGTTCATTCATTCAACTGATGTATGCATTATAAAATGAGGTCACAGGTGAAGGGCTTAAACAAAAGTTTCATGATCTAAAGTTAGTAGTAGATTAAGAATAGAATGACCATTTGCTTTGTAAGTTTGACAACAAAAATACAAAGAACCGTTTGGGAGCTTTTTGGAGTTTCTAGAAATAACCAGACTGAAAAACGTTCCTAATTTAGAAGCCTCGTAAAGGCGCTGGAATTTGGTCATATCCTTCCTGCTTCAAAAATTCATGTTACCGTAAAATTCCGAAAATAAGCCCCCGGGGCTTATATTTTTCAAAGGCCCTTTTTGAGGGGCTTATTTTTGGAGGGGCTTATCTACGGAGGGAAATTTGCGTTTCAAAATCGATTGGGATAGCCTTATAGTTGGAAGGAAATTTAATGGTTTTGCATTGTTTCACTTTGTATTTGAAGGCAATTCCAAGTACAAGCCCCCAGGGGGCTTCTATTTGGAGGGGCGATTTAACGGAGGGTTTTTTGCGTTACGAGCTTGGGGGGCTTATATTTGGAGGGGCTTATACAAGGAGGGGCTTATTTTCGGAATTTTACGGTAACTTATTTCAAGGTGTTTATTAGTAGTTCAAAATACTTTCAGCGAGTTAAGTCTCAACTTTTTTCTTTGCCATTGAGCACTGCTCAACTGTATCTCAGAAAGTCAATTTTCTAGTCATAGAAACGATTTTTGTTCCCTCATTTCAGGTTACGAAATTCATGCGGTAGATTAAGCCTGATTTGGTTACAGTATGGGTGACAAGAAAAGAAAGAAAGCTTCCAAGAACACCGACATCAATGGCGAATCTCTGCAAGATTCCGACCGACAGATAGCTGACGAGGGTGACATTCCTTTGGTTTTTGTCAATGGAGAAGCAGGATTGAACCCTTCTCCTCCGGGTAGAAAGCGATCGCGTGCAATCAGCGCGGTGTCCATGACTTCAGATGATGAATTTGGGGAAGACCAGAAGGTAGGCTGATTATTCAATGTCTTTAAAACATGAACAGCAGCTAGTGTTTTATCATTAGTCAAAAATTATCGTGCTTCGTGCTCCAATTTATAAATAGTGATGAAACAGGTGCTGTGAGTGTTTTGAAATTCTTCAAAAACGTCCCCGCATTTTTTTACCTCAATGGCATTGCTAAATAATGCATTTCTCGGTAGTTTCTTGACGGGTGCAATCACCAAACGACGTAATGGAAAAAGAAATGAACAATACCTACACAACTACGCACCAGCGAAACAATGGTTTTGGCGACACCAAAAAACACTCTATTTCTTGTTGGTCAGATATAGTTATGTAAATATAGTGTGCAACTGAAGTACACAGTTTATAATTAAACGTCATTGCTTGCCTTCCCAATACTACGGCTATCCAAATGAAAGAAATTACTATAGTTAATAACCGCAAAAGAGGAAAAAACTGAATATCTCGAGGAGAGTGTCGCTAAACCAAACTGCAACGTGACAACTTGAGCATTGATAATTTTTACGGAATTACAAACTTCTTAGCGTGATAACTGTTCGTAGTTTCTGCTGACTACTACATGTAGATGTAGATGTAGATGTAAGAATTTAATTGTTTGTGCCTCATTTCGCCATCCGCCATTTTTGGAACAGTATCAGTCGTATACTAACTGGTTTGGTGTTTTTCGCGCTTACAAAAATTTCTTAATTATCATTCATTTTTGAATAAGTTCTAACCTGTTGAACGTTTTTTGCTCGTTTTAGGATGAAAGAAATTTAGAAATTTACAAAAAAAAAATAGAAATAACAGACGAGATTGTTCTCTTATTTTTAAAGGAAGGATTCACTGGTCAGAAGTCAACAATTCTTCATCAGCTGATTTTGAGCGGGGAAGTAGAAGAAGTTGAGAAGCTCTTAAATAAGGGCACAAGTAAGCAATATTTCTTTCACTTCTCCTACAGCCTGGCACCCAGATCTCTAGACATTCACGAGACAAGAAGGAAAAATAGCTGGGAACAAGACTACATACAAACAAAAGCAAATTAATTGAACACATTGATTGATGTAGGCATCTGCTTTACGCCCTGTTAAAGCGCTACTAGATCGAAAGTTTCAGCAATAATCACTATTGCGTTGACCAATAGAAGGATTTAGCCACAGCTTAGAGAATAGGTCATTTCCGAGTCGCCCAAAACCTCTGTTTCAAGGCAAGGCTTAAGCTGAGTGCGAGGTGATCATTAATATGAAAAAGATTTCTTTAATTTTCTCAAGCAAATAAAACTCATTTTCACAAGAAAGGTTTTGCACTCAGCCTCGTTCAGAAGGTGAGAGTTTTTGGCACTCGGAAATGGTCTATTCCCTTTGAAAACTTCTCTGCCTATACCTGCAACATACAAACAACGGCTTTGCCAAAATAAACTGAATTAAATTGTGGTTTCCCATTCAAAGACTTTTTGAAGGGACAAAGTCCATGCTGCCGTCTCTTCTCATGGTTTAACCCTTTAAGCCTTAAGAGTGATCAGTATCAAATTTCTCCTTGTAATATCAATGTTTTGTGAAACAGAGTGGTCATGAGAATTACGGACATGATCACAAAAGATGAATTTTATCAACTTCTCCCCACTACTTCTGTAGGAAATGAATAGGGGCTACAAATAAGAATTCATATTTTGATCTTAGGGTTTAACGGGCAAAAATAGAGACTAAAATTTTAAGTACTCAGAAAACTTAATCTCTTTTTGGGAGCATCTTGTTCTTATGTTTTCTCTATAACGTATATTATCAATGACAGATGTTAACAACAAGGACAAGTCAGGCAAAACACCTCTTCATACTGCCATTCTTTCAAAACAGTTCAGAATTGTTGATAGGTTACTTGAGAGCGGTGCTGACGTCACTATAACTGATGAAGCTGGCGACACTGCTTTGCATACTGCAATTCATGTTGGCAGTGAGAAACTGGTTTTGGTGAGTATTTACGTTATAACGCCATTAATTATTCATGCCCCTTGTAATAAGAAATAAATACAGAAATAATAGAAAGAATACAGGTTTAAATTCGAGATAAACACTGAAACATAAACAGGTAACAACTATAGAGAAACAAATTTCCAAAGGTTGCTAAACATCTGTAACAAAAAGAAATTCAGACTGAACAGAAATTTCTTGGACCCGAAACATGTCTTAACTGATCACGTGATCTTTGATCGTGATGAATCTTGTACGCTATTTATTTCCTTCCCCTTTCGTAAGAGAGCGGAGAACCCTGGTAAGCCCTGGTAACGAGGTTGTGCTTCTAATTCTTGTGAGTGCCAGATCTCTTTTGTCAGTGAATGATTGGAGATGTAGTGTTTCAGGCGTTTAGTTCTATCTGGAAGGATACAATGGATAGCAACTACGAACCCTGTTACAGAGACCAAATTTAGTTCAAACCACCGGCCTTACTGTTCAAGACGTCTACCCTCAATCCACTTAATATGCAGTTTAAGCATCTCTTATCATCTTTTTTCTTTTTAGAGAGTATCAGAACTAAACGGCAGATTTCTGTTCCAAGAACTGCGCTTTAGGAATATGGTTTCCCTCCTTCACCCTCACTCGCGCGCCCTTCATGTACACGCGCATCTTAGCTTCATCTCCCTTCCAACCCCCCCTCCCCCCCATCTCCCTTCCAAAAAACCTGCCATTCAGGCCACCGTATTGTAATCACGTGATAGTATTTTTGCAGACCTTACTAGAGCAAGGGCGGGCAGATGCGAATGCTTTGGGTCGTAACTCGTGTACGCCGCTTCACCTTGCTGCTGAGATGGACAATGAAAACATTTGTAAAATACTGGTAGGTGCTACTTGTAGCCCACTGTTATGTTGTGAACTCTTCTGCTTCTGCTTGCGACGCACTCCAATAATCTGGTTATCACTAGATCGTAAGCTAGAAAGTCATAAGTGGAATTGGTCCTTTGGATCTGTTTTTACTACATCATGAGGCTCTGCGCATGTAACTATGACTCCAACTTTGATTCCGACTTCGTTGCTAATAAAAACTAGCCTTACACGGCACAGTAACATTAAGGACTAAGTTTAACTTTCACAGAATATCGATGATTCTTCGACACTGAGGTAAATTTGTTGAATCCTATTCTATTTTTATAACTGCATTAGATTGAACATTCAGGAAACCCGAAAAGTTTGGACGATGATAAAATGACACCTGTAGCTCATGCTATGGAACGAGGTGCAAAGAACTCATCAGCATTCCTTCTTCAACATGGTATGTCAGCAAATTTAAACGGTAGTTTTTTACGAACACTGACGCTAGATAGCTGAACAAACATTGTTACTTTTTCAGCCCTAGGGCAGGGGACAGCTGAAGATTTCTTATATGACGTTGACCTTGATGGCAGCTCCCTTCTCCATCTGGCCGTTAACAGCGGTGTTCTTGCGGTAAGCATGCCTTAACGTTCTGTGCTGCAAACATAGCAATCGACAAGTAACTTAAGTAACTATTCTTAGACAATTACAGAGCATGCGCAGTTGTCTTTGGTAATGTTTACTTTCATTTGATTAAAAACGTGCCGCGAGATTTTATGCCAATCACACAAGGAAGGGGAATGCAAAACAAGCGTTGCCTTTCTCGTAGATTTCTTAAATTTAACGCTATACTCTCACAACTATTTCTCCTTTCAGGTTGTCGAGCTCTGCGTTGAATATGGCGTGCGCATTAGACAACCGAGGGTAAGATATAATCATGTGTCAAAAAAGTGTGTGCGAACTAATACAGTTCTTGGGGTGACGGTCTTATGAATAACGTTTAAATTGTTTAATTTAAAGGAAGAATCATTTCTAGCAGCTATTTAGTATCCTAAGGACGTTCTTTTTTCCGATTAGCATCAAAATGGGCTCTGCCAACAGAAGTCAGCACGATGACTTGTTACTAGTTCAGGTAAACCTGCTCAAAACATCTGGAACACTTGAGGAAATTAGGCGCAAAGATGCGCGCACACTTTGATCGCTAAATCAACTCGTATTCTACTTCTTATTCTTCCTACTGTATGCTGTCCCACTCTCCCCCAAGCAATGATGATTGTATTAAAAAAGACTGGCATGCATAAGATTAACACTGCACCGGGGTAGAGAAAATGCGTTGCCTTAGAGTTCCTGAGTGTTTTGACCAGGTTTGAAGGTTTATGTGACGTATATCCTCTATACTGCAAGGACTGGAATGTTGATATTTTTCCGATCCCTGCACAGAGACTTGACAAGGTAACAGCATTTCATATGGCTTGTGAACTGGGATCAATGCCAATAGTGGAATATATGGTCAGTAAAGACCCCGCAGTCTGTAGAATAACTCTTGTAGACTACAGAGGAATGACACCACTTCACTTGGCTGCTAGTAAAAACCAAGTCCATGTCGTCGAGTTTCTTCTTGAAAAAGTAAGTAGTTATTTCTTTACTGGTAGATATATTTTTGGTGATGATCATAGACTCCTGCGAAATCTTATTGTGGAACTCAGAAAACCGTGAGATCTACACATATTTTTGGAATGCAAAGAAGAACCCTATCATGTGTGATCAAAACAATGTATAGCATGCAGCAAGAGTAATTTTTTGGTGGTTTTGTGGTTTTCTTGGGTGAACTGTAACTTAGATTGGCCATGATAGTAAAACGTATAGAGATGTAGGGTGGATTTCTACTGTCACGCAAACACGCACGTAAACTTAACGCGCGTGAATAAAATAGAGGCAAAGTATAAAATGCCGCAAATAAACATTACAGTTCAGCGAGAGTTTCAACTTTTCTGTTTTACGTGCGACCTTCCATACACTTCTTCACGAGCGTATCCACGAACAAAATATGCCACAGTGGAAATCCAGCCTGAGGCATGAGGTTTTTTCTACCCATATTCCATGAATAACTATCCTGTAAGTTCCATGTTATTGTGGCAGTTGTTTTAACTGCGAGTTAATATGGATTTCTGGCGTGAATTTCCAGCGATATATTTCAAAATCTGTGCCACTAATTGCAGGATCCTTTAAAAGATATTTTTGATCATTTTACAGAAGCCTTTCCGTTCCAGCTCATAACATCAAAATCTCAATCAAGCCGCTGCAAGATAGCAGCGAGCTAAATCGCGAGTAGCCTGCAAAGACGATTAGACGAAAACTGTTTGTAGGTACTCTTTGTGAAAGGTTGCAATATCCTTGTTAAAGGCTGCTTATTTGGTTGCAAAATGCTACTTCCTTTGTGTAATTGTACGTGCGGGTTATACATAACATATACATAACAGAGCCCGCTATCGCATAAAGTAAAGAAGGATGATAAATTTTACGCTAACCTAACTAATCTGTGTTCTTGTTTTCGTACTCAGGGAGCCGCTGTCGATCCCAAGTCGGACGAAAGACGCACTCCTTTATTCCGAGCTGCTGATAAAGGAGCGGCTGATGTTGTTAAACTCCTTATGGATCGTGGTGCTGACGTCACCATCCGGGACACTGAGCTCCAGTCTGTATTACACGCAGCCGTGGGTCATCCTCGTGCAATGGAGGTTCTTTTACTGGTAAGGGTTCCTCATAGAAAGACCAGCAGCATTCCGTGGGGTCATCCTCGTGTTATGGAAAGGTCTTCTAATGCATACAAGGAGTAGTGAGAGTCATGACCAACTATTCCTGTCAACATTACTGTCATTTGTCAAGGCTAATTACATAGTTAGGCAGACGTCCTGTCTCCTTTTCTGCACTGATGAGATAGTGTGAATCCCCGGCACTCCTCTGATCTTTCTTTTATGTAAAGTAACCTAGAGCAACATTCCTTAATGTTAAAACTTACTGATTTTAGTTTCGTTAGATAGACTTATTCTCTCTCTGAACTTGAACTGAGGCCTTCATTTGAAACCTTGTGATGCTGTGAAAAAGTCCGGGTTAGAGCATGTACTCCTCGATTCGACAACGATAAAAAATAGCTTTCGTTTCAATCTCTTCAGAAAAATATCTCAAAATAAAACTAAAAAATTTCCTTGCCGGTCAAAAAAGTCAGTTTTCCTAAAATAAATTATTGCATCTTTTAATAATTTCTAACCGTTGTTTACGTAACTTTCAGAGCCCTGCAGTTATGTCACTCATCACTGAGAAAGATGTTCATGGATTCTCTGCTGTGCACTACGCAGCCAAGAAAGGAGACATAAAGGTCTGAATTGAAAAGTCTGCCTGCCTAACCGCGGCAGGGTTAGCACAGCTGTTAGAGCGTTGATCTACAAGAGCAAAAGGTCTCGGGTTTGTCAACGACAACCGAAGTAATTCTTTTTTCAAGGAAAACTGTTTATATATCGACCGGCATCCATAGCTTTCTGTTCACGTTTTTTTGTCAGTAATTTAGCTCTGCGGCACAGACTTGGTTTTTCGTTATAAAATGACTCTGCGATTCATAACTAAATCTCCACTCTGTGAAGGCCTCGAGATATTGCTTTCTTCAGTGTTTAATGCCGTTACACTGACATCGTGCGAGCTTAACTGTTACATTTTCCTCAGCTTAGCAAATAACAAAAAAAAAATACCCGGATTCTAATGTTATTTTTGCGACTTTGAATCAACAGAATCTGGAACTTTTAGCGGCCAAGAACAAAACAGCAGCAAGTGTGACGTCAGATTCACTGGACACACCTATCCACGTGGCCGCTAAGTAATGACCTCTTTGATAACGGTTTACATTCCTGAATTTTACTGGAGAAGATTTCTTTCACTCCATATGTATTATCAGAATGGGGCATGGACAACTCAAATTGCACAATTACTTCTAATGCAAAAAGGACGGACGCACCCTTCAAACGCACTTTCTTCTTTTTTCTTTTCTATAGACTGTCTAAAATGTCCTTTATTTTTTTGCTGATTGGCTGTGCCATATTAAAAAAGACCTTCCATACGTTTTTGGCGCAAAATTCACCTGTGGAAAATTCCACCGGTGACATTATAACATTTGACTAATTGGAGAGTGAGTTATATTTGACGCCACTCCTGAAACAGCATATGTCAATCATTTTTTCCCGCTTGAATTTCTAATATGATTCAAATCCATTCAGGCGAAATAAGTCGTCCTCAAGACTTAATTCATCCCTCTCTCGGTCCCTGCGCGACCTCATAAAATCTCGCTTTGCTTGCTTTTAAGAATTTATAAGCGGTCGACACGTTACAAGTCTACCTTTTCTTTAGATATGGCTGGACCGAAGCCGTGGAAAAGTTGATGGATCGACAGAACGCGAGGATATTAAATCTACAAAACAGTCATGGACGAACACCTCTACACTACGCATGCTTGGAGGGAAACGATATTACAACTGCAGCACTTCTGAAGCTGGGGGCGACTGTGGAAAGGTATACATGGACTGACATTTTGCGCATTATCACATGTCAGTATATTGAATAAGTATGAGAAAGGATAAGTATCAAGCACCCGAAGAGAAAACTGATCATTCGTCATCAAACCCAAACGCTTTTAATACCAACATTCAATCAAAAAATGAAGGAACTAACTAGAAAAACTACTTATGAGAGTAACAGTTTAGGACTATACCCACAAACGAATCTCAATATTGGAGCCACGATACGCAAACACGTTGTGGTAAATAGAAAAACCACTGGACAGAAAGACATGCAGTGTTGGGCAACTTAGAAAACTTGCCGTTTAGGCTTCATTCATAAAGTAATCATAGGGGTCAAACTTTCAGTGGTTTGTTCAGGAAATTACTACACATTTGAGTTGGTGGTTGATAATACCTGCAAGATCCAAGCATTTTTTTGTTTCAGAGATCAAAACGATCGTTCTCCTCTTCATTTGGCCGCGCTCAAAGGTTCTGCACAATGTTGTGAGGCTATTCTTCAAAAATTTGATGACTGTGTCAACTGGACAGACAAGAATAAGGTAACATTTTTTGCATTTTACTTGAAAGTGATAATAAATTATTAGAATAAGGTTAACTTTGTTTTATGCCGAATGAATGCTGGAGAAAGATTCAACAGAGGGAAATTGTCATTACCAATAAAGACGATATTATGACATGTGTTCAGGAGAATAACTTAAAAAACTCAGGGAAATTCTATGCATTCAAACCAGAAAGGTTATGTCTACCGACAAATTCAGGGAAACAGCTCTCTCGCCTTGGCTTTTGAATGTGCAGAAGAGTTACTTCTCTACCTCTTTTTTCGGAGTACCTTCTCAGTCAGTTATCCCTTTTAAAAGTTTCTTTACTAAACAAACTGCAACACGTTCATTTCAAGCACTCCGCTCTCTGGATGGACCCAATTAGAATGTTTGGAAAATGTTCCTATTTTTCCGGTATTGGAACTGCATGCAGTATAATCGAACGGATATTCCGGATTATCATCTGTATTCTTATTCCAGAGTAAGGTCAATGGAACGCACTATAAGTAAATCACACCCACATTATTAGTATTAAATATCTATTTGTCATTCACAGAACACTGCGTTACATCTAGCAGCCATGTATGGTCACGCCCCTGTCGTGACGTTACTGCTTTCGAACGTGAAATCTGAAATCACGTTGAACAACACCAATGATAACATCCTGGATGCAGCTGTTAAAGAAAAGAGAAGTGCTGTTGTCATGGCGATTGCTGAACACGACAGGTAATACAATGATTACTAGCCTTGTGGTGCATGTTTATAAAGTACTTTTGCGCAAGAGTTAAAATAAATTCGTCAGCGCAGAAAGCTTTGGGTACTGACTGAATCAGCTTTTGAACTCAAGGAAACTATAGACTGAGAAATCTTTAGGACTGTATATAATTCATGAACAGCGTTGTTTAACGGACTTTCGTTTATTAACTTTGAAAAATAACTTGAGTTCTTCATACTGTTCTTTCACCAACAGATGGAAAGAAATTTTGACTAACTGCACAGCAGGCGTAGTTACAATGCTACAGAAACTGGTAGAAATCATGCCAGACACAGTTGTGGTAGGTACCTTGTGACCCTCAGCATTTGGCCAATAGGAAAAGAAAGAAAGCGCGCAGAGAAAAAAAAATAAAAATGTTAAAATACAGTTTGATTGGCTTTAAGCTTCGTCCAAACAGATCAAACATGTGTGGTGGTTACAACTTCATATCATCCAATTATTGTTTCCTGGTGCATTATATCAGATCCCGTTTGAAAATTATGTTGGGTGATGTTGAATGCTGAGTCACGTTTGAATGAGTTCAAACGGTCAACATTTATTTTGCTATTTCGTTGATCTATTATATTACATGTTTGCCAAGCTTAAAGCTTTGGCAATAACTTTGGAAATGCGGGCGCAATTATTCTTCATTCTTGATTTATACTTTTACACTTCGCACACCTAGTTTTCTCCACCTAAAAATTTCTGTGCAACAAATTTTAGTGAGTTTTCGGTTCGCTTAAACACCTCACCCGACTCTATTCAACACTATCCAGCTTAACTGGACCCGATTTCCACAGGAAAACCTTATAAAATACTCTTTCTAAGTTAAGTGCCCTCGTGTGTTTCATTGTTTTTCATGTTTTTAAAATCACCAATCTTTCTTCCAGCGATTCTTGGATCAGCTTGTTACTGAGTCGGGAGATCCGGCAAGTCAGAATTATAAGGTACTATGGTTTACATGAGCAAATCAGAGGCTGTGAAGTTACAATCGTGCTCTTGCAATGCACTTTGCAAGGTGTTTGAATAACACTCTGAAGTTGCGTTTGACAATCGTGTTTTATTATGCAAATTATTTTAGTTTCATAAACCCTTATTAATTTGTTTGGAACCATTTAGTCATTCCTCTTTTTTATACTGCGCAACCTTACTACGTATCCTTGCTTTGAAAACTGAAATCTTTCCATGATGGCGGCAGCCATCAAAGAAGAGGTAGAACTTTAAAAACTAAAGGCGATAAAAGAGGACAGAATGGC